TGTCAGATTTGTTGTACTATGATACTTTTTTACCTTTAAATCTTGATAATCATGTAATCAATTAAACTCAATAAGCTTGAAAGCTATATAACTTATGAAATTTTCCACCATACACATCCAATTTCCGGGATGTCAAGTAGGATATTGCCATACATGCCATTCTATTAAGACTGTCCAAATTAAAAGTCTATTACCTGAATTTCCAATCCCCACGTATTCCACCTTTTTTTCTAATGATGACATTCTGACCCTACGATTCTATGCGTCAAGCGCCCATGCCTGAAGGCGGTAGTCTATCTGTGCGTGCCCTTGCATGTATGGCTGCTTGCCTGGTGGTTAAACTAGGCTATGACATACTCAATCAAGGCAGAGATTAGGAGAGTGATAGGAAACAGTCTGCTCTGTCAGGATAGTGCAGGAATCATTACAAGGAATGTGATTACAGGACTTCAGTATTCAATAGGCCTGTCCTCATCAGCTCGAGATTGCCAAATATCCCGCTATTTGAACTATCTCGATCAAAATTAAATCGAATTTGCGTCTTCATCAGCCCGAAGTTGCAATTAGCGGGATATTTGGTTGAGATAATCATCCTAAGATATCTTGTGCTAGTTTGCAAAATATCCTGATATTTGTCCGGTGCGTTTTCACCAGCCCGAAGACTTGCACTATGTGAGAACAGTGAGGAAAATTATCTCGTGCTAATTTCTCGAGCTCGAGTTTAAAGTTTTGAGGTCAAGTCTCGAGCTGATGAATACGCGATTTGTAACTTCAGGATTATTTCCCAAATCAGAAATAGCAGGCTATTTTGCAATCTCGAGCTGATGAGGACAGGCCTAAGGAGATACTGCTCAATGATGAGTAGTGGGCAGACAAAATCATCTGTTCAAATGTAGTGGAATTGTATGCTATAAATCGACAGGAAACCTTTCAGAACTAAGCATTGCCATGAAAGATAAAGAAATACAGACCAACCTGTACTATATAGAGTTCTCAAAGAAAGAGAAATAAGTAAGAGAGAAACGAGAAAGAGACAAAAAAGAAAACTAAAAGAAACAGAGAACAGTGTACAGTTTACAGTAATGCAGGTTCCACGGAGAAACATGGTTCAGGGGAAACAAAAAACTTTTGTTGATCTTTAGATTGCATGGTGGTTTTTCTATACAGGTGGTCACTAAAGCAAGACTCAAATCTTTATTCAATCAAATATGATTAAGTAAAAGTTTGACATGCACTTTATTGCAGTTCCTAAGTGTGGATGCAGCAACTCAATAATTTTCACGATCCCCTCTCTCCTCTTCACAAATCATTTGTATTCCTTTTTCGAGCTCCTCTTTCTCTTCTCATCATCGACTTTGGATAGCCCTTGAAGCATCACTTTTAAAGTGCTCTCTGCATTGCTTGCACATCATGCTATAGTTATATTTGCTAAGGCTTTCTAAGAGGCGATAGGAAGGATTTTATGGAAGGGAGCATATTAGCTGTAATTTCATCCTCAAATCGGTTGAATTTCACTAATTTGATGTGCAATATTCCACCACCTCACCAGATCACATTGTGAGCATGAGTTGGGGAGGTGATGGGTATTCAGGGAGTATTTTGTGATCTACATATGAGCTGTGGTTTATCTCTGTAAATTATGTGGGGGAAAGAATATGAAATAGTAATATGATGCTTTCCATTTTCCTGTCTTACAACATTTTCTACATCTACAACCTTTACTGTATATTCACAACTTACCGATGATGATATATGGCAGTATCCTCTTACTTGTGGTGATGATTGCTAAGTACTTCACAATAAAAGTAGACTGTATTTCATATATTCCATACAATTTCTTTGTTTCCAGTGTTACAAGTATTTCTAATATTATATGTTGAAAGCCAGAAGGATGTTATCTCAAATATTTTTTTAACCCTTTGGCTAGTGAATTCTGTCATTCCCATTGGCTTAGCGTGGCTTAGCATGGCTTAGCATGGGAACAACCCGATTCCAGTAAGCAAAGGTTTAACACATTTTGAACTTCCTTCTGACTGCTAACAAATTAAGTAATCTGTTGTGTGAATTATGAACTTGATACATGAGATCCTACCACCATACATGCAACCTATATGGTCTCTATATCAGTCACATTATTATTTAGTAACAACATACCATCCACCTCTCCAGATCTACTATTTTAGAAATACAGAGTGACGTTTTGTTTGAAGATGTGTGCGATATGATTAAATACATGATCTATATCAGTGATGTAGTGGTGTACAGATAACGGCTCTGTGTAATGAGGTGTGTACTGTATGAGACCCATACTCCATAGAGGTTAGGCTGTAGCAGACAGAGGCCTGCCTCTATGGACCTGGTATAAACAATCATTCCTCACCCTGTCCTAGGCAATACTTGTCTCAAACTACCCATCACCACAGTAGACCTATTCACACTCGCAGGTCTCGTTTTATACTCGGTATCACCATGGTAAACTGTTCACACACACACACACACAGAGGTTATAATGTCTGTGACATCCAGTTAGGTGTTAAAGGTAAAGACCAGTTATGGTCATGCGATTGCATTGTGAAAGAAACGTTGTGGAATCGATCAGAAAAGGTTGATCATCTAGCATCTAGCATCTGCAAGGTTCTGGAATCATCAAAATGATAAGAAATTTGGCCCATTCTTTGTAAAATTACAAGCACTATACACAGAAAGATGTATATGGGACTACCCTATATCTCTCACAGACCATGAGAGAAACAAATTTACCAAATATATGAATTAGTAGGTGGTGAAGTATGCAAGCTAATTCCCTTCTGGTTCTAAACAGCTGATAGCATCCTGTACTTTACCATGGTGGCCTGTTTGTACTTGCACAAGTCATTTTTTTTAAAGTCATAATTATGAAAATGCCTGCATTTCAAGTGCAGGTCTGTTTACATTTTCTTATCAATCTGATTATTATAGGTGATGCATAGTGTTTGTTAGGATTTGTTAGCAAAATAATAATTGTTTTGTTTTGCAGATTTGATTTTACCAAATTTACATACAAATTATATACCCTTTGAATGATGAATGAAAGAAACCCCTGATAATGTACCAGTATTACTGGAAAAACATTGTATAGGAAATATGGCTACAGGTCTGCATCTCAGTATGTACTAGGGTTGAGGGAAATAGACCCGAGAAGAGAAGAGGCTGAAAGGTATTATATTGAGAATTGCAATCGCTCCAAATACCCGACCATAAAGGGATTTCAAAAATAAGATGGTGGCAGACTTTGATGGCATGTATCATCGGCTGAAAGCAAGAAGGACAATAACTCATATACTTTAACACAGAGTTAGTGCCCTTATAGCGCTCAGCGGTCGGTTACATCTCTGTTAAGTGGTATGGGATGTGGAATAGAGATAAAAGACATTTGAGCGGTTGTACATCTGCGTGTAAGAAAGACGGAGGGAGCTAGAGTAGTGTTTGGATGGCGGTCACAGGTCAGGGGAGGCAATCAGACACAAGTAGTGCTTAGAATTGATGGGTGTTTGGCATGGTCATAAGAATGAGATGGTGGAGGAGAGATGGGAGAAATATAATGTAGAAAGGCAGAGAGAGAGAGATAGAGAGAGATAGAGGTAGATAGATAGATGTATAGTGATACTGTGAGAAAGAGAGAGAGAGAATGAAAAGGAAGGAGAGAGAATGAGAAAAGAAGAATAATCATAAATAGAGAGAGAGAGGGCAAAATGATGAGAGTGGCAACAGGAAAGAGAGAGGAAGAACAAAAAAGCAATACAATGAAAAACAGGAGAGAAAATATGAAGAGAGAGAGAGAGAGAGAGAGAAAGTGTAAGAGTGAAAGAGAGATAACAGAGAATAGACGAGGGATAGAGAGAAGTGTTCAAAAGAAGGTAAATGTACATCAATATGGACAAACAAAGGGAGTGAAGAAGCTAGGGATGACTGAGACTGCAGACCATCTTGCAAATGCAGAGCAATGTATGTTATTGACAATCAGAAAGAAATTTGTGAAATGACAAACTGTAGATTTGGTTAGACCAGATATTTCTGGGCTAGAGGGTTAAGTGCCTTCATAAGGGTGGTGTTGAGACATACTTCAACCTGTCTTCACAAACCATCCGCCATGTTGAAGCTTTGCCTACCCTACCAGCAATCTTACAATAGATTACAGTCGTCCATCACCACACATGCTTTTAAGGTGTCACTAGTACTTCAGACCCTGCATCTCTATGCTCTCCATGCTAACCCAATTCCTGGGACCTGTTTCTCAAAGCTTTTTTTCAATGACAGACGACAAAAATCAGTGACAAATCTGCCGATAACCAATCAGAAGCAAGGATTTCACTAGCTTATAACAAAAACTGTCATTTGTCACTGATGACAAGTTTTGTGAAATGGGGCCCTGGTCACTGATTTTCCATTCTGAATTTGAAATGAATTCCTCAATGAGTTGATGATTGGTCATTCCCTTTTTAATGAATGAAAATAGATAACAGAAATGTTGATATGAATTCTGGTTTGATAAAGCATCTGTGAGGCCCATACCTGCTTGTGGTATGATGCTGTAATGTATTTAAGTTGCCTTGCTGAAAGGCAGTGGGCTTGTTTTTTTTCTTAAGAGGTCTGTTAAGTAAATTTTGTTTTGGTATATTATATTAACAGGTTCATTGATTTATATTGATAACTTTGCAGTTCAAGCACTGCATAAAAGACTCCTTTTTCTACTTCTGAATTTTTTGTTTTATAATCAAACAGCTGTGACATTTATTTTGTTGCATTGAGTATCCAACAGTCAAAGCATTTTGTATCAATAATATACATGTGGTTCATAAAAGACAAGAATTTTTATTGTTTTTGTTGTTATTGATAATGATTATTTTGGAGAGGGTTTTTCTTTCCTTTCACAGGTTTATTTTTAGATATTCAAACCTTTATTTCCAGTACTATTTCTTAATTAACAATCCTTTCCATTTCTTGTATTATTTTTCTCACAGGCATATGTGCCATAAAATGTATGCATGGTGAGCGTCATCCAAGGAAATGTCGTTGTGATTGCGATGAAGGCTATAGCGGAGACCTGTGTCAGATACCAGATCCAACCACGCCCTCTCCGCCCACCACACCCACTCCATGCGACCTAGATTGTGGATCCAATGGTACCCTTGATGATATCCTGTAAGTAACCGTCTACTTCTAAGAGTCACAATGATGTTAAATTGATGCTGTTGAAAGCTAAACACTCTTCTTGTTCTCCACATTTAAAGTTTCTGGTGTAAAATAAGATGATAACAATTCGTACCCCAATGTATTCATTTATTTCACCCCTAAAAAGTAAGCTTTTGAAATTGTTTTGGGTGGTATTAGAGGTTGATACCATCAGCATATCCAACAATATAGATGTTTTTGGCAAAATATGAAATCTTGTGACCATTTTTGGCATATAACATACTGCAAATGTTTGTGTCAGGATGTAAAAAGAAATCACTTCAACTGCAATGGCAAATGATCTGCACATTGTAAGTGGGATTTATTTACACTGCTGATGCATTATGGTCTGACAGTACTTTTTGAGATGTGGAGCATTGAATACAATAGCATAATGCAGCGCTGGGTTTATATACAGAAGTGCAAATGACGTCACTGCAACGTGCCAAGCATTCTTTCCGATTTCGTCACAAAGAAATCATTATTTTCTTCTCGAAATGGCTCTACACTGCTTCCACCAGCCCTCTTGATCGATGCTGTTATAAGTCTATTTTACTGTCCTTGACTAAAAATGGCATAAGTCATGATTTCTATTTCAGATCCAGAAATGGCCTCTTAAGAAAACTTGAATGATGAAAGGCGTGGGGAAGGTGTGGAGTATATTCTGATATGGAAATTACATGGAAGGTTTATAATCAATTGTAAACTTCAAGGTAACGCCCCAATTTCAAAAAATGAAATGGAAGCTCTCATTACCAATCATGTGAAAGAATATGTTTTGACTAATACATGATGATAAAAAATTTGCCGGGAAACCGCCTACTAATTCATATATTTGGTAAATTTGTTTCTCTCATGGTCTTTGAGAGATATAGGGTAGTCCCATATACATCTTTCTGTGTATAGTGCTTGTAACTTTACGAAGAATGGGCCAAATTTCTTATCATTTTGATGATTCCAGAACCTTGCAGATGCTAGATGCTAGATGATCAACCTTTTCTGATCGATTCCACAACGTTTCTTTCACAATGCAATCGGATGACCATAACTGGTCTTTACCTTTAATTTGAAATCTATTATGTTATATACATACAGTGTAAAAAAATATGAATCTAGTTACAGGGAGTTTTGTTTTACCAGTTTCTAAAATTGAAAACCCCATTATGCTGAATAATTATTATGACGTGCCCTGTCATTTACTGAACACGGAAGAGGATGAAGATACATCCTTTTTCCTTGAGAGATCCCTATTATTCATGTTAAAAGATACACATTTGTGTTCTAGCTATCTCATTCTAGAAACCTACTTTGATGTGTCTGGCCTTGCACAAAATTCCCCTCTTTCCAAGCAGGAAATATTTTGAAAATTGCAGTCTCAAAAACAAATTATCAACCCCTCAGTTATGTTGTGTTTGTTTGTGTGTCTGAATGAAATGAATGTGTCATGTTAACTCCCAGATCTCCCTCCACACATAAGTGGATAATTGCTACCAAACTGCCAAAGGTGATGAATGTCTAAATAGAGATGAAAGGATATTGCCTTAATTAAAAAGAAAAATAAACCATTTAATTCAATTCTGTAGCGAGGATATCTATGGAAACATTTGTACCCCATAATCCCATTTATTCTTTAACCCATTGCCGACCAGAACTTATTCGTTTCTGCACCAAACCTATTGGGTATACGCAAATCTAGTATTCAAGAGGTTAATTAAGGGATTAAATATCACATTTGTAGAAATGTGATTGGAAAATGCATGTTTATTTCTGCACTTTGGAATAACTGATTGAATTACTCCTTGCCTATAGAAACTTTATATCAATGGTTTAAAAATCATCATATAATAAAGTTTCCCCTAAGTAAGTTGCATTTATGATTAAGATTCAGTTTGAAAATCAATTATCTTTTTATATCATTAGAGAATCCTATTCGGCTATTGATCGCATCCTGTTAAATAACCTGTTATTTCTTCACATTTATACAGATGCTCATGATACATTGACCTTCCCCCAAGAGAGAAATCAATTAAATTTTCATGGCAGTCTGTGATGTAACAAGATTTTTTTTCAATTTCATTTTGTTTATCTAACCCCACCATCAATGTTGTAATCCAAGCATATTTGGGGTTTATTGTTTGCCATAAGTTTAGGGTTGCTGCTGATATTTGCGCAACTGTCAGCGGCATATCTGCCTCTGAAGTCAAGAGGGAAATGGGTGCATATTTGCTGGTTGATTATCGTCTAATGAAAAGGATGGTGTCATGTCAGGAGCATGGTTATCTGATCGGAATTATCAATTACGATGGCACAGTGTTGTTATTGGTTGTGTAAACATGGATGGAGGGAGGAATATAGCAATGGATCGAGATTGTGAGAGGATGGGGAAGTAAAGTTATGATAGACTAATGAGAGGGGGAAGAGAGAGAGAGAAAGAGAGAGAGAGAGAGAGAGAGAGAGAGAGAGAGATGGGGGAAGATAATATGAATCAAAGAAGCATAACTTGCAAAGTTATTACTGGCTACTTTGGCAATAAAAAAGTTAGAACAAGAGATAGAAAATGGATAAAGTGAGGAGAAAATGAAAGCGATAACAATCAAGTCAAAATAAGAAAGAAAAATTGTATTCCCTGTTATTTCAAGCACATTGTATGTTATTTATGTCTTATCTCAAGAATCGATCAGAAACCATACCAGATACCAGGCGCGTACACAGGGGGGGGGGGGTGTTTGGGGGGGTTAAACCCCCCTTTTGGTATTTTTATATGTGTAAACCCCCCTAAATTTTCCTAAAAAACCCCCCTTTTTGGATTTTTTTTTTTTAATAAAAAAAAGAAAAAAAAGTGACCTCTTACCCCCCCCCCCCCCCCCCCCCGCTTATTCAGCGGCTGGCTGAGTCGTTGCGAAATTTTCGGCCCGATTTATAAATGTTAAAACCCCCCCTTGAAAAAATCCTGCGTACGCGCCTGCCAGATACTAATAACATCTATTATATCAAAGGCTATACTGATCATTCAAGAGAATATATTAAGTACAACAGTATGTAAATGATATTTTACCTGTATGTTTTAAACAAGCAGCCTGATGTTTTTCTTACACAATACACTGTTGTAATGAAAGTCATGTTTTATCCTTTTAACAGTTGCACTACTAGTTTAGTTAGGTAGATGTACTATGGAATAACATGAAGTCATCGCTATTGATTTTTGTTTCTCATTTTCTTTTCAGCTGTTTCTGTAACTGCAACCCTGGTTTTGAAGGTCAAAGTTGTTCAGAAGTACTTCCTACAGGTCGTACCCCTCAGCCAATCAGTCCAGACAATTGTACACTGAACTGCGGTGACCATGGCAACATGGTCAGAGGTAGCTGTTCCTGTTTGTGTGACGAGGGTTACAGCGGCAGCACCTGTGCAAGTGAGTTCACCTCCACTGTCGTCGATGTCGGGGAGGAATCTGACAATGACATCAGCTCCAGCAGCAGCAGTGACTACCAAGGTGCTCTTGAGTTAACGCTTGTGATTGGGTCATGTGGTTGAATCATGTGATCTATCATGTGACACAGCAGTTTCTGAATCATGTGACTGATGATCAGTATGTGCTGGCATATCATATGACTTTCTTGACTGATAGATCAAATTGAAATGTAATGAATATTTTGAATCTGGCATCATATCAAGTTAAAAACAATAGCGCTTCCTGCTTGGTCAGATGTTTTGAGAGAGAAACAAATGTAGATTTTACAACAAAAACAAAGTCTTATTCTTTTTAAAAGGGGGGAAACTAATTATGAAATCTTTGAACATTTCAAAATATTTGACGAGAAGTTGGATATCACTTTTGTTTGTTAGCATGATTTGATTATAGAGTTATAAGAACAGAGAGAGTCAGTCAAGAAAAGATGATATGATTTGTTATCACAGAGCTCTACTGATTCATCAATTCATCAGAAATCTTTATTGTCACGTAACCTCCAATGCTTTTAGATTCTTCCTTTCATTTCCACCCTCCCACTAACAACTCCACCCCCTCAAAATTAACTTTTCAGTTCTTCATACACTTATGCTAACCTTTACATTCATGTATTTTAAACAAAGTTCATTTATTGCCCACATTAATTTTCATGTGTCTAATTTCACACACAATTTGTTCATTTAATGCATATCAATATCCTCTAATTTGATCAACATTTTATTTCATGCTGGAAATTTTGAATGACATTATATGTCAGTAATGTTTAAAAAAAAATTGGAAGATAGAATTTTAATCAATTGCTTCGCTGATTTCATTACGTGCTACAAAGTAATGAAACTGAATCTGTGGAATCGTCGATTGAAAAGACTTTTTTGTTAAAGATAAAAGGTCACACTGTCATTGAGATGAATACCATGATATGCCTCCCCCACATATATTCAGAACGCTTTCCATTTAATGAAGCATTCTGTATTGCTTTCCACCATTAACCATACAAACAAATATTTATTTAATATGAAGCCTCTCAAAATAAACATCAATTGCTAATTCATTAACCTGTCTAAATTCCAATACTGATTCTAACTTCTTCTTTACTTGTATCTATAGCATTCCTTTTCTTCTTAATAACACAATGTCACATGACCCCATAGATGAGCCAATCACAAGGCAGCGTTAACCCAAAAGTAACCAGTAGTCAATGCTGATGGCTGTAAGTGATTTGTGTCTGCACTTTTAAAACTAGAAACAAAATTGATGTTGATTCTCATGTAATGAACTCATGTTCTGTTCTTAATTTGATTTTAAGATTCAGTTTTATTTGAATTTAAAGTTATTATTTCTTCATTTGTGCAATTATGATTTATTCATGTATTTATGTTATGACTCATATCTGATGAATATTTTGTGTTTCAGGGCAATTTAAATGGCCATTTGCTAAATTCTAACACTGGGACCAAATTGCCTTTTAGAATGATTTAAAGAAAGGAGAATGGTTCATGTCAGTAATTTCTATTTTAATGTAATTAACCTAATTCTACCTCTATTTGTCACTGTTGAATTTAACATGACTGTTTCGAGCAGTAGCATTTTAAGATGACAAAGTCATTTTTATGTTCAAAATTAGAGAACGTCCACAAGGGAGAGAAAGAGTGAGAGAAAGAGAGGAAATTAAAATAGGACTTGAAGTTCAAGCTGGCATTAAAGTGCACTACGTGAGCAAAATGCGATGACTCATAGAGCCTCACTTAACCATCATTATAAGGAATACAGACTTTAATATTGACATCTAACTTGAGAAGTTTAAAGGGCATTTCCAGCTCCCATTCAATGCCGATGTAATTGGTACCAAGCAGGGATAATAAGCGACACAGTGTGTTTCTCAGCGATACTGATTTAACTAACAGCATATCATTCATTGTGTACATGAATATGTGTCAGAATGAGAGACGCAGGCAGACAAACATTCTTAAGGTGAATGTACATTTAAACACATCAGATGCTGCTACTGGTTTGTGTGACCTTTTTCAGAATATGAAAGTGGTGATAGAATTTCAAGTTATTCAATTAATCATCAAACAAAGAACTTTTATCTTGACATATTTTATCTAATGAAATTGTTCAACACTTGGGAGTACAAGGAAATTGCTTTGAACTTATTTTTCTAGCTAGATATCTACAACAAAGCTTTCATGAAAGAATAATTTTAAAGAATATTGGTATTTAGCATTTGTTATGTTTTTAGGATCTGTATTTGTTCAACTGTTTAAAGCATTACCCAGTCAAAATATCTTATATAATTATTGTTATACAAATCTGAATGATTTTATTCTTTTCATTTTTTTCATTTTTTTTTTATTGTTTCTCATCAACAGGGATTTCAATTCTAATCTCAAATTAAATTGCCTTAAATAATAAAAAAAAATTATCAGAAATAAAAGAGAAAACGAGATCAGTCAGGAATTAAGAGTAATCATGATTTAAGATCTCAAATTTAGTATCCATCATTTTTCTTTTAAATACTCAGCAGTACCAAGAAGATTGAAATGTGGTTACTCGTTTGCAAGCACATGAGCCCTTGTTAATTGTAATGCATAACAGAAGTTCTGAGCAAAGAGACTATACAGAGACCGCAGTCAATAGACACTGTACTGTATCTGCTCCTGACACAACAAAAGACTGACAAAGTTAGGCTCTGCTCAAGACTTAATGAAATTGTCTTTTAATGTCAACTAAGAGTCTGTGTGTGCAGACAATGTAGCTACTTGATAGGACTTGTAAGGGATAACTCAAGCTGAAAGTGCTTTGAAGATATTGCGTGATGCTCCTGACTGGAACACAAACCATCTCCCAGGAGACTGAAGGTTGTAGACCTGTGCATCGTGATGGTATGCCAAATGGGAAACCTTCCAAAAAAAAAGGACTAGTGAGAACTCAACCACAGTCCTTTTATCTACGGGTTGAATGTGCTTCTTTCATACATACATACATACATACATCGGTTGAGCATGCATAAAATGTTATTAATTATGTAGAGTGCTTAAGTAATGGAGATTCAGTCTTTGAAAATGATGTTATCTATGTTTTTTTTTGTGGGTTTAATCCAGATTGATTCATGATAAGGAGTAATGTTTTGTACGTATATTGGTATTGCACAATAGATGTGCAATGTGCATTGATGTGTTGAATGTGTGCTTGATACTAATGGTTAGTCTGCATTTGCTACTCTCTACCCAGGTGAAGGTGTACCCAAGAGAAAGAAATTCATTGACTGCTTGAGCAGCTTATCAGAATATCCTCAGGGGAAAAAAGAACTTCACAACTCAATTATTATTAGTAGTACACTACACTAATATAACCCCCCCCCCCCCAAAAAAAAAAAAAAAAAAAAAATACCTGGAAGTCAACACACAAGCTTTTGCAGGAACTGTTCCTACAATTCAGATTTTGATTTTATGAGAACTGATTCAGCCTAGCTTAGGCATAGGTATGAAAGTGGTGGACGTATCATGAGCGAAGAATGAAAGGGATGATTTCAAATATGTTGTGTAACTTCCCCCTATAGATGGTGGTATGTCAGGTATTCCTGACATGCTGTGTGTATATAAATCCTATGACGTATGAGTCAGTTCATTCTAGGGGAGTCTGTACATCGTTGATTACATCATATGGCACTAATAATTGGTATCAGTAAGAGGAAATAAAGATTAAGGACTTGTAATTCAATAGTTCTGGAGGATAGTAAGAGAGGAAGAAGAGGAAGGGAAGGAGGAGGAAGGAGGAGGAATGATTATGATTTATAAAATACATGTGGACCCATATGTTTCTCTTAAAAAACATCAAACGAGTATTAATTGTCTCCTCTCTTTCAGAATGTTTATCTCTGATCAACTCCTTAAGTTTCTGATTATTCAGATTAATCGCTCTAAAGGGAAGATCTGATGTCTATTTTTAAAGGAGAAATTCTATCAAACTGCTGAAATTTTACTGTATGGTATATCTATATGATAATTTTGTATGATTCCATTCATTGCAATTACTCCTTTGTTATACCATTTTAAGTTTGTTTAGTTCTATGACAAGCTTACAAGCTAAACAATTCAAATGAAATATTCCAGTATTTCACAATGAATTTGAAAATTTTCAGTGCACGAACTACACTTCTTGTCAAGCTATTTCATGTTTATTGTACATTTTTTCCAGCAAATACCTATTTTTCTGATGAATGTATCTTTTATATGTCAGCCTTTGCCTGTGTAACCTTGATGCAAGAAAGAGAGAGAGAATTAAGGGAGAGGGAGAACTGTTTATTGAGTTTAATCTTTCATAAATGACTCACAAAAGGAACCCTGCTCAATACAAGTCCTTCAATTACAATCATGTGATCGTAATCGCATTCATATTCCAACTTCATTTGAGCTGTTACCATGGCAACTGTCTCATGAGAATTCTGAAATATACCTATCTGTGATAGAAATCAGGTCCATGTTTGAAGCAGATGACTAGACACATGGATACCGTATGATTCTCTAGTTTCTTAAAAGTACAACACAGTGTCGGTAAGGAGATTGTAGGTCTGATTTTCTATGTGCTTTTTTCCTTCATCTAGTTAGTCTGAAGCCAAATTGGAAATATTTCTGCATCAATAAATCTTGAAAGCTTTCATCTCACCCCGACAATATATGTTGCCCTTCATCTAATATTTTAATTTTAATGTTCTTTTTGAACTCCTACTTTTTACATAATTTTGAAATTTATCAACATTGATAAAATGTAACTTGTGAAATTTAAGATTTAACCATTTCATCCATGAGATATTCTTGATGCCCCATTCGCACATACAAGAGCAACCAGTTTGGCGTCAGTTTGGGATCAAATGAACAAGAAACTGTCCATTTTTAATCGTTGTGGAATGTGGAGTCTGGTTCACTGTGTGACTGAGATATAAGGGAATGAATCAGCTGTAACAAAAGTTATTTATATTTCAGATATATATATATATATATATATATATATATATATATTAATCCACTTGTCCCTGAGGAAGCTACACTGCATCTCTTAAAAATTCAGGCATTCTGAAGCCAATCTTCTAGAGGTTATGTTTTTCCCTCATAGGTGTGTCCATGAGAAAACTAAGTAAAGAGATTTTCCCCTTTGATTTTTATCAATAATGTGCGTTACCTTTAACATCAGAAGGAGTGGGTGTAGGAATATAGTGGCACCTCATCGTGACGTCAAATTCTAATCATTTGTATCTATTCATACTGGTCACTAAGATACCATCTCAGATATCAGATCAAAAGAGAAGCTAAGTCAGAATGATTTGGAAAAACGTCTTTGTCGTTTCTAGTGTAAGAAGCAAGTTGAGTCATACCTTGCGTCTGTTTTCATGAAATTTGACGTCAATATATGTAACAACTGCAATGTATTTATGACAATTTTTCTCCTAGCTTGTCAAATGCAGTGATTTCAGTAGCTTATAAATGTCAATTATTAGAACTTCTCTTGTGAAATGGAGTAATGTTGAAAGCCAGGAGATTGGTAATTCTTTCACAAAGATATTTATGTCCTTCTGGCTTTCGGCAGATGATATGGAACATCCTGGTTCTTTACGTAGATGGGTTTGTTGAGAGACAGAAGGGTATTAACTCAAATATTTCTGAACTGTTTGATCTTTTGGCTCCTGACAGACGATAGGAAACATATTAAGATGTGACAGATAATGGTTGGATTGTAGTATATACAAATTATACATGTATCCTTTTTAATGAAAATCTGGACCCCTTCCCTTCCAAAAAGTTTGTGTGAAGCCCTAATTTACCACAGACTTTAACGTCTTTTTGGCTCTCAACTGTTAAATTATTATTGTTGGGATGCTGGGTCTTCTGTGTTATAAGCTATGAATTCCAATCAAGTATTTGATTTTATACAATGTAAAATGTCTTGATTCTTTTCTATTTGAGACAGATGTAGGTGAGTTCATTGTGAAGGTTATTTAAGTGGGAGCTATTTTCATGCCTAGGTTTACCTTTTAGAAGTGTTAATACGTTTGATGGCATAGAAAAGGGAAATTTCATCTGTTGCTGAGCGCAAGAAGGACATAGACTCTAAGTAAAGGTATATGAGTGAACAGCCTTCTGGCTCTCGGTAGACTTTGTGTCAAGTTTGTTTCCTGCTTGTTGCCTAGCGGTCTAAAGCTGTATTGATCAGACCTAAGTACCGTCTTCATCCACTGACTCTGGACTCGTGTTTGCTTTGTTTTAGATGACGATGTGGCGTCGTGTCAAGAAGGGACGTACTGCTTTAACGGAGGGACATGCGAAACGTTTCCAAACACAGACGGCCAATCAGGGAGCAGAGCCTCGCTAAATTGCTTGTAAGTTTACATTTGGGTCTTGATGAGAAAGTGCTTTCTACCTTTAACCTGTTTTCACTCGTTTTGGGTTTCATTCTACAAAGAGACCAGATGACTCATGATTTTTGAAAATGAGGTGGGGAAAAAAAGTCAAATAATTTTGTTACTGAATGAAGGAAATTTTTAAAAATTAAGGGTGGGAAGTCCAAGACATTGAAAGATATATAGGTCACTTATAGAGGGATGAAGAAGAAATAAATATAAAGAAATAAATTTTAATATTGAAATGATGATGAAATATTATCTTTCAATACAAATGTCACTTTCCTTATTATATGTATTTATTAATTGTCTACATGACTTTGTTGTGTTTTCACCTCTCATACACATACAGTATATTTATCTGTACCTCAGTATATTAGTACAAAGATTTAGGATTTGTAAATACATTGATGCGTGTGTCTCATATGGCTGTTGCTATATGTCAGTATTCAATTATACCACTACCCCCATGGTTTTATTGTATTACTGCTCTCATCTCATCATTCGCCATCCCTCCAGTCTGAGAAGGAAATTGAAAAAAAAGAAAGCCAGAGTGACATTCATTGACGGCTGTTAAAAACCTCCTCAGCTCGGTCTATTGATTAAAGAAAGTTCATGTGGGGTCAGTTTACCCTGCTCTCTAAATGAAGAATGATGGCTAGAAAATAGGAGCCAACGACCAAACCTCTCCAAAAAAATCAATAACTCAGTCAAGAAAGCCTTTTCTTCAGATAGAAACCTAGAATTGACTTGTTCAGAGAGATAGAGGGAGTCTTCTAACGTCACAATTTGTTTGTGCGTTGAAACAAAATCAAATTCAGTCCAGCCAGCGAGAGAATGAATGTTTCCAGCTTGTTTGCAAAAACTGGCTGAAGTAAACAAGCGAAAATATTTACCCGATCTGTGACATGTGTTCCCATTTCATATGCTATGCTATTTCATTTCCTGTGCACAGATTAACAGGAAATTAAAACCAAATTGGAATTATTTTCTAATCTGTTTTTAGTTTACACTAGTAAAATACTTGACAATTTTCCTAATAGCCATTTATGATAGCATTGCCACATGCTTATCTAACATTCAGCATAGAGAGTGAAAGCACTATACATTGAGATATATTGATGTGCTGTGGAATTGGTCTTTCAAATAAGAATACCTTTTAAGTGGAACGAAAGAAATTGTGAAGCAAATTATTTTGCTGGTTTTGAGAGGCTGGAGACCAATAACATCTATGTCCCAGTTTTGAATATACCAGTTTTTATTTTAACTTTAAATCAGAACATCTGAATGTATATTTCAAAATGTTAACATAAATGAGACTCTGACATGTGTCCCCAATTATAAACAGTTGAAAAATGAGGAATCTTAAATGATTATTTGAAGTAATCATACCATTATGATAAAACTGTTGTGTATTTCTCCTATATCCCTGTGATTTTTGTTTGACTCTGTGCTCTTGAAGTACATCAAAGCGTCTCACATTCGATTTGATCTTTCTGTCTGTAGATGTCCGTATGGTTTTACTGGTGAGCTGTGTGAGATAGAGGTAAGATGTCCTGATCTAGACTGCGGAGCTAACGGAAATCTGTCACCTGATGAATGCACCTGTATCTGTGAAGATAATTACTCCGGACTAACATGTTCAGGTAAGACACAAAGCCATTCAGAACTTACTTGACCAAAATTGTCATTTATTAATAATGCCTGACCTGCCCACAATCACACACATTTTTAGGGATACCAGTTTTCAGTCTATTACCGGATTTTAGTCACTAACCCATCCCAGTGACAGTCATGCTGATGGAAGGCACAACATGTTCATGTATGTGACCTTAAAATCCATGGCATTCAAAACCTCAAAAGTTATATGATTTTGCTGTTTCTTCCATTAAAGTAAATGGCATACATGATCTTTTACGGTAGTCAGAATGAGCATCTGAGGCAGAGGAAATAGAGTCATATCTAACATCATGCTGTAAAATGAGAATTAATTTGTAACTGAAACTTCTCAAGAAACATTCATGAATTTAAAAAATTCAGTTTTGTCAGTTGTAATTCAATTATTTTGCGACATGAACATTTTGCAAAGCTGGACCACTTGCGAAATTTGAAAACGTGCCATGCCTGCATAATTGTCCGTTTTGACAATAACTTGACTCTGCTTGAACATCTAGTCTGCCTTAACCACTTGGTGGGGAGATGGGAGGGGTTCTTATGGGATGTGAAACAAACAAGTCTATAAGTAGAAATTAATGAGAGCAATGATCGAAATCCAGTTGTTTGATGTTATGATGACAGACCTGTTCAATATACCTTGCTAAGGATATGTGCAATTTTCCCAGGGAAGCGCTATCATAATATCCCGCTTTCACAATAGGAAAAAGCACATTCCTGCACGATTGAGGATAGGAAATTAACTCTATTAGAACTCTTCCTTGAATTCAACATTGATTTCTGTCTGGACTGTAACGATAGTAATGATGCAAACTGAAATTCACAATTGGCACTCTCTGTTCTTGGCTCTACTGTCTTTATCTTGCCCAGTTATTTATGTGATAATGAAGAAGTAGGAAATAGGCATGATCAAACAGAATAGTTCATGACTTTATTGGTGTATGAAATTGAAATAATCACTTGTATTCTATGAATTTGGTATGTTGGTAAACAAGATTTCAATGAAATTGTGTTTTATACCCCACTCCTCCCCCTCAAAAAAAATCATTAGAATTGTAAAAGTAACTGAGTTTTGTTTATCTTGGATTAATTTATGGATATTCAAGTGTCATTTAGTAGTAAAAGATAAAGAAAATGGGGGAAATCCTTCTTCAATCAATTACTTGTGGTGATATCATGCAAGATCTCAGCTCTTGTGTGTAATGAAAGATATTTTGTGAAGTGAGCTTCTACCGCAGATCTCAAATGAAGTGCCTTATCTTTGGAATCCAGTGAGTGAAGTCAAGAAGATGAAAGATAAATCCTGACCACCTTACAGGCTTGGAAAGTTGAATGAATCCACTTTGTTTTTAAAAACCAAGCTTTATTGTTTAAATGCATGTACTGAAAACTTTAACTCTATTAGATGTTATGAGTATTCTAGCAAATAATGTTAATGCATTGTGTGTAAATGAATTGAATAAAAAAATGTAAAATGCTGTGAATTAGTATCAATACAGTCTGTAAGAGCATTACATAAATGAACTAATGGCTATTTATGGTAGCATTAATATTTATCATCAAGAACATGTTATGAATTAAGGACACAATGTTCGAATACTTTCAAAATAATGAAATTTTCAGCAGTTCTTTTTATATGTATTTATACATTTTTATTAAATTTCCTCAAACATCAAAATATAGAGCTGCTTGTTCACAGTAGTTTACATCTATGAGATACATTGCATGTTAGTGCAAAGCTATGTGGCAGTGTACTAAACCACAGTTGAGCATTGAGATACTCTTGTATCTTAGCCCCTCCTCCTCGTGAGGTCTTGCGTTTCCGTGGTAATCAAACTCTCAATCAGAATGACCACTAATAACCCTGTACAGGTAACCGCTTACCAACAGATCGATGTATCATGTCATTCTCCTGCTGCCTACAGGCTTAAGTATATTGTACAAGTCCACCGTTGGAATTAGAGGCAGCCATTTTGATTTGTACAATCTAATAATACTTGAGGAAATAATAGAAAGCTGATGTAATTGTTTCAGAAAGTCTCACAATATGTGGGAAATTGGAGTGTCTTTTTAGGAGATGTAAATTCTTCAGGATATTCACCACCAGCGGAAGGACATTCTTTGTTTATACAAAATTTAAATTGAAAATGTAGTGCTTTATAGATATTGAAATATTCAGTACAATAATGATCATAACCTGTTATAGGAAAATGTTCTCATCATATCTCTCAGGTTATACTCATATTTCCAAAATAGAGCATAGAATGTATGTAACCTAAGGTGTAAAAAAAAAAAAAAAGTATTTGAAGACAAATATTGATGAAAGAAAACATCATTGGGGTTTTCTGTTGTACGCAGAAAATCTACATTTTGTATTCTTTCATCAGTATTGGACTCCAAACACATTTCTTTTGAAAATCCTTGCAGAAGATTGTCTTAAATGACATTCTCTTTCACATTTTGATACAATTTAAGTGAAATTTTGCCATCAAATTTTTGGGAGCTCCAAACACTTTAGAGGGGCTTTAATGGCATTAAATTTGTGTTAAAATATATGGTAACAACTTCCCGCCCTTTTGGCTTCAAATATATATTACAAGTTTTCATGGCATATTTCGCTCGGTTTAAATCTATGCAGTAAACAGGTATTATTGAATAAAAAAGATTATAAGTTTGAATGCAATGGATTACTTCTGTCATGTTCTTCACATGTTAACTCTGTGATGAATCTCTCGCTAGAGGGTACATATTACCCACCATGCCTTGGGTAGTTATCGGGCATCCATCACGATCGCCATGGTAATGTTGCACCGGTGTTTAGGTATCTCTTCCCTTCCGATCTATGTATCATCTGCTGATGAGCCGGAGGGTTCAGGAGGAGTATGGGGGAGAGGAGGGATAGTGACAGGTTCTTTTCATCTTGATACTCTACGTGGTGGAGATTGGTGTAGGAGCTAGCCTAGAGCATTTCCAGAGACACTTGTAAACTGATTTTTATTGATGTGTGGCAATGAAAACAATAAGGGTCTCTAGGCATTAAGTCTCAAAAAAAAGTAATAAACAAGATAAAGGAAACCCTGTGTATAAGAAAAGAACCTCTTTAGAATGGTGTTTAGCAATGGGTTTTTCTGAATTTCTGAAGCACACGCAGACAATCAAAAGACCTGCAAGGACAGATTATGCAGTATTGGCACATGAAACCGCTTAAAGATGAAGTTGAGTTCTGGTCATGCGATTGCATTGTGAAAGAAACGATGTGGAACCGACCAGAAAAGGTCGATCATCTAACATATAAGAATTTGTGTGTATTGCAAGGTTCTGGAATCATCAAAATGATACGAAATTTGGCCAAGTCTTGGTAAAGTTACAAACACTTGCACAGAAAGATGTATATGGGACTACACGAACACGTGGCGTAAAAAGCCGCCCCCCCCCCCGATTTTTACGATGTTACATGCATATTTAAAATATGAAGGCATTTGAAGAGCCATGCTTTTCAGGGAACATGTCTTAACTGATGTTCTTCCACACTTGCATAATAAGAATGAGTAATGCTCACAAATTATTTTCACCTCTTCCCAGAACTCAACCTTCTCTTAAATGCTTTTTCCTAGTCTTTTCCATCTTAATGAATAGCAATTGTTAAATATCACCAATATTCCAATGACATCTATGACATAGAGAGCAAATAATATGTACACTTGTCCATTCTTATTTGTTATGTGTTGCAGTGTCCTGTAATTACAAAAATGTACTAGGTTTGCTCTAGAATATTATGTTGTCAGGGCTGGTATTAGCTTCTTTTTTTTTTAAACTAACAAAAAAAAAATCTATATTTCATTTCATTTATATTTTTATCTACAGTTTTGAGTGACAACCACACAATACCTTGCAATGAAGACTACAAGGACTTCTGTTTAAATGGAGGAACCTGCCATCAACTCGTAGGGATCAATAGACCAACTTGCAAGTAAGTCATTCTAACAAAAATACAAAATCCTTTCTGATTCTGTAATTATTTTTCTTTTGAAAGGCTTAAGCACCAACATTATTTTGTTTATTCCTCATCACCTTGCAATATCACTGAAAAATAAAACTGCATGAAAATATAGACCATCCATTATAACAGAGTTTGTTTCCCCTCCCTCCAGAATACAGCTATCTACCCTAGATATCAACATGGTAGAGTCCAGATTGCATGCCCTTCTCCCATTGGTCCAATGCATGTCGTGGGTTGAATGTGGGAGTGCTGTTACAAGACTACTAGTGCATGTGCAATCATACCATTACAGATAAATCCATACTCTCTACCTTAACATTGCTACTATCATCACCACCTTTTTGATAATCCCCCCCCCCCAAATAACATTTAAGGGGTGGAAATTGCAAACTTGTGCAGTGATAAGTTATATAATGAATGACATCTCGACTTGATTTAGAGTAATGTTTGGACTGTTTAGAGTTCCTTGTGCAAGAAGAGGGCCTTGGATCATCTAGAGTGCAGTGCTCTGTAGTGATGTTCATGACATGAGTATATATTGATGGGGCTGTGATAAGCATCTGTCAACACACCATAGGACAAACTTCTTCCAATTCTCATCCAAATTGAAAGAAAGCGAGATCCAATTGCCCAAGCCCTGACATTGAAAAATTCTTTCACTGTCAAATGCATATTTATGCACCTGTTGGCACTGATAAGTAAAGTAAAAGATGTACTACCTCCAAGAAGGTTGACAGCAACAGATTGATGAAAATTTCATTCTTTTCCAGCAAAGGAGGAAAATAATTGACAGGGAACGGATTCCTCAATGTTAGAGACTGGATATGCAGTTTAAATGTTCTGATTGCAGGAAACTTGTAAAAAAAAGCTAGCATAGCATGGAGGGGAGGGGAGGGGGTGTTTCTAAGATGCTCAGAGATATAGATTGTATTTCCTCATCCGTCCATTAGCAAGATCAAGGTGAAACACCTGTCTAATGTTACCATGGTAACTGAACCCTTTCCAAGGGGAAGTTCTCTTGTAGCGGGGCAATTACCAGGGCTTTGAGTTACAGCTTTAGGATAGAAATGGTAGAAAGGTGAATGAGAAGACCCTGTGGGATTGAATTTATGGGCCAAGAAAAAAATGTTCAGTTTCAATGGTGTATTAAGTCTCCAGGTACATCATGCAGCCAGGAGGAAGCTAACTTTTATCATTTTACATTGAATTAATGCCCCTTCTGCATGGTACATTGTAGATTATACCGGTTATTATCTCAGGCAACACAAACTGTACATTAATGAAAAGGAATTTTGTTTGAGAGAGAGAGGGGGAGAAGAGAGAGAGAGAGAGAGAGAGAGAGAGAGAGAGAGAGAGAGAGAAAGAAAGAGAGAGAGAGAGAGAGAGAGAGAGTGGGGAGGAGAGAGAGAACAAAAACAGAGCGAGAGGGGGGAAGAGTGATAGAAGAAAGAGAGAGAGAGAGAGAGAGAGAGAGAGAGAGAAACAGCAGCCTAACTGTTAACCCCTTGCCTATGAGAATCAAGTGGCTCATGTATTACACCTATGGTAATGAGAAAATTCAGTAGTGAACAGATTGTGATATTCAGATAATGATTAGGGAAGGAAACAACTCTGATGTTTCTACACCTCATTCAATCTTTCTTCTCTTAAATTGGACCAGATGATTGAATCTGAGCCTATCAAATACAGGCCTTACAAGTGGAGATAGGTCTAGTAGAGAGCAATGGGCAGTAATGACTTGCAACTGGAAGTGAAATATACAATAGAATGGAAAATAACAAATTTCTCTTTGCATCTCGTTTCCTGGGATGCATGATGTACATGAGAAATATGATCACTTAGAGATGGGAAGGAAAAGAGAGAGACAGAGAGAGAGAGAGAGAGAGAGAGAGAGGGAGGGAGAGAGGGAGAGAGAAAGAGACAGAGACAGAGAGAGAGAGAGAGAGAGAGAGAGAGAAAAGTGGAGGAGGAAGGATGGAAGAAAGCAGATAAAGAAAAGGATTATAAGCAAGAGAGATTACAGAGATTTATGGAGACAGATAAATAAGTGACAAATTGAGAAATTTTGAAGAAATTAGTGAGTAAGTGAGCAAAAGAGAAAGAGAAGTGAGAAAAACAGACCACCAAACCATCAAAGATAACGAGACATTAAGAGAAAAACAAAGAAAATGAGAGTAAAAATAGAGAAACAGATGAGTAACCATGGCGTTAACAGGACAGAAAGAGAGGAAGAAAGAGACAGATGAGGAAGAAAGGTATGGAAGAGGAATAAACAGAAAAAGCAGAGAGAGAGAGAGAGACTGAGAGAGACAGGGAGAGGGGGAAGAGAGAGAGCGAGGGGGTAGTGTACAGGGGGTGGGGGGAGAGAGAGAGAGAGATTTAATGAGTAAAAGTAGAAACCAGAAAGTAAGAAGAGAGATATCATCAAAAATGGGAGCAGACAAGGGACTGAATGTATAGTGTGATGAATGAATGTATATAGAAATGACGCCAAGAGATGAAGACCCAAAACAGGGATTGGGAAATAATTCTTAGAATAGCTCAGCTATTGAAATGAGGACACCTAACATATGAGTCATGTACTATCATAGCACCCCCATCGATTGAGGAAATGGAGAGCGATGATGAGCTGGGGATTTGATGGCTGGAAAGCAAAACAAACTGCAACATTAGTGAGCCGCTATGTCAGGATTACAATGGTAGCGCGAGTGTAATTGGTTGGGGAAAGAGAGTGGGAGGGAGGGATTCAAAGCAGTGTCCAAGGAGATGAGCTAGAGCTGCTCTCTGGTCGGGAACTTGTTTTCATTTCTTTAAAGATAACAGTGATAATAAGTGAGACATTGGTGTAAGAAGGTGAGTCAGTGTGCTATCTACGGGATATGATAACATTGTCTGTCCACATCTATGGACTATGGGAAAGAATGAAGATCGCCAAACCTCTTTGATGGCAGGAAGACTCTTGAACAGAATTGATAATCTTTTAGCTCTGTGTTGGATAAGATTAAACTTTTCTCTCAAAGTTCCTGACTTCAATTTTGTTAAACATCATAGGAGACTATGGCCTCCATCTTCATTTTTTCCTTGAGAGAGATTTTTTATTTCCCTCTCTCTCCCTCTCATTCACTGCCTTTAATGTCCATCATTATTTCATAAACTGCACCCTTTCACATCACCATCTTTCTAGGGTAACTTGCACATGCACTGTATTATTGTATAGGCCTTGCACACTCTTTCCACTATACACCAGTATACCCCCTCCCCCTCCCTGCTCCACCTTTTCGACCCCCCCCCCCCTCCCTGAAAATGGAGAAAATTTATCAGGTTGCTAAGATATCTTCATTCTTGGCAAAAATGATCCACCCAAAGTATAGAACAGTTGTTAGGCTGTTCTTAGCCTCACCTGTGAAATACTGTACCTATACACATTTCCTTTTTAAATTTCCTCTCTTTAATAGTGTATAATTATACATAGTTATTAAATTGTAATAAACATTTACCTTTAATCTAAGCTGGGATGTGTTCCCCCATCGTGATATAGCTGCATTTTTACTTCCTCTTTGCTCAGGTTCAAATATTGCAAAATAAAATGATGCCATGAATTGAATGTGGAATTGTACTTTATGGTCAATAACTTAAATAGCAATCTTCATATTGTGCTCAAGCAATTAATTACCTACTTGAGGTAATACCTCTCAAAATTATAGCAATGTCCGAAAGAAACAAAATATATAAAAGTGAAATTAATTTTGTTGTGTTCATTTACTCTAGATTTTGTTATTATATATTTTCAAAGCAGAAATATATGCTTTCTTAATTCAATTGTTCATGAGATATCTAAATCAACCTTATCTGCAGCTTTAAAACTTTTCCTGTCTTGAAAAAGCTTATTTTGTTTGCAGTGAACGTACAACATCTATGATTTGATTGCATGGTAATCCTTCTCATTGTGCTGTGGTCAAAAATGACATTATATTAATCAGTTTGAGCTCAACTTTGCATGTATGACTATGATTATTCTGCAATTGCAGCTTATTTTATGTGAAATCTATCTTTGGGTGTGTGCGTGTGGGATTTAAAAAATATAAACAAAACTGGTATAGCTATTGGTCAGGAAAATATACCACTTTGCACTACATTGCATGCTTTGAATATTTTGAACAACATTGAATTTTACCCAATATCTGCATTATACATTGTGTATTGGCATAGTATGCTGTGTATATGGTGACATTCTAGATTTCAGCTTTTTACACTCTTTCAGTTGAAAGGGAAATGATGTGAGGCAATTTGAGGAAAGCATTAAGTATGATTTTGATGATTTATATGCATACATTTATCACATTATGCTTGTATCTGAAAATGGTGGTTTTTATGGATATTTTGAAGAATTACTGTGAATCACGTTATTTAAATGCATTTCTTTATTGCTGGCATTGTTATGTTTCACATTTTATAAAGTATATACTGCACTTCATCTTATATATATATATGAATGAGAGAATATGTTGATCATGGCACATTCATATCTTTTTCATCTCATTACCATGGTTACAAATGTCTTTGGACTAAGGAGAGGATTTCACTCAAACACTGATGCAAATACAAATTTTGAATTTTGAATTTAAAATGGCTGACAAGATCTTTTGGAAATTCTTGAAGTGATTTTTAAAAAAAATATATACCTGGGGTGTTTCTCAAAGACTAAAATCGACTTAAGTTGGACTTGAACTATGGCAGGCCTTTCATGCCACTGGTTGCTCTCACCATTGGTCTCCCTCAAGGGACGTCACAAATCTACAGAATTTAAATTTATTGATTGTTCATTGTGGAAGAAAAAAAGGTACTTACATTGTATACTTGAGTTATATTTAAGACTGTTTTCTTCAACAATGGTTAGAGCAAACAGTGGCATGAATGCCCTGCCATAGTTTAAGTCTAGCTTAAGTCGATCTTAGTCTTTGTGAAACACTCCCCAGTTCTATGTCATATGATATTATTAGCTGTTTTTTAGTTAACTTGATAACTGATCTCATATTCTACATTTTAAATAATAGATATAGAATATATTTAATCATATTCCTACTTTAATTAGATCTAAATTAAATACATTCGAATGAGAAAAAAGTACATAAAGATCGTGCAATTCAGTGTTTATGTGAAATCCTTGAGTTTTGTGTTTTGAGGTGGGTTTTTCGTTTTCCTTTATCTAAAATTGGTCCAAAGGTTTCCATTCCAAACCAGTTGTTTTTAATAGCCGCAAAAAAAGCTGTACTGGGAAATATTACATATTCCTTTATTTCCACTTTCTTAAATTTATGCGTAAGGTTAAAGGGGCAGGAGGCATCGTGTTTGTGTTTTCTTTCTTTCCTTCCTATTGTCGGCTCTATTCTATGTTTTATCTGTCTATTATCCGTCTTGAGATTCAGATTGTAAAATGTAAAATCATCTCTTTCTTGTATTCCACCTGATTCTCTTGCATGCATTAAAATCATTCATACATCAGTCTAACTCTTCATTGATTTCATCATGGGTGCAAATGGACTTTAATCCAAGATGTCTTAGATAAAGGTATAAAACTGAAAGGAAATCAATGTGATGATAACAATAGGATTTGTAAGATTATAAGGCCATGAAGAAAATGTGAATATTTCTCCGGTGTTGGAATCCTAGATCGACGAGACATATATCTAGGTTGGATTTTTTTTAATTTAGAGGTTTATTCTTGAATGACTGGTACTGATTCATATGAGAGATTTTATATATCAAAGGAAATAAGACTTTGTAGGAATATAAACTACCACCAACGGTTTGACATTTTGAGAGTACAATAGCTAATTTAAACAAATGTGAGATAATTTTCTGTAATTACTATTCCTCATAGCTTGTAAATGAAATGTCCTTCCCTGTAAAAACATATTTGAACTTAACCTATTAGAAGGTAGATTTGATCTTTACTCTGGGTTACTTGACCTACTATCCCTTTAATTTCCACACAAGATGCTTTCAAAGTGAGAGAAATGAGGACCCGTAATGTTAGCATCTTTACCGCATCACCAATTAGGGCAGCCGTTTTAGGTGCGAAACCGGCGGCCAATCATCCAATTTTATGGAGAAGGCCGGGTTTTATTACAGCCAAGCTTATTATTTGAGGTAATCTGTTGCACCGTCTGTCCTACTCCTCTCCCTCTCCTCCTCTCTCTATCCTACTCCACTCCCTCTCCTCCACTCTTTCTCCTCCTCTCCTTCTCCTCCTCTCCTCTCCCTCTTCTCCTCTCTCTGCTCGCTCTGTCCTACTCCTCTCCCTCTCCTCTCTATCTCTTTTCCTCTCCTTCTCCTCCTCCTCTCCCTATCCTCCTCTCCTTCTCCTACTCTCCCTCTTATCATCTCCCTCTGCTCTCTATCCAACTCCTCTCCTTCTCCTCTCCTCCTCTCCTCTCCTTCTCCTCCTCTCTCTCTGCTCTCTCTATCAAACTCCTCTCCCTCTCCTCTCTCTATCTCTCCTTCTCTCCCTCTCCTCTCTCTATCTCTCCTTCTCTCCCTCTCCTCTCTCTATCTCTCCTCCTCTCCCTTTCTCCTTTGCTTTAAGAGGGGAGTAGGAGTTTGAACAGACATAGAAAGGTGTTTGAAATTACCCTCCAACACGTCTGTATGTTTGCAGAGTGTGATGCACATACTCAACTAGGCAGCATTAGCGGGGATTTACCTTAAAGCTAAAATGCAGAATCGGTGTAAAGTTTCCACTTTTAAAGGGATTTTTTAGATTCTGTGATTTAGAGAATTTGCGAGTTATTTTGTTGAAGAAGTCATATAAACTTTGTAAAAGGATTTTCATTTAGCAATATATGTCAAAAAATAAAGTCTTTAAAAAAAAAGGACACCCCTTTGGAATATACACTGTAATTGTGTCAAAAATTAGTCGGAGTGTGCGAATGTTGTTGATGAAGGTATTATATGCAGTTTTAAAAAAGATGTGGATGATTTGTAATCATAGATTTGAAAGGTAGGAGACCATTTGTTTAGGGAAATTTGTCGAAGAAGATACTTTTTTCTATACTGTGAAGTTATGGAGTGATGTTATGGAATGTTGGCAAATATTATAATATTTCCTACAATGCCCATCAGTTCTATAGAACTTATGTTTAATCAATGTACTTTACGTTACGTATGCTTTTAATGAAGATAAACCGCAACATAGTTATTTGAAGATATTAGTGGTTGAAAAATCAAAGAACAACATGTTCCAATACTCTGTTGAACCACCATCATGTCGAACACATCTCACCCTGTTGCTATTGTATTTTCTAATAATCACTTCTTCACTGAATGTAAGATTCCTGCTTTGTTGTTTGCAGCCCTATGTTCTGCTGTGTATTGCTCAAATCGCTATTCATGTCTGTCCATCGGCATCTGTAAATGACATCATTTGGCTTTGTTGTTGCATTCTCCATCTATGTCATTTGATTGTGATCCAGTTTGAGTTCAAATGGATGTTCCGTGCTTCAAATTATATTTTTGTTTTTGCTGCTTCTGTTTGCTTTATTGTCATGCCTGTAGGAGTCAGTGTGAATGATTGTAACCTCCCCCGATTGTCCTGCTATGTTTGTAACAACCCTATACCCCTCTTGATTTGAAAACGAAACTCACAACCAACCCTACCCTTCCCATCAAACCAAACCCACTTTATGAATACAGGTGTCCGGACAATAAGCGCGGTCAAAGGTGCGAAAGCAGCGTGATTGAACCGAACAAATGCTACGCAGGATACTGTCTCAATAACGGAACATGTCGTTATTCCGTCAAACGAGACAAACGCAGATGCATGTGAGTAGCTGAGGACATTTTGAAGTGGGCCATTTTTTACCAAAAATGTGTTAAATAAACCAAAAAATAAGTCTAAAACCATATAGACCAGTTATATTTGCTTCATCTTGTAATGCTCTCATGAATATAAAACGTAGAATAGAAAGGTTGCTAGGTGATGGGTGTCTAACTTCAAAATATATTATTGTGACATTTTTACGAACATTGTATGAGAATATGTCTCACCTCACATACAAATCATCTCTTGAAGAATTGTGGAAAAGTTGTTGACATTCCTAATTGTGAATCTGTGAACTATAATGGGATCATTCTCATTAATTTGTTAGTTTATCTGTGAAGGACCAGTTCAGTAACACACCTGTTCCGTGCCCCGCCCACCTCTGTCACACCCCTTTCAACCATTCCCCATTACCCCTCTAAAGAAGCTTTAAAACGTCACCAAAGAGACAGATGAAGGTTCATTCATGCCAAGTTGATTTTTATGATGCAAGGATCTTGAATCGGTTTGGACAAACAGGTTTTAATCCAAAATCTCATCAATTTGAGACAAAAGGAAAGACAATCTAATATTTGTTGTTTTACTTCTTGAGCAGTTGACATATGTTGACATGACCAGCTCCTAGATGATTCTGTCTTCTTGGTGACTCTTTGGAGCTTCTATACCCCTCCTTTCCTGACCTCCCTCCTCATCCTACTCAAGCTTAACATACAGATACCAAAGGAACAATCATTAAATACATTCACAGCTCATGCACACCAGACACCATCATCATCATCATCATCATCATCATCATCAAAAATCTATTGACATGCATTTCACTATCAGGGACATTTTCATCATAACCATATGATGCTTTAATACTCAAGAATAGATACAATTTCTCTGTTTAATAAAGATACTTCTTTTTAATACAAAAGAAAAAGACTTAGCAAAGTAGAGAATGGCTAGAGAAACTATGAGCTAAGTATAGATAGAAACTTCTTTCTGGCTCATAATAGGTTTGTCCATAAAGTCATTTCTGTTTATAAATTTATTTGGTACTCTTTACTAGATAAAAATATCATTGTTGGTGAGCTTAAGAATCAGTAGAAATATGCTTATCAAATGGGATATGTTAAATCTGCCATCTGGTTGACATTCATACATTATATAAAAGCAAGAGTCAGTTCAATATTAGGAGTTTGTTGAGATGACAAACCTCTATGTTAATGCTACAGTGGGATCTTTTCCGTGAGAAAATGATACAAACTCTTAACATACCCAATCTTACCCAACCCCTTACCTATTTCCGAAATTCCTCATACCCACCCCTAATTGCAAGTATTATGTGTTTGAAAATAAGCATTTATGTCACAGTCCATCCACACACACTCACAATATATATTATAGTCCTATATCATGGACAGCTTGTATACTAAATTTGATCAAGAATATTTTGCATTGTAAGTGCATGTACACTAAAAATAATGAAATGACTACTGAATCTTGTAGCTGTTGGTCAGCCCAATAATCCTTACAAATTTATTGTTTTCAGTCGATTATAGAGAAAATTGCCTCTCGATAATCATGTTATGATAAGTCAAAAGATATATGTACAGCATCTATCGTGAGTATACTGGTAACTCAATTAATGTTATCAATATGCAATGTAGTGTTTGATTGTGTAAATAAGACCCCAAAAAAAATCATCCCATTAAAAAGCAAAGAAAACAACGTACCCTATGCGTTCAGAAGCTATGAACATTTTAAACATATATTACTCTTAAACTATAAAAAGTAGAAAGTTCAAGAAAAGTTGTTTATGCTTTAATTCTTGTAAGAAATCATTTATAGAAATTTAGAATTTTAGAAGAATTATGAGCTTTAGATATCATTAAATGAAAAATGTTAGAACCTCAAAATTGAGTCTAGGTTAGAAGCAAATGTAAGATGATTCTTTGCTGATCAAAATATATGAAATAGTCTTCATTTTGCATTTTTTTTTTCAAATCTAAAAAGATATAGCTTAAAGCAAATTGGGTGCTATCTCTTTGTGTGTTGAGTGTAATTTAACACAATGGGATCTCAGTCTTCTAAATGGTGTAGGGATATAACCCTCCCTTTCCCATCTCAAACCATTCACCTGTTCACTTTATATCTTCCTTTCATTCCCTATGCCTATTATTTCACCTGATACCAGCTGTATACCCCTACCACACCCTGCTACCACCCCTCTCTTACCCCCTACTACCCTCTATTACCCCTCTATTACCCATCTATTACCCCTCTACTCCAATCTACAAAGTGCCATCAGCCAAATATGGCAATTAAAATGTAATGTTATAGGGCCTTGTTGCACCCCACCCAAATCAGAAATTTTGTTGGTTAAAATGAATAACCAAATGAACCAATCACAGGTCACTTATGAATAGGGAGCAACATAACTCAAAAGGTTTGAATGTGATTGGCTATTTAGGTGACTACATCTAGTTCAAGAATTACAATCAATTGCAGTCCTTCAGAATTACATTGTTCTACAGTCATCAACAAAAGCTGTGATTCTAATTGTCTGAAGGGATATTTTGGGAAAATTCTCCAAATCTGCAATCTCTTTCTACCTTTTTGCAACAAGATCCTTATAAAACAATTTGATGTCATAAAATAATGTTTTTAAAAATTTGTTTGTTGGTAGCAGATCCGTATGCAACATTCTTAGCTACAAATACCAAAGAAACTATTTCTATTGCCAGTTTTAACATATGAAATATACTCATGTGGCTGTCATGTACTTTTCATTGGTGATAATCCCTGAAATTATTATCAGTGTGGAAATTTACAAACTAAAGAAGATTCTACTCTGAAATTTGGTTTGAAAAAAGAAAACAAACTGTGACATTATACATTGATATCATGTGATAAGAAGAATTGGCTATAGAATTATAAACAGGATATTCACTCTCTAGAGAGATGCCAAGTAATAACAATCGGGACTGATGTCCAGTACATGGTTTAATTTTAAAGTATCTTATGTCCTCTTTGGATATTTAAGCAGTATCATGTAAAGAATGTTTCTATTGGTAATTAGAATAGTTATATAGACATTGAGACTCTAAAGGGGACTTTAACAATTTCATTTTGACATAATGTACAAACTTATTTGATCTTACATTCTGTATGGAATGTCATTCGAAAATATTAGCATTCTTTTCAGAGCGTAAAACACTTAGTAATCATTTAATCCTTATAGTAATAACAAATGAACTTTATGATGCAATGTCCAATGTAGTTGTATTAAAGATTGTCTGTCTTTCAAAAAATGTACCGGTAATGAATTTATATAGTGACATTTTCACTAATGTATCAAGTTATAGATATTTGTAGAAAAGAAAGTAAATAAGATGTTTCCACCATCGATAGTAGATTATCTATTGTACTTTAAGTTATTGAAATGTAATGTTTTCATCCCAACTTTATTTTTGTTTTCAATGAAATTTTAAATGATTTAAGAGGTACTGTAAACATTGTTGTCTTATTGCAATGTCAATACAAAAAATTGAATTGTAACAACGTTCCCTTTTCCTGTACCCATATGCCTAATGGTATGTCCTTGTGGCTTTGTGTGGTCCCCAAAGAGCCACACCCTCCTTTTTCTCCCCCTCCCCTTTCACCACTCCCCACCTCTAACTCCCCCACCTGTAGCCATTTTACCTGCTGTCTTGCTAGCAAAGTTTCAATGCTGCTTAATGCCAACATCTTGCATTATTATTTTGTTTTATCAACAAGTTTGGGTTAATTTGCTGAAGTGTTTTACAGCTACCAGTATGACAGTGCCTTCATAACTCCATGCATGATTTCATTCATCATCTGTATACATATCAACTTTCATATATATCCTGATATATGTAATATATCAATGTATATCTTTCTCTTTCAGCTGATCAATCGTAACCTTGATACAGCTTCATGTATCTCCTGTTTCTTAAACTGTTCTTTTTCTCTTCCAATTTTAATTCTCCCTCTTTATCCTTCCTTTCTTTCTCACTTTCTCTTCTCTTCTCTTTTTCCTTCAATATATTATACATTTATATATTCTTCTATGTACATTTACTTTCCAGAACCATCAAGTAATACTAATTGCTGCTGTAGCATTTAGAATAACACGTATAGATGCATTAACATATCTAATAATGAGAATGATGTATATATATATATATATTTATATATCCACTTCTATGTGTATATATTTAACAAGCAGGCTCTACCTAAAAAGCTAATGAGGGGCTAAAATTTCCCATCTTGATATTTAATATTTTCAAAATTTTAATTCATTTTTCTATGATTAATGCTATTTGAATATGTATTTTTTTTAAATGTATATGTGTAATATCTTGCTTAATGTAGAGACAGCTAGTGTTTCTTCAATCCCAAATTTTATTTGAATCTCTCTATTATCAACATTATAACAAAGTTGACATTTTGTATAACCACAGGATTCATGAATTTTATTAGTAGGTTTTCCATATTGTATCAGAAACCATTGTTTCACATTTTGAATCATAAAATACAATGTGTGCAACATTACATGCTTTGTCTCATTTTTATTAAGTTTTCAAGTTGGAATTCAAGATGTTTGAAACATTGCAAAAATGTGTATCCATTCCATTTGTTTCATGTATAAAAATGCTATTCCTGGGAAATAGAGGAATTAATATCTCATTATTCCATTATCATGATATTAATGGTCCAAAAGTACAAGCATTGTTATCTTATTCTGTATTCACTGGGATTGCTGTATGGTTAAAATCTCACACAAAATTTGGAATTGGATGGAAATTAACAATTCAAATGTATGATGTAGGTCCGTTTTTAAAATGTTTTTATGACTATGTAGTACAAGATATAATCAATGTTCATTAGTGGGGTTAACAGGCAGATGAATAAAAGCAAAATCTTCCCCATTATTTTTAGTTCAAAATATCGAAATAACTATTTTGATGGACCATCTTAATCTCAAATCTATTTTTTGAAAGTGAACCAAAATCAGAGATTCTGTGGTGTTCTCAATAATTTATTTTTGTTTTAACTCATAAAAAAACATTGTTATATTGCTTTCTTTTCTCTCTTTATTTCTCCCTCTCACCACTCCTCATCCCTCGTTGTCTGTGCTCTTCTCTCTACTCATCTTGTTTGTGTCATCCGTTCTCTGTTTCGTCTATCCATCTCTTCTTCGTTCGTCTGTTTGTCGTCCTTCTCCTCCTCCTCCTCTGCAAGTGGTCCACACTCTTCTTTATTTTTTTTGTTTTATTTCCCGCCTCGTATAGCTGTCCCGACCTTTACCGTGGGTCCTCTCGCTGCCAGTATATTAATAATTATAATCCGAGCAAAGCGCCACCTGTAGTCCACCCGAGTAAGTACGAGATAAGCATCCACGTAAGAAAGACACAGGGAGTAAATCAGCGCAAACAGTCGGCCACGCAAAGTGTTTCCTTTTAAACTTTCAATGACTCGTCAAAGTTTATAGGAGACATTTGCAAATGGCTGGTGATTTGTGCTGGTTTGCTGCCCTCTTTCGTATACGTTGTATTAACTGAAACTTGCACTAACAAGAGTAATGTGACGATATTCGTTCTCTCTCCCCTTCCGAACTTATTATCTCTTGTACAGTTGTTTGCAAAACTATGGCGGACCCCGATGTCAGTTTATTAAGCCACAACACGTAACCAGTAAGTAGGCAACACCCGCCTGTGACCCCCGTGACCTTTGGCCTGATGACCTTCGGCACCATGTGACCTGCGGCTCTTTCTCTCTCTATCTCTCTCTACAACCCTTTCTGTCTTGTGCTAACTTGTGCCCCATTGTGCATACAGGTTGTACAGTCAGTAGCATCCGTAGACTATATATCTATTGCTGAGAATCATACGTCCATCAATTGTACAAACCCACACTTGACTAAAAGAAACAACACTTTCTTTGGGGGAGTAGAGGAGAAAAAAGATTATAAATTATGGTAGCTACATGTCACAAATAACAGTCAGTAGCAAAAGAATATTTGAAATATATTAATTCTTTTTTAGGTTTTAAGTGCCAAGGGTTAACCTTATCATCCTGTACAAATGAACATCATTCTGGAACAAAATTAAAAATTAATTGATGTAATCAAATAAATTGCTTATTTTTATTTCATGATTACAATCATGTTGCGTGAATATTTTGAGACAAAAATATAGAATTTGGATGAAATGGGGAGATTACATTTGGCATTCCATAAATCAGGGTACTGATCTTCTTTTAACACTTTGACCATTTTTATGAATTTTGGCCGATATGTTCATATCTTAAGCTGAAAGCTTTAGTTAAATTCACAATTTCTAAGAGAAGACATGGGTCGAGTTGTGGGCAAACCATTGTTGTATGTATGATTCAGCTGTAAACCGCCTTCAGTCCCAAGGGTATAGATCCATGTATAGGTGACTTGGAGGGTTACATGGATGAGATCTGAAACACAGATGTCATGACCTTTGACCCTATGACATCACAATCTCACCAAACTCTATCTTGCCTGTTGCATTATGTTGCTATTTCTCATGCATGCACTTACCAAAACAAGTCTACATCACACAATAAAACGAGGTGACATTTAGCAATACATTTCAAAAGATGAAAGAAATCGTACATATTATTGGACTAAATTTGGATTTTGTTTTAGGGTAAATAGAGAAAGATTTGACACATCCGAAAAAGTGACTTTGGTTTTGGAGTAGAATATGTTATGTTTCTTGAAAGTCATGCTACTTTTAGGAGTTAATTTTTATGGGAGAGCATCCTTACCATCTTCTGGAAGTCACTTTCAAACAGTTTTTGTTAGGAATTTTTAAAAAGAAAGTATATTCACTCATCTGAAATATAATTCAAAGTTGAAAAGAGGATTTATGAAGAAATAAACGCAATACTTAAAACATTACCTCCTAAATTGTTTAGATAATTGAATGCATAAGACACTTGAATACACCCCACCTCCCACTTTGGCAGAGTATCCATAAAGAGTCAACAAATTCCAGAAAGTTCACAATCAGTGTTAGATGTATAGAAACAAGGTACTTGGTGAATAAATGTGTATCACAGTCAACTCAGTCAGTGTATATTGAACCCCCCTTTTCACTTTCAGCTTTGTCTATCTTCAAAGTGCCCCTCCTCGAGAAAGAGCCCATCTATTTAATCAGCTTCTATCCCTTTCAACACCCCCCCCCCCTTACCCTAATCTCCTTAGATGTACAAGTCCTACTTGTGGCAGTAGGTATTGCATGTCAGTCGTAGAACACAGAGGGAGTCAGTCGTAAGCATGCTCTATTCAATGTCTGTGTCAGTGGTGATGTATTGTGGGTACAACCAAGTATCATGGGTAATACAAGGGGATTGTGGGTAATGAATGAGCAATGTGGCAAATTTAGCTATAAATATTTTATTTGGGAATTTGCCTTCGCTTTGATATGTTTTACTCCTGGATTTCAATTCATATATATAAATATATCAATATATCAATACCTTATTTCATACAACAAAAACATTTCTATTACTACTTTCAGCTTGTTCTAATTGGCCAATGGGAGGGAATGGCTGTAAGAATAACTATGGTAACATTCAGGACTGTAAACAGAAATCTGTTTCCATTGACATTTCTTTTAAAGAAAGAAATGCCCAGCCAGGCAAGAGTGGGATGTGATGTGGGTTGTGAGTGCAGCTCAAACAAACTTTTAGATAATTTATGTTTTAACATTTTGGGCAAGATTTCAAAGGACACTTAGCTAGGGGAAATAACATGAGAGGGTGAGGCATTTCGCCAAGTTCAAATATATAATTTATAGACAGAGAAAGTGTCAAGAGTATTCGGTATGTTATTTGTAGGGGACTGTTTTGAACATTTCCCCAATTCTTAACAGATGTAAATCTTTCAGATGCAAAAGCAAGATAGCAACAGATTTGTCTCATACATGTGACATTAAATTTATATCAATAAAAGTGATGGCAAGCTTTCAAAGATCTATTATTTTGACATTAAGGGAGATTTAAATGAGGCTAAGGAAATATGCTCAGGAAAGTTTTTTCTTCTTAGGAACAGTCTTTTTCTATCAGCCCTGTTAAACTCGACTAATTCTTATTATAAGTTTTTAATAGCCCTCTTGACCAGTCATTACATACTTCATACAATGCTAAAGCTATATTTTGCTTCAATCAGTCAGTAAAACTTGAAACAAAATCTTGTCTGGCCAATATCAAACCAGTTCCTACTCATCGTATGTACTGTAAGGCTACATATTTGGTCAGATGGCCGTTTAGAGGCATGGAGAGAGGGGTCAGCGCAATAAAGGAAAGGAGCGGGAAATGAAACAAATCCTCTTGGCTTGATGCCCTGTATCGGCCAAGGGGCTGGAAACCTATGAATGTTGAGATTAACTATAACTGTCATCAGTGGATTGAAGACATTCCTATGTTCAGAAAATTTACTGATTGAGCCTCAAGATATTTGGCTTTTTCAGAAGATGTCTTCATCAGTAAAGGTGTTGTAAGTTGTCACTGCCCCCATACTGTTATATGGTACTTTTTGTATTTTATCTGTATGAAATGATCTTCATGAATATGGTTAGGAAGTTATGCTGACTTCATGTTAATTTGCTCACACAACATGTGCTATAGGATATCCATTTGGGTTTTAGGTTATGTTTAAGGTTAAGGTTTGGGTTTGGTTATTGTGTTTGGTCCAAAAGTTGGGGAAATGGTTAGCATTGGAACTTTATCAGAGAGCAATTGTTGCTTAAGAATGTGTTGTAGAACCAATATAATTGTGATTTGAACCTTAGCATCCCAATAATGTGTCTCTTGGTTTAATCTGATTCTCAAGATGATCTCTAGTGGTGTTCAAGGGATGGGGTGGGTGGAGTTTTTTAGTTTATGATGATTAAACCATTATTTTACCTCCTCAACCAGGCATTGAGCAGAATTCTATGAAGGTTATCATCACGTTGACTGTCATCTTCATCAGTCTTCTCCTGGTTCTTCTTCTGGTAGTCTTCATCTACATCAAGAACAAGTGAGTATGATAGGTGCGATCTAGACCAGTCCAGTCCTGTAGTGCACTCCAAGCCATGTCCAATGGCAGGAGCGATCTAGACCGGCCCAGTCCTGTAGCACACTCCAACCCATGTTCAATGGCAGGAGCGATCTAAATCGGCCCAGTCCTGTAGCACACTCCAACCCATGTTCAATGGCAGGAGTGATCTAGACCAGTCCAGTCCCGTAGTGCACTCCAAGTACATCCAATGACAGGAGCGATCTAGACCAGTCCGGTCTCACGCAGTCTCATAAGGCTCTCCAAGCGTGTGAAATGTTTTGAGCAATCTGGACTGGTCCTGTCCCTAAGCACACTCCAAGGCACGTCCAATAATAAGAGGGATCTAGACCAGTCCGGTCCCCCTCCAGTGCATGTTTCATGACCATTGCATATTTCCATGCATGTCTATTTTCTGGAGCAATGTAATCTGATCCAGTTCAATTCCAGAGTTGTCCAGCTTCATAACGCACTGGGACCATCACCTGGATAGATTCAGAAGTGCCATTCAGGGTCCTGTTTCACAAAGCCTATTTTCAATGACAAATGACAAAAATCAGTGACAACTCTGCTGATAACCAATCAGAAGCAAGGATTTCAGTAGCTTATAACTTAGACTGTCATTTGTCACTGATGACAAGTTTTGTGAAACGGGCCCTGGTTATGTGTCTACATAGATGCATAACCAGGGTAGAGCTTGTTATACCAACTATACATACCTGGATAATGTTTACAGTAATATGTGTAACTAATGCTGGACTGCCTTGGAGAACTAGCTACATCCGACCTAAAGCCCGGATTATAATATCCTAAGTCCTGTGGAAGCGCATAGAGTTATTATCTCGTAATGTGATGTGCCCTATACAAGAACGGCATATTATTATTATTACAGGGACTGGACTTTTCTTAGATCCATGAGTATCCATGCTGGCTGGCTGACACAGCTCTTGTGGGTGTTTGACTATGGCATATGGTCTGTTGAGAACCAGAGGGCAGTAACTGTTTGTGAAAGTATAGGTTAATACCCTTCTGGCTCCCAGCAGACGATATACTAGAAATACTACATTTTTTTTGTTTAAATATATTTAAAAAAATTAGTATTCATGACTTGAAAGCCATGAAGTCAGAATTTGGATGTGAATCTATTGATGCATGAAGATGGATGGTTCATGCAGGTGCTCCATAAAGCATGATGTATGGAGATTGTATTGTAGGGATCTTGTAAGGTGTATGTAACTAACATTGTGTAAAGACTGATATGAAATGATAGATGAAACCTCAAGGTAAGCTTTATATCATCATCAAGGGGTCCAGCAGGAATCTTATGCCTTTCTAGTATCTCTACCATCAGAAAATACAAAGAGAAAGTACATGTAGGTTTCTCTTCATCTTTAGCCTCCTCTGTTTTTTATTCCTGCTTCCTCTTTCCTGTTGGAGTATAATTTTGTTTCTGCATCTCTCTTTTATCAATTTTTTTCACAAGTTATCCAAAATTTCAAAAGGAGAGGCACAAGAGGGTATTATTAAGACATTCCCATGATTATGACAGGAAAAGTAATAGAAATAGAATCCATTTATAATGCGCCATCATCTATGACCTTGCTTTTGGACCCCATGGAAGAACAGGTCCTGAAATGGGCTATCCAACCATTTGTTCTATACTTTACACATTTACTTACTTTCTTATCATTTGAAATGTTTTTATATGTTTGAAATTTTATGTATATATGGATTTTGGAAATAAAAACAAACAAACAAACCTTGATCTTTGTTTTCTCTAGGAATTATCAAGAAGAGAGGCGTAAGAGGGTCAAGACAAGTCGGAATCCTCTGCGACCCCCCAGCTACAACGCCAGCCATCCTCTGCATCAGAACACTAACAACCAGGCTGGAATCACCTCAAGGGACACTATACAGGAACTGGAAATGGAAGTAAGTCAGGAGAAGAAACAACGATATCTTAAAGCCTGTCTGCACTACTTGTAGCTACTTCATCATCAATAGTGATCTGTCAGTTTATGACAGGTTCAGTGACCCAAACAAAATTTTATATCAAGTGTCTCTCCAAGTTCCTCTGTCTTGAGCCATCCGTTTCAGCGTTTCATACCCTGTTGTTCCACATTCTGTGATTACATCATCTAGAAAGCCTTTACGAGATCTTCCCCTCTTCTTCTTTCCATGTAGCTACTTGCGCCCTCTATAAAGCAAACAATACCTAAGCTGTACCCGTTGGTGCTCCATGATCCCCTTGTTCTTACCGGTATGTTAATTGAGAGCTGATTTGATGAGATAATCACCTCTCAGTGACTATGCAGGGAGGTCTAGTCCCTCCTGGCCAAACTAGTGCAGACAGGCTTTAAAACAGGGTGTATAAGAATTACTGCTTAGGATGGATGAGTTGGAACCAATCATCTGTTAAGATCCAGAAGAGTGTTATGACTTTGCCAACTATAGGAATTAACATTCACCTGGCTCTCAACAGACATAATATGAAGAAAAAAAACTTTTTATGGACTTATTTTTCTCTTTCTCCAGCAAAGATCCCTCATCCTGAATAAAAGAAACAATAGGAATCTACATCATTTTAGAGAGGAAAAATTATGACCAAAATGCTTTGACTAATTTTTGTTTGTATATACTCTGATCGTTACTCTTTACACTGATGTGATTGTCTGGAAGGTATTCTGACTGAGGCGCTGGAATTGGAAATCAATCATTAACGATCAAATGAAGTTTTTGTAATTCAACACAGATCAAGCAGAGAGTTTTAAAGAATTTTTGAGAATGTCTTCATTCAACAAAGATTATGTTTGATACTCTGGCATTTCGTCAAAGATATACATGTAAGGTTAGGGCTATGGTTATGGTTGCAGTTGGAATTTAGTTTGGGTTAGGTATGAGAATAGTGTTTTGTCCAAGTGTGAGGGATGGAATTGACTGGTGTAAGAACGTTTTCCATTAAGCTCTTCTTGCTGAAGCGCTGCCATGCAATCCAATTCAATCATGGTGTAAATCGATATTTGAAATTCAATGTCAAATCATTACCAGTTCATTCAAATAATACGGTAATCACCATCCATGATGATTCAGAAGTGTTAATGCACACATTTGTTTTCTCTTTTCCGTCTCGTAGCCAAGACGACCATCAGCTCCATCCGCTATCATGAGAGTAGAGAGCGAGGGCAGTGGTCACACAACGCCCAGCCAAAGGAGTCACTCTGTGGATGTGCGTTACAGCAGTGTACCGGTCCAAGCCAATCCAGTGGTTGCAAGAACGATACATAATGGTTCCGCTCGTAAAATATCTCAGGCGAGCATTCATTCAAATCGGTCGGCATCAAGCCACCGTTCAAATGGGTCGAGTCCCGTATCGGGGAAGCGGCGAAGGCTGGGCTATGAGGCGGTACCCATGAATGAACCGGCGGATAGGATAGAAGAGTACCATGGCGATACAGCGGCTTGTGAGGATGCAAGCATCATCATGTTACCAAGGGAGGAAGTTTGTAGTGATGGAGAGAGCGAGTGCTCCTCGGAGCCAGACGATGGGGTCGATATGCCAAATCCTCAAATCTCGGCCATCGAGAAGCATCTGGCGCAACCTAGCGAGGATTACGATGACAACGTCGACAGAGACTTCAGTGCCGACGTGGTGAATGCCAACGTCCACTTCTCAAACCCCTATGCACAAGATGACTCTCCCTCTCTCTCGCCGCGAGGTCACATGACCTCGAACATGTCACCTCATGAGGTGAACCTGCATGAAAACCCATTCCAAGATGGGCTCAGCTTGCAGGGTAAATCACCTACAAACAAACTCTACAGTAATGATGGTTACTATGGCAACAGGTACGAAGATGAAATTGATAGGAGTAGCCCACCGCATGCTGTTTAATGCACGAAAAGACCTTATTATCTCAAAATGTTGTACATAACTTACTGTATAATCATAAAAACTTATTTATTGTCTCTGATCTTTACACAGCTATTATATAACTTTCTGCCGCAGCAAGTGGCGTATTTTCTTGTCATTGTACGAAAGATATTACTTGAGTGCACCAGAATGCACCATAAACTGTGTTTTTGTCTGTCTTGTCAGTAGCTATTCAAGTCATCTCGATGAGGATATTCAGTGAGACTTTTGTGATCAATGAATTTCAGGTTGCAACAAAAAATCTACAGAAGTCATTGAGATTTATCTATAGATATATGACGATGGTTACACTCCAGTTTCAAAGCTCATTTCAATTGTTTCTCTGTCTTATTCTGCATCAAAATCTGTTACAGTTTTTATGCATGTACTGTTATATTTCAAGTATGTGCTAAAAATCTATGTTAGAAAGAAAATCGCCCATCCCAGGTGCTTTTTCAATCACAGTTTTGTGCGATTGCAGAAATCAAAGTCTTATTTTGGAAAAATATGCAGTCTATAGCAGTAGTTTCAACTCTGCTTCTAGGTGAATAGCTTTCTTCGGATTTGCTATCCCATGTAAAGAACAATTTGATAATCACAAGTTTTATTCATTTTGATCTTGGCCAAACTTGTTGACATGTTGGAACTGATATCATTATCATGTTACTTGCATATTAAATATGTCTGGAATTGGTATTTCAAGATAGCTTTTGTACTTGCCAATGTTTTTTGTATATTTCTTGAGGTGAAGATATGTTGTGTAAAAGCCATCATAATAAGCATGCAAGTAATTTGACAAGATTTTATTGGTTTCAGCTTATCAAATATTCAAACTTAGTAAACTATTTGTTTGTATCATCTGTTTGGAACTAGAGGAGCTCATCTACTGATACACAGAGTTAATGCCTTTCTGACACTGAACAAACGATATGTTGAAAAGATTTTATTCATTATTTTGAAGTACTGCAGAAATCAAACGTTGGCAACTGATGTAAATGAGGCTTGTTCATAGATTGCAGGGTAGCTTGGTTTGCTACCTAAAGTTTTGTTGGGTTTATTTATTTCTAAGATCTGCTATCCAGTCATTTAAATATTTGGTACTACTTGACAATTTGTATTGTATTCAACAAGAAAAGTTATTGATTCTTCGTTTAGGAACCTCTAATGTTGAAGTATTATGAACCTTTGATCGGATGCAAGGTTTGTATCATTTTGATGCAATGTCAGCTAAGCCTCTTGCAAGCCTTGATAAGGCTACCCACTATCAACTATGGAAAAACAAAAATTGAAAAAAACATTGAACATGTACACAGAGATGATGATGAGTTTTGGTTTGTACTTAGTTACATTTCAAAACAACGCCTTTTTCGATACTAAAAATGATTTCCCAAAGTTGCATTTTGGCTCAATCAGAACAAATCTATAATCAAATAATATTAACATATTCTGAATTCATTTCATCTGTTGAAAAAGGATCCAGGCCATGCACTACATAGTTGCTATGAGTTGATTTTGAAGTGTTAACCAACCTGAATCATTGATTTATGACTGTCTTTGCTCGATGATTAAACAGAATATTCCACTTTGTACTGCATTTAGGAACGAAGAAGTGATTGGAAGAAAAGCTTGAATTTATCTGCTTCTCTGTCTTGTGATCTTCATTTGGTGCTGTTTGAATACATCTCTTTGTTTATTTATATCATTCATTGTTCTATGTACATCACATGTTAGTAGGGACCAAAGCTATGCTTACTTTACCTTTCTTATTTAAATGTTTTTGCACTCGTCTTGTACTTTTGTCTCTTTCTCTCTCTCTCTCTGTCTCTCTCTTTAAAAACTTATTTATAAATATCTAAACTTATATGTATATTTGTTACACTGTACTTAATATGTTATGAAAAAAAATACCTGGTAGTTTAAGTTGACTGAAACATAATGTTTCTTGTTATATAGAGTTTATTATTTTTGTGTCTGTGAGGAAAAATATCATCATGAAAATTATATTTTGTATTTATATTGTATTGAATGCTCACTTTATCAAATTTGTGTTTTGTTTATAAGAACTCTGCATTCTTGTTGTATATGTCTCTTATGTACCTTCTTGACGTAGTGAAGATGCAAGGCGTCTTCTCAGAATTATTTATGCACAGAAAATGTTTGTCAGCATTAAAACATCTCATCTCAGATGATTATTGAATAAATACAGTTATTATTTTATTATTATTATTATTATTATTATTATTATTATTATTATTATTATTATTATTATTATTATTATTATTATTATTATTATTATTATTATATCACTAGTCAAGCCTTATAATGATGTAGGATTACTAGCAAGTTACTTTTACATGCCAAAATATTGCTATTTCAGAACTTAAAGTATAACTAAATTGCATTTTACAACTATCAATATAAGCAGAGGTATGCTGAATATAATTGTTACCAACCAAACCGGTGCCAAGTTTCACATGAATATTGCACAGCTAGGAAGCCATAACATAATTGTAAAACAATGCCCTATCCTTACAACACATGCCCTATAAGGGAGCATTGCCTGAGAACTTCCTAAAATTTGGTTAAATCGTTAAAGTATCACTAAAGAACACTATTAAACTGGTTTATCAAATATTTTTGAAATAGTTATTTGGATCTGTGTTGGTTTCTCATGAATAAATTGGGATCAAATCGAGATTAGCAAAGAAAATCCAAGGAACATATAATACAGATGGCTATTTCCTTTGCATAGTTATGTTTTAAACCTCTTCTAAAAAAGCTATATTTATTTGTCAGATTTATTTTATTTCAACGATCTAGGAAATCTCATTACAAGGCACAACAAATTCTCCAGTAGGCCAGTCTACTACAAATTTCATGACAGCTTTTAAACCTCTCCCTAATTTTAATATCCATTTGGAGATGGTTTTATTTTTAGTTTCTGGTGGTAAATTTAAATTTCCATTTGGGTTGAACCTGAGTAATATAGACCTACATATTACTGGATGATCTGATGTTAACTGTCTTTGTATATACATTATGCCTGAGGACAAATGATATTTTATCCTTGATACTTTTTGACCAAGTTATCTCACTTTATCTGGCTTGTCCTCTACTCTGAATGTATGTATATGAGTAGTAAGCTAAGCTGAGCTCTGCTCAATAAACAAACAGTATTCATAGGGTTAATGTATTTATAATTATGCTATCCACATGTGACCTTATACCTCAAAATCAGGAGTAAATCACCGGATCTTTGTTAAAAGCAAGTTTTAAGGTCCTATGAACATTAAATATTAAATACTTTAAATGGTATGACCTCTAATTATAAGTACAGAGAGAAGTGTCTGTTTCATAAAATATTTAGGTAACTTTTGCCCAGTTTTGCAAAAAAATTTAGATTTTTTTTCTTTTAATGCAACCATAAACTTTATTTCTCTTATATCATATTGAATAATTATAGTTTGCTTAAAACTTTCCACTATTTTTGTTCAAAACTTTCGAATCATTAACCTTTTACATACAAGACTTCAAAGTACATTTCATTTTTTAATTGGGTTTTGGATCTGATCATATTTTACACTAGCAGATTTTGGATTTTGATCAACTCAAGATTTTATCATAGATATTGCAAAGATTTGCTGGTGTTTTATTTTTGGTTTTGATATATAAAGTCACAGAAATATTTATCATAGAAACAGTATTAAGACAATCAATGCTTCATTATAATAGAATAATGATATTTATGACGATACCTTCATAAAGAAGTATTTGGTCTAGGCCTTTATATATTATCAAATTGAATTTTGGTTAAAAAAAGCTCCACAATGACTCTATATCATTGATCATTTCACTTTTGCCACCTATGTTAGTTAATATTAAGAAAGATGATTTGCTCCTCAAGTAACAATTTCTTGTTTATATTTGATTATATCAATCATTTCAATGATATGACTAACTTTGACATAGAATCAGAGGCTAGATATTAAATTTTTAAAATATTAAACTTCATTTATTATTTTTCATTTTTGTGTGTTTTTGTTAAATATGTAACCATATGATTTTTTTTAAAGCTAGTAAATACCCCTTAAACTGTGCATAGAAATTGTGCTCAATAATTACAGATAAAGTTTTATTTTGATTTTTGTGAATTTAGACACTGATATTTTGTCATGTACCTCTGATTTTCACTATTTATGAACAAAATTTATATGAAGTACATTATGATGATTTTTGATAGTTTTTCTGTTCTGTAAAAATGAAAGGTGGTCAGGCAAAATTCTCTAAATACCAGGTTTCATGTATATGCAATCAAAATTGTTAGATTCGAATTCCTAGGAATTATTTTTTAGCCTGCTCAGAATGGACAATAGATGAAGATTTTTTTTTTGTCTTGAAAAAATCTTTGTTTAGATAAAGTTAGCAAACCAAAAAAGAATTATGCATTTCAATAATACATGTGCTTTTTTAGGGATTTTATTTTATTTCTATCGTAATAAAATCAGCAGGCATTTAATTAAATAAAAACTTTTCCATTGTAATGTCTGATTATGTTTTGTTGACTAATCTCAAAGACTGTGATGTTGGTGGTGGTGATGATGATGAAGATTATTATTAGTGTTATGTGGTGGTGGTGATGAGGATGATAATCACGATCATGAGGATGATAATCACGATCATGATTAGTGGTATGTGGTGGTGGTGGTGGAGGTGGTGATGTTGATGATGATTAGTGGTATATAGTGGTGGTGTTGGGGGTGTTGCATGAGGTGGTGATGGTGTGGATGAGGATGAGGTGATGATGATGATGATTAGTGTTATATAGTGGTGGTGGTGGTGGGGGTGTTGAGGTGATGATGGTGATGATGATGATGATGATGATGATGATGAAGGTGATGGTGATCGAGGATGATGGTGCATGATGATGATTGGTGATATGTGGTGGTGGAGGAGGTGATGATGATGATGATTAGTGGTATATAGTGGTGGTGGTAATGGTGGAGGTGTTGCATAAGGTGGTGATGTTGATGAAGGTGATGGTGATCGAGAAAGATGATGATGATGATTAGTGGTATGTAGCCAAGTGGTGGTGGTGGTGACGGTATAGTGATTGGTAGTGGTACCTCTACACCTACTGCCATCTCACTTTGAAAGGGTGAATGAGTGAGAGTTAGGGAGAGGGGAAGACGGGAGAGAGACAGCAGAGAAGGGGGTACAAATAAGGAGAGTATAGGAGTGTGAAAATAAGACAACCCTTTGCCACAACTTCGTCTTCTTAATTCATATCTCATCAACATGCCCCCCCCCCCCCTCCCCACAAAAGAAAAAAAGAAAGGATCAAGAAGAAAAGGGGGGGGGGGTACAACCCGTCCCACATGCTCTACTTTGTAGTTCAGCTTTGTTTTTCCACAATGCATTTGGGGGGAGCCATCATCTCATTGCTGGATGAAACAAATTAAAACAAAAATAGGAAACAAGATAATGTTTCCCATGCTTACATAGCGGAGTATTAATTTTGTAGAGAGAGAGAGAGAGAGAGAGACACAGAGAGACAGAGACAGACAGACAGACAGAGAGAGAGAGACAGACAGATAGAGAGAGAGACAGACAGACAGAGACAAAGAGGGGGCGTGGAGACATTGATCATCATCTATGGACTGTGCATATACCTTAATTTTCTACCTCCTCAACAACAACAAAGTGTGTGATATTTTCTTGCAAATTCCTAGACTTTGGATTTGAAATGTTCTTGAAAGAAATGACATCATGGAAACGAAATGTATCATCAATAATGATGTTTATGTATATTTTTTTTAAATTGGAACTAATTCATTCGATTTCTAAACAAATACAGACTCGGAGTCAGAGCCCAGTCTTTTCTGTTTTGCCTTTATTCAGATTTTTATATACACAATAATAAAGAACCTTATTTTTATAGAGTACATTGTCTCATACACATTAAGACATATTTTTAAAATGTTGTTAATAACTATCCAACCTAATATAGACTAGTACATGTTCAATCGAGTATACAAATTGTGAAAAAAATTCTTCAATTTCAGAGACGTTGACCAGAAGATCAACAGCGCCCCTACCAGTCCCAACATTTCTGTACATGTGCTGCGTGTTGCTCCAATGCACGTGTTTATAAACATCAAGTTTGACAAGTATAAGTTTACAGCGTGCTCCAGACTATAGCGCCCCGAAAGGATCAACGATCTTCGCACTCACCACCCACCCTCGAGCTCTGGCGTTAAACACACTGCGGATCATGTACGGTTTGACTGAGTAGATTCTAGAGAACTCAACACCATGACAAGTAAAGGTAGCAATTTCAGCATCTATGTTGGGAACCTCCCGATGACATTTACGGACGTGAGTAGAATTTGAATTTATGATTAGATGTCTTTATTTATTATAAATTAATGTTATTTTGTTCATGAACTTTTGCTTTTCAAATTGCGTGCACAAGCCCAGACAGTGCACTGCATAGCACAGATTGAAAAGCATGAGGCACATGAATACGCTTCCCCTGCTGTAGAACATGGTTGAACATAAGTAAAAAGAATGTTTTTTTATCCAACAAAGCAATGTAAGGCAATTAGGCTGTTAAGATTTTTAGAAATTACATTTTACTTTAATGTCAAAACTGGAGGAGGATAATTAAGCTGATCTAAGCAACCTTCAACTTCAAGCTTGAACAAACTTCGAGTCAGAGAACTCATTACCAAAACAATCGCAGTTGTAGCGTTTAATTAGCTCCAAATTTGTTAAATAATGAAAACTAAGAAAGTGAAGCTGGAAACCTGTGTAACATATCCTCGGTTTTATCTATCAGATGATGATAATCTGCCAGATTTTCTGGAAATTATCTTTATTTCTTATCAAATCATGATTTGTTTTTCTTGCAGAATGATTTTCAACAGTTGTTTGGTGAGATGGGTCCCATCTCGTCATTATTCTTGAAAGATGGGAAATCCAAGGATGGAACACAAACGTTTAAATATGGGTGAGGATTAATTAATAAAAGCTGTCTCTGCTTTTTCAATTTTCCCTTTTGTATCGTTTACTACGGTTGGATAATTGAAAAAAAATCACAACTATTGACCAAACCTCCCCACTTTCATTTAAAAATGCAGTTACTAAAGAACTTTTTTCCAAAATGTAATCGTCCACCACCTACAGTCAAAAGTCTTCTCCGGAGTATTTAGGAGGAAAAGAATCCAAGGTCCAAGATTTACTCAGAATAATACATTTTCAAATTTCGAGACGCAACCATGTTTCTCTCAAAAGATACAGCTGGCAAAAAACATGTCAATATTCATCCAATTTTTGTCAGAATCGACAAAAAAGATGTACACGCAGAGTTATTTTGTTTTGCTGATTATAGCTCAACAGCTGCATCGCGCAATATGCAACCATATGCGTGTTGCTTAGCTACACGCGCTACTTAAGCGTGATCGCAAGCTCCACCCCCGTTGTCTTCCGTGTGCGGGTCTGTTCGCCAATTCACAAACACACACATGTGGTCTGAATGCATATGCATGTGCAGATTCTACGCGCCGTCACCATGGGTTTTGGGCTGTGCGGAGCTCACCCCTCCCTACTTTAATAGCTGAACCGAAAAATGGGGGAAAGGTATTTTCGAAACTGTAATGGCTTGTGATCCCTTGGGGCTAGAGATAAGCGAAAATATAAGCGCCAGATTTATTTTTTACAACTGGGACCGCTCGGGCGTCATTTCTCCAAAATGGCAAATCTCGGAACTAGCAAGGAAACAACATTTAAATCGCTGTTTTGACCAATATATTTTTAGAAATCTGAGATGACGCCCCTTTGGAAATATGAAGATTAACCTGCTCTTTCATATGACACCTCATTTATTGAGTATTACTTTCAGGATCACGAGCAATAAAGGTTTGAATCTTGATTTGGTAATAAAAACATTGACCAATTTTGCATGATCGCACAATGCATGTAGACTGCATAGGGATGCGTGCAATCTCTACGGGAAGGATTTTAGCACACAACATCAGGTGCGCGATCAGACACCCTACTATAAGATGTATCACAGAACTAGAGATGACCCTTTTAACATTTTTCTCTCTTAAAATTTGTATTTTTAATTGGAACTACAGTGTGTTTGGATTATTGCAAGCTTAGTAGTGATAATCTATATCATAGGCTAAATCATGAATTTCTTCTCGGATTTACTTTCATAATGAAGGTTGAAGGATAAGTGATTTCATTTCTTGAAAGAGAGTTAGCTGATCCTGACAATGATAGTTGATTTTTTAATTTTTTACTGTACATTTGTTATGAGAACAGGGATATACATTTGTAAGTGTCCGGATAGTAATGTGTTTATTTGATTTAGTAATTCGGTGAGCAAACTTGATTAGTCCACAAATTTTGTACATGTTTTTGCTTTCGTTTAGGTTTGTGAACTTTGAAGAAAGTTCGTCTGTAGATGTTGCTATATCATCATGCCAGGGTAAACTCATAATGGGACGAGTACTGACTGTCCGGAAGTCAGAAAAGAGCAAAAAGTAAGAAATATATTTAAATTTTGCTTTCAATTTTGTGTACCATGCTTGTAGATTTGTAAACGTCAATCTCTTCTTATATTTATGTTGGTTGATTTATCATTTGTAACATTTTGTAAATTTGCAATTTTCAGAAGATTGAGCACCACTGTTCAAGGTTGAACAAAAATATAGGTCAAAACCCCTCCCCCTCCCCCTCCCCCTCCCCCTCCTCCCTCTCCTTTCAATAATGCAAAGCAGAGGAATGCATATTGATAGCATTCCATACCAGCTGAAAAAGATATGCATATCACCATAAATATCAGCATTTTTGAACCTGCACTCTCGACACAACATGTGATGTATCTATTCAGTGACCTGTAGGAAACACCTATTCATATGACTACAGTTAGGGCTTAGCTTTTTGTCTTGCTCTTTGCTGTTGATAACATCTTGTACACTTTCTAAGACCTTTCTAAGGTCAATTGCAAACTTGAAACAATGATTCTGATTGGCCTTGTTAACAATATGTGCATGGAACAGATTATGCAACAGATTGTAAACCTTTGTGTTACAGAGCTGTTGTTGTGTATGCCTGCATGTAGCTGTTCATCTATCATCATTGTTTGATGATAGTATTGTGATTTGTTGTATTCAAGGCTCATAGTAGGATAAGCTAGGGATTATCAGAGAGTGTCAATAGTCCTATTAAGCTCCCATTGTGTTCTGTCATAAAACTCTTTGCATTGTTAGGTCTCAAGTACAAGTCACAATTACTTATGGGCTCACTAGAATGTAATCCTTTGATAAGGTCTATTAGGCTGAGGATATGGGGTGAGACATTGTGTGTCATGTGTTTAATAATTGCTATTTTGCACCTTCTGGAACTCCAGTTAGCCTAGATGCCTCAGCTTGCTTGGATGTATGGGGCGCAGTTATCGGTGTCTGTTCTTTTGATACCCTTCAAAGCCATACTAATACTCTCTTTCTTTTTCTCTTTCTCGTTCTCTTTCTCTCTTTCTCTCTCTCTCACTCTTTTTCTTGCTCTCTCACTCTTTTTCTTGCTCTCTCTCACTTTTTCTTGCTCTCTCACTCTTTTTCTTGCTCTCTCTTTTTAAAATTCTCTTCACCTTCTCTTATCTTCTCCCTCTGCCCCTCTCCCTCCCACTCTATCCCTCTCACTCTGTCAAAATATACACTCTCTCAAATAGTCTTTGTTGATTACAGAAATAGTCTTGTTATATATTTGACTTTGATTTCCATCTCAACATCTGTAATAGAGGAAAACGTGATAATGATTATATGTTAATGCAATATGGCCTTTGGTTAATACATTGTAGGGCTTGTGAGTACCATATTTTACCTTCAATGTTTTTTTAAATTTCTGTACAAAGAATTAGATATCAAAATGGATAGCCACAATCATTAACCAACAAGTAAGTTCATTTTCACATAGAGTATTGATTTCATTTTCAAATAGAATTGCCCGTAACAATGTCCCATATTTTCTTTTTCTTAGCCGAAGTCTGTTAGGAAATACAGGACGTCCAAACCCAAACTGGAATGATGGTGCTCATCAGAATAATAGAGGTATATCAAATGTCATCGGTAGCTAAGTTGATGTGTGACTAGTTATTGAAATGTACACAATTAGAAGATTTGGATATGTGTCTAAAATCTCATGGTTACATTGTAACAGTTTTATTTTTAAAGAGTTCAGTTTCAAAATCAGACATATAAGAAAGTGTATAAAGGGCTTAGACCTCTCATGTTGAAATATGAATGTGTCAAAGTCTGTGAAGCATTGTAGATCTTTATATTTGGACTAATTTTGATTTTATTTTATTTCTTCATTTTTTGAAATATAATATAACTGAATAACAAAGAACAAAGAACATATACAAACAACAATTTATTCATGTCAAAATGTGTTTTTACATAATATATGTACATATAATAAAAACAACTTAATATTTCCCATAACACATTATCTTAAATTTAGAGTATTATCCGAATTATCTGTTGAAAAAAGTGCAGGAGACCGCAATCATAAGTGATGCTTGAAGGTAGTGACCATTTTTGTGTGCAGTTTGCATATTATTATAATATTTAGCATTATTTACACCTGTTTGTCTCATGTTTTTTTCTTCTCTTTCCTGTAGGATCAGAGGATATAAAGAAACTCCAGGGATATGAGGTAATTTAGTTTTGATTGTTAGTAGACTGATCAATTCAACCCTCTCCCCCATACCAGAATGTGGAATTCATTGATGTAAGATTAAACATAACATTGGCCAAAACCATGATGGATAATGAGTTTCCAAAGCACCTTGAGACATACCTTTATAGATGATACAAACAGAGCTGCCACCTTTTCCGTTTTACCCGGAATTGTTCAGTTTTATCATCCAAATTACGTTCTTTTCTTCACAAAATATGTTTTTAAAATATTTGTTGTAATTTTATTTTAATTTTTTTTTTTTTAAACATATCACACATCAAACGTCTGCCCTATAATGTGATTTTGATCTCAAAGTCAATAGAAAACTAAGGTTAAAACATACTTCAAGAGAAAAATATTCTCAAAAAGAAGGAAATGCAGATAATACCTAAATAACAACAAAATACTTACTTGTAAATAAACTATAGGTCCTAATATGGAAGAAAAAAAACTGCATGAGGAATGGACATTTCTGCATTGGAAGTGTGTCATGCATGGTTGTAAGTTTCGTTTTAATGAATTCCTTTTTTTTTTTGCCATCATGGTTCCTTTTTTAGGTCGCACAATGTTGGCAGCTCTGTACAAATGGAATGTTACTTGTTTCTTGCTTTCTAATGAATCTTGTAGGAGATGGTGAGCATCACCCACGTTGTAGATCCACACACCCTGTACGTCCAGGCACTCAACAGAGACAACCTAGAGAAGTTCTCTGTCGTCATGGCAAAGCTCCAGGACTACTGTAACTCTGCACCAAGGCTACATGAGCTTCACCAGGATAGAATCAAGGTCATTAAATCAATTTAATCAAGTATATTGATGATTTAGTGGTAATAAAACACAATGTAGCTTTAACATATTTAAAGGGATCCGGTAACTTTGTCTTAGATCCTTTAAAAAAATCCTTGATTTAGCTCATGCTGCAATGATAATTATAAACCTTTAGGTCAGTCAGGAACCCCATGACTTTTACAAGCAGATCGCCTGTCTGATTATCAAGATATTTATCATTGAAAATCGAAATCAAATTTTGTGTTTGCCAAACGGTTTTCATAACACTACAGTCTATTGGGGAAAACGAGTATGGTAAAACCGGTCACTCAAAGGTTTTTACTTTTTTGAGGCACTTCTTGATCATTTTGAAGCGCAATTTTTGTAGGGCTTTAATATTACACCATATCACAGACACTGATAAGATGTAGGGCCATGCATCTCAGATTTAACATTGTTAAACGATCCCTTAAGTGACCACTTTTGATGATAGGCATTCTCATATTATCACATTTGAGGAATATTTTGGGAAAGAAACTCAAGTAATGACAAGTTAATGAATGCACAGGATACACACCATATGAGAAATGATGTTAAATGTAACTTTCTTTGGAGAGAGGCATGTAGTTGTAAATAATTAAAACCACACAATATTCACTATGTCAGTCTTGTTAATTTTTGGCGCATTTATTTGAAAGTATGTTAAAACATAATTTTACCATGTATTGTTTTGTTACAGAATATACACACAAGAATACTTTCATTTTTATACAACCTGCATACTTTCTTTCTCTGGAAATGCTTGTTAACCTAAGTTGTAATCATTTGAAGTTTTACTTTTTCTCTTTTCTTAATCAATCTGTTGATGATTCTTTCAGATCTATGGTGCAATTTTCAAGGATGATGAAGCGTGGTATCGCTGCAGAGTGCTAAATCATCATCAGAACAAGGTAAGAACAGGTGGAATCTCTGCCCTCTTTATCTTTGCCCTCTATTTCCTTAGTATCAGTTGCTTTTGTGTATGAACTGCTAGATGTTACAATATGAAATATTGTCTATAAGGCCTAAAAATAAAAGATGTATTGCCCTTTAAGTGCCAAAACATGGGTCAGTCGGCCGGGAACCTCTTTCATTTTTTTTTCTCCCTCTTTGGACTGATATTTCTCAGTTTTTAAAGCTTTAATTTTTGTTTTCTCTAAAAAAACACTTTTTTTTTTTTTTTTAAAGCCGAAAGTAGATTTCAAGATTTTGGGGTCGGTCGCAAATGGCAATACAACATCTTTTTTTTAAAAGCCTAATGCATGTAACAGTTGACTAAAAATATATTTCCATTTGTTCTCCCCTACCGTTCCCAGGCCGAGGTGTTATACATAGACTATGGGAACAGTGCTGAGGTGGATATTAATACTATGGTCCATCTCTCTGATGAGCTAGCAAGCATCGGTCCTATCGCTCAGAAGATCAGGATCATCGGTGTAGCTCCAGTGTTGAAAGATTCTTCATCTGATGCTGCTAGCCAGGTTAGTCCCGTGATGATGCAAGAGCTATTTTTGTAAGGGATAGTAAAGAATGAGCGACAGGTAGCTTAAAAATTTAGTTAGGTGCAACGCTACAGCTTATTTAAACAGTACATTTCTTGCAAATCCACATTTGTTGTTCACCTATGTCTCAGGGATCTTTCAAACCAGTGTAAGTGTGCACCTGTGTCCAACGTACTGCTTCTGATGCATGATAAGAATAGCAGTGTACAGGGTCCAACAACAGATCCTTTTGGGACTCCATGGGTAGGCATGTGAGGTGATGACTGAATCCCATCGATGACAACTGTCTGTATTCATGGTTGGGGAGGGGGGGGGGGGGGGGGAGGGGAGGGGTCATTCCAGGATCTCTGCTGCAGAGTGACCCAAAAATGTTGAAACTGTAAGGTCCCCAAAGTACCTGGACTTCAAGCCAAACCATTTTTGTTTGGTGTAGTAGTTTAATAGTCAAGTTACTCAAATTACTCTTCCTTTGGTTTCTAGACTATGCCTATATGAATTCCTTAATTATGCTGAGACTGGTTTTCGTTAGCAACTGAAGATCATTATAACAGGCATGATAATTACCCGATTTAAATCGGTTTCCTGATTTTTAAAAAAATTTTCCTGATATTTTTCCAGATTTTTTTTTTCTTCCCCCGATTTTTCTTCTTCCAGATTTTATCCCAATTTCCTGATTTTTCCCTTATTTTGTTTATCCTTCTTTATTCTTCCCTATTTTTTTCTCCGAGTCCTCGTTCTTTCTTTTTTCACTGCTCACTGTCACCCCTGTTATAAACCCAGGACAAGGGTTCCCTGGCTGTGCAAATTTACAAAAGTTATTCAGCAGCTTCCTTTTGTTTCCAAACCAGGCCTATACATTCCTTGGAACTCTTGAAGCGGAGGGAGGTGATGGGAAGCAACTGAAGATCATCATCGCAGAAGGCATCAAACCCCAAGAAGATGGCTCCCTACCTGTACAGCTCTTCCACAACCACGTCAATGTAGCACAGACAATCAACAAGAGGTTTGCTCCAGGCTACCAAGAGAAGATGATCCAGACAAGCTCCTCCAGGCCTCCTCTTAAGACAGGTGGTAGTGGTGGAGGAGCTGGGAACCAGTGGAAGAACAAGGAACTGCAAGGAGGGGGTGGAGATGTAAATGGCATCAATGGTAAGAATGAGAAACCTTGGAGTCCTGGGGGGTGTTTCACAGAACTTGTCATCAGTCACAAATGACAGTTTTTGTTATAAGCTAGTGAAATCTTTGCTTCAGATTGGTTATCAACAGATTTGTCACTGATTTTGTCATGTGTCATTGAAAACAGGCTTTGTGAAACGAGTCCCTGATATGGACAACCTATGTTGCATTTTAATAAAGCTCTTGCAGTGAGTTACTCCAGTAAACCTACTTTAGCGATCACTCGTATGAAAAGATCACCAATCCGTGCCCCGCTTCTCCTAAAAATGAAGAAGTTTTGCAGGTTGATAAGGCAGACGTTGTTTTCCATAGAAAATAGACCATTTTCGTAACTTCTCTTGAGCAGTTTTATACAGATTAACGTGATTTGTGACTAAATAAATAAGCTTTAAAGGGATCCGGTAACTTTGTCTCAAATTCTGAAACAAAATCCTGGATTTAGCTCATGCTGCAATGATAATTATAAACCTTTAGGTCAGTCAGGAACCCCATGACTTTTACAAGCAGATCGCCTTTCTGATTATCAAGATATTTATGATTGGAAATCAAAACCAAATTTTGTGTTTGTCTAAGGGTTTTCATAACACTACAATATATTTGGGAAAATGAGTATGGTAAAACCGGTCACTCAAAGATCTTTTCTTTTTTTAATCACTTGATCATTTAAAAGCGTGTTTTTTTTTTAGGGCTTCAATATTACACCATATCACAGACCCTAATAACACGTAGGGCTGTGCATCTCAGATTTAACATTGTTTAACGATCCCTTTAACTCTCATTATTCATCTGTGATGGATAAATCCTAAAAATGATCATTGGACTTGGTATTATTAACATATGCATCCCAGGGTAAACTATAGAGTGGTTTCGTTCTGTGTATTATTTGAAGAAGAATAAGCAGGTTGTTTTGTGACTCTTAAATTGTCACCAACTGTGTACATGATAGCTAGCATGAGTTTGTCTAAATACATCAATATTTACAGGACACAAGACACACCACCATAACAACAAAGATATGAGTGACTTGATGAAGAGATTGGAGAACTTGGAAGGTGTCATGGAACAACTCAAGGATGATAAATTCATCTTACAGAAACAACTACTACATCACAAGGTATTTTTCTTCCTGTTAACATTGCTAATACCACCTGCAGACGCTATAGTTTATTTATGGGTTCTAGGACACCTACCCCCTAGACATCCAACCCTCCCCCCCCCCCCCCCCCCCCCCCCGGATTACCACAACTATCCTAGGGGGTAGTTGTCTGGGAGGTAGTTGTCCTAGAGGGTAGTTGCCCTAGGGGGTAGTTGTCCTAGGGGATAGTTGTCCTAGGGGGTAGTTGACTGGGGGTGGATGTCCAGGGGGTAGGTGTCCGGTTAAGCATTTATGACATGAAGAAATTTAGGAATTTTGCTAGAAAGAGAATTAATTACTACATTACTTCTCTTATTTATTAATATTTGAATTTAAAAATGATGTTTGGTAATGTTTGATATTGCCAAATAGCTTTTTCAATAACGTGAAATCATATTAGCATTTATATTCATCCAAACATGGACTTCAGTGATGTGATAAAAACTAGAGGTACTAAAAATGTGAATTTTTTGTATTAATATATTTAGTAGTAGTAGTAGTAGTAGAAGACTTTATTGGATAACTTGTTTAGCACAAGTAATAAATAATAAGATACTCATTTCAAGTGTGTAGGATAATATGTATTACATACAACATATAGCTCTTATCAGAACTTCAGAAAACTGGTAATTGATATTCGCCAAAAGTATATTTCATTCAAAACTTTTTAGATGACGTGTTGTTTGATATACTACTACACATAGTGATATGTTGCTTTATAGTCCAGAAGATATGAAATACTATGTGCTGTAAGGTACATTTTACAACGGTGATGTATGATTATATTGATGTATATGGTTTATTTAGACCGAGGAGGAGAAGAAGAAAGAGGAAGAATCCAAGAAGATGAGTTGTGTTCTCCAGTCCCATCTAACACCTCTAGCTGAGAGCTTTCAGAGGATCAAAGAGGCCAGGTATGATGGCTGTCTTGAGAGGTGATGAGAGAGAGGTGGTAGAGGTCATGTTAGTGGTTTGGATGATAGTGATGATATTGATGGTGGTGATGATGATGGTGATGATGATGATGATGATGGTGATGGTGATGGTGATGAGGATGATAGTGATGATGATGGTGATGGTGATGGTGATGAGGATGATAGTGATGATGATGATGATGATAAAGATGACGATGATGAAGACGACGATGATGATGATGGTGATGATGATGAAGACGATGATGGTGATGATGATGATGATGATGATGGTGATGATTATGGTGATGGTGATGAGGATGATAGTGATGATGATAATGATGATAAAGATGATGATGATGAAGACGACGATGATGATGGTGATGATGATGATGAAGACGATGATGGTGATGATGATGATGATGATGATGATGATGATGATGATTAGGATGATGGTGATGGTGATTAGGATGATGAGGATGATGAGGATGATGAGGATGATGATATTGATGAGGATAATGATAATTATGATGATGGGGGTGGTGGTGGTGGTCATAACAATACCCAAAGGAAAATGTTTTAAAACGTATTAGTTTTTTCAATTAATTTTGCTCTGTCAAATCATAAACGTGCAAATTTACATATATGTGTTCAGTCAATCACTCATAAAACAGTATAGGAGAACTATAAATTCACAGAGCTGTCTTTATGTATACATGTAAAGGTATCTTTACCTTTCATCTTTTGTTTGAATGCAGGACTGGTTTCTCAGTTGATCCCGAGAATAAGAACACCGTCCTGCTCGCCATTGATCTTGCTGCTAAGAGACTGCATCCATTCATGGAGGGTAGTCCTACCAAAGAGAAGGGTGATCTGATCAGTCTCATCCCGGACTCAGAACCAGTCGGTATAAAGCTCCAGGAACTAGAGAGAATGCAGCAGGTCTTACAAAACCTACAGTCTCAGGTAAGAATCACTAGTGATCATTTAAAGGGATCCGGTAACTTTGTCTTAGATCCTTAAAAATAATCCTTGATTTGGCTCATGCTGCAATGATAATTATAAACCTTTAGGTCAGTCAGGAACTCCATGACTTTTACAAGCCGATCGCCTGTCTGATTATCAAGATATTTATGATTGAAAATGGAAATCAAATTTTGCGTTTGCCAAATGGTTTTCATAACACAACAGTCTATTGGGGATAACGAGTATGGTAAAACCGGTCACTCAATGATTTTTACTTTTTTGAGGCACTTCTTGATCATTTTGAAGTGCAATCTTTTAGGGCTTCAATATTACACCATATCGCAGACACTGATAACACGTTGGGCCGTGCATCTCAGATTTAACATTGTTAAACGATCACTGTAATGTATGATAATATTGTGTTTCTTAGTCTCTGAAGGCTTACATGGTGATGATAGATTTGAGCAAGATTTGCAGTTACATCATGTATTCTCTTGACTTAGACCACTCATGCTCTATCTCGACGTTTCATGGGTTGTATCTATTAAATAAAAAAATTGTGGTTGTATATCTTATAATACACAATTTGTCAATGTCTTCAACATTGAAGCTATCTTTGATTGGGTGACAAACATGTAGTGCTGAAATTACCTTCCTGGGAAATTAAGATAACAAATACTGTCTTGGTAGTTTCCTGTACTGCACTTGTTAACAAACTTTAAATTCTAAAACTAGGAATCAAGCATATTGATCGTGTGGAAGAGCTGTGATTGAGATTCACGTATCCTGTTTGTCTCATTCAGGTTGAATAATAAAATCTTCAGTTTAATCTCTCTCTGTATTTATCTTCATATATCTGAATTTTCTTGTAGGCTGAGTTGGCGGATGCAATGCTTCAACGGAATGATGCCCGTCATGAGGCCTATAAGGCTCTCACTAGCTTCTTGGATGATGTCAAGAAGTTACCCATTGCCAAAAGACTAAAAGATATTGAGGTAGGTAATTGCAGGCTGGTGTAGATTTGCTGATTGCACTGTTAACCAAATTTATTCCTTAAAGCTAAACTTTAGTACTGGTAATGCGATTGCATTGTGAAAGAAAAGGTGTGAAAGGATCAGAAACAGTTGATCATGTAGCATGTAAGTATTGGTGTGCACTGCAAGGTTCTGGAGTCATCAAAATCATAATAAATTTGACCGAGTCTTGGTAAAGTAACAAACACTCACATAGAAAGCTATATATGGGACAACACACATCGTGTCGGGGATGGTACTACCTTGGTTTCCTTGTCTTTCTATGCTCATTACTCAGCCAGTATACATTTTCTTCCAAAATTGTTTGGCACATGTCATTTATTTGTAATCTTGAACATTCAGTGTAAGTTTCGTTTGATTCTGTGAGAATTAATTTTTTTTTTTTTACCAGTACTGGAGTTTATCTTTAACGTATGAATGTTAATTTATATAGATATTTATTACATCATCACTGGATGGATTTTGTCCTTGTTCTCTGTTTTTTGTAGACATCTGTCTTGTAATCTCACCTCATCTCGTCTTGTAAGGGGATATATTTCGGATGTAGGTTGATTTGTTTATAGGTAGATGCTCACATAACATTTTTTCTTACAGTGGTAAACAGCAGTTTTGGATAATAGTAGTTTGTTAGTAAGTCTTCATTGAAGATCTGTTGTTCATGTGTTGTGAGGCTGAAAATCATGTTAGTTGCCAAAATTTTGCAATCATGTTTCCTTCAATCTAGTGTCTTTTCTTCAATTTTCTGTCTTTATTCATACGTGGATTATCTTTGCATATTTGCTCTGTTGTCACATTCATTTTCTTCTTTCCGACTTTCTGTCTTCTTGTTCTACTTGGACAGTTTAGAAAGTCAGTTAAACAAAGGGTATGGATCTTACATAGATCCGACCAAAGTCTTTTCCCACTTTCTTCAGTGTTCACAGTTTCCTTTATGTTTCTGTCGATAGAGTATGGTGAACCAGTTAGAGTCCGAGTATGGATCTTACCTGGACCCAACCAAAGTGATGCAGCCAGACCATAGTGTAGCAGACGTAGAATGCTTTGATGAATACCAAGCATGGCTGGTAAGTTCAGGATAGTCTTCTCATGAATGAGATATCTTCTATCCAGATGATGATGTGGGGGGGGGGGGGGGGGGGGGTGGGTGGAGGTGGTGGTGGTGGTGGTCATAACCATAAAATTTTTCTTAATGTATACAAAATGAAAATGAATAGTGGTTTCTTGTTTAGTGCTCATACCCACCGTGTAAGATGATTATGTTGCTCCATAATACACTGTCCTTAGCTAGGTTACCAATTTCTTTGCTTATAGCATCAAAAAAGGTTTCCATTTACTACACCTCTTACTATAAGATGACTTTTGTGAATGTTGTGTGGATATTAAACTCGGTGTAATTACCCCATCGACTAACAAATTCTCTCATTCCAATTGACGAGAACCATTATACCATATATGGTTCACATAGTCATAAGGGTTAATAATATACAGATGTTAATCGCATGTGTTTAATTTCTTACACAGGAAGAAAGATCTGGTAAGATTACCCCTCTACGTGATGAGACCAATGAGCTGAGGATGAAATGGTGTGAGCTACTCACCAACATGAACAAGGTATGGTGTTCTGTTATTTTCTATGAACAGAGGTGTAACAGTTTCCTAAAGGGATAAGGGGACAAAAGATGCATTGTTGATATTGTTGTATTTTGAAATTTTCAATATTTCGACTTATTTGAATGAGGAAATTGATGAAGAAATAGAAATTTTAATAAATAAATGAGTAGAAGAAGAATGTTAGAATTCTCAACAGGATTCTTCATTCTTGTAATTTGTATATGAAGGTTTTGGAAGGGGCATAATTGTTATTGGTCCATCACTGAGATTCTGCTAAAATGTTAACATTTCAGGGGAATTTAGGCAGTGCATTACAATATGAAAGATGCTATTCTAGTGGATGCCTGTATGAAGTGAATATTTCTCCAAAGATAATGGAGCAACTATTTCTGTTTGTGTTTCCAACAAATAATCAGGAACAGGAAATATTGTTGTCATAACCTTTGCAATCATTTTGCTTGTCTTTACTATGTTCTTATCAAATGCAAATAGTACAAATTTACCTGACTTTCCAATTTATAAATTTTAATTCATTCTTATTTTGTAGTCTTTCCTGTTTGATGATATCTGCTCACCATCTCTGGAATCTACCGATAAGCTAAGGGATGACTTCCTGGTTGCTATGGAAACTGAGCTAACATTCACTCTCCATGGTTACACGCCATCCATTGAGCTGGATGATAGCACTGCATTGCAGACCAAACAGGTGAGAAGAATCATTCAGTTAGAGAAAGGAATGGCTGACAGACTAATGTATAGAAGAGAGTCAGTAAACTTTGAAAGGAGGAATACCGCATTTGTCGGCGTTAAGACCGCACCGCCACATAGGTCGTACCCCTACTTTGACATTTCGTGGAGAAAAATAGGAAAAAAACAAACAGACAAAACAAAATCATTGTTATTTTCTCATAGAGAACTATTTTTTCTACAAACTGATACCAAATTCATCAATATTCTTATAAAATTTAAAGGAAAAAACTAAGCTTAAAGTTGTATTTACCTAAAAAATGTTGGTAAACTTAGCAAATCTTCATCAATTTTGAAGATAGTACTGTATCACAGGCAGTTTTGTTGTCTGATATTATACCCCTACCAATCTCAATCCTTCAACAATTAGATTTGCTTCTGATTGATTGGGAACTCGATGTAGATCAATCGTAACAGGTGTTTGTGCAGGTGTTGAGTTTTTTTGCCATTGGAAACCTTGTGACTGGGGGAGGGGGGCACCTATTTTAATTTACTTGGATTCATCTGAATTTGGAAATTGTAATTAAATTGTTTATACTTTTAATATATAATGCTTATCAAATTTATACCAAATTTAAATGATGTTTATGTCACACATGTTATCATTAGTGTTTTCAAAATATGTTTTCATGACCTGTCAAAATGGTCATAACATTAGTGTAATGTATATGTTAAAGGTAATACAAAGTTTTGGGAAATTTGAAAATTGGGTGGGTAGTGATTCTTTACAGTTTTTATATATTTGGATGCCCCTGTAGATGTATTATAAGCACTAGAAAAATTAGCCCCCAAAACACTTCTGCTTTCGAGAATAATTGAATATAACATTTTACCGGTGCTCCCTTTTTGAAACTTTGATAAATTTCAAAAAGCGCCTACGGCCGTACAATGGTAGCTGCGACCATGGAAATCTCAGAATATGTATTTCTGATATATAATTTCCAAACAGGAATAGCTAATTGGTTGATTTTAGTCAAGAAACATTGTTTTATAGCTTGATTAATATCTTGACCTTGAGAGGGAGCTATACAACATAAAGAATTTGTTATTTACAATTTCATAACTTAAGATTCGATTTGAACCGCGACAACGATCACTGAATATTTTAGTATCGCATATGCTTCCAATATGTTCATTGAACCAAATTCATGACACCATACCAAAACTTTGTATTACAGGAGCAAGATGTGAGAGAAGTGGAGGTAGTCTCGTCCACCGTGCATGCCCTGGTCAAGGCCCTCGTCAAAGAGAAACAGACGTTGGCAAGCCTGGCTCAGGTGTGTGATAACTTCACCACGATGGCCGCTCAGCTCAATCCCTGGCTGAACAACAGACCTGATGTATCGTGTCTACAGACTATCATGAAGGAGGTCAAAGGTCATAGGTCAAGACTCAGGCACAAACTCGCTGATAAGAAAGACCTGGAAGAGGTAGGCCTCTGGGTTTTCTTTCTCCTCCAATTCTTCAATCATCCAGAATATTGTTTGTGATTGATAGCTGTCCTTGCAATCATCTATTTATTTCACCAAGTTTATCTAAAATTCCTTTTACATATATAATGTTAAAGTCATTTGACCCAGTTCTGTATAGATTTTTTATTAGTGTTTTATTTTCTCTACAGTATATAATTTGATTTACAGTTCACGATACATATTTTGCCATCAAAGAAACATATTTTGTAAGCTTGAATTATTGTAAGAGAAAATCTTCACATATTTTACCCAACAGACCATTTTTCGTGTTTTTTCTTCTCATATGCCTCATTTATTAAGATAATACTTTGTATATTCTTTTAACAGGATACCGAGCAGTGTAATGAGAAGTGTATGGAAGAGCTACAGGATGAGATACATACCATTCAGGGGAAGCTGTGGACGCTCTACCAGAAGGAAGATGCATTACTGGTACCAAACATAACATTCTAATGCATCAGTCTAATATCAGCATTTAATAATAATAATAATAATTAACAACATTTGTATAGCGCTTATCACAAAATATGTCTCTAAGCGCTTAAGAAAAATAGAAAGAGAAGGAATTACAGCCAAATATTAAGTTATACATAATAGATAGTGGACAATCGAGGGGGCTGCATATGCAAATGAAAAAGGCTATTTAACAAAAAAGTAGGTTTTTAACATGGATTTGAATTTGTCTGTTGAATCTGCTTGTTTTATACATTGAGGTAAATTGTTCCAGAGTTGAGGGGATGCTGCATAAAAAGTTCGGGAACCATAAGACTGGGTATTGGTGGCAGGAACTATTAAGAGTCATTTCTTGTTTGAGCGCAGGTTGCGGGAGGGTAAGTATTCTGATATCAGCCTTTGAAGGTAGACTGGAGCTGTTTTTGTCAAACATTGGAAAGTCAGCAAGAGGATCTTAAAATCAATTCGTTCCCGGACTCTTAGCATGTGAAGCTCCCTAAACAGTGGAGTGATGGACTCACGTGAACGACGCTTTGCAATAAGTCTAGCAGCTGAATTTTGTACTCGCTGCAATTTGTTAATTTGTGCATCAGGAAGACCATACAGAAGACTGTTGCAAAAGTCAATACGAGACATGACCAGTGACTGAACAAGTCTCTGGGTGGTCTTTTTAGTAAGAAACTGACGGATGCTACCGATTTTATGCAACGCAAATGAGGCAGATCTGCATACATTGTTCACATGAGTCTTCAGAGATAGATTATTATCAAATGTGACCCCAAGGTTTCTAGCACCTGTAGAACATTCTATGTCAGTACCATCAAGACATACATCATCAATCGGACTACAAGTCCTATGTCTGCTAACAAAGTGTATACACTCCGTCTTATTTTCATTTAATTTCAATCCATTCTGTATGGACCAATTCTTAATGTCTGTAAAACATGCACTGAGTCTTTGTAGAGTTATTAGTTTAACAATCATCACCATTATTACTCTCCTGTTATACATGTAGTATTATCATTCCTGACTTGATTATGACCGTCTTAGTTTCAAATGTCAATGTCATCATTTACCACTATCAAAATCATTGTGTTTACTGATGAATGTATCTGATACACAACTATCAAGTCTATCAAGACAGATGAAGGTTTTAATTATTGTTCGTGGACTGAAATTTTATCAAATGATATTTTATACAGTAGGCTTATTGTTGCACCATGTGAGAGGCGGGAGGATTGGGGAGTCTTGAAAAGAACTGTTGGTAATCTTTCTTGAGTTTATAGTTCTAAAGAGAACTAAAGCGTCGGAAGGAGAGAATGGGTGGTAGGAGGGGCTGACAGGTTGACTATCAGTTGTCAGGAGTGGGGAATAGCTGCCGTGCGTGGGCTTAAGACACCAAGTTGCTGTGGGCTCGAGTCTCACACGGTGTAACCATAAGCCTGCTGTATATCTACATCACCATGCAAGCCGATGCCTATAAGCAGAATCTAAAAGTTTTTTATGCCTCCGTTACGAAGTAGCCGGAGGCATTATGTTTTCGGGTTGTCCGTCCGTCCGTACGTCCGTACGTCCGTCCGTCCGTACGTCCCGTTCTCGTGATCGCGTTATCTGAAGAACCGATTGATGGATTCCTGCCAAACTTTAGTCATGTATGTATCTTGCAGAGCCGATGAACTGATTAGATTTTGGGGTCACGAGGTCAAAGGTCAAAGGTCACAGGGCTCATTATGTATGCAAAAACAGCTCGTGATCGCGTTATCTAAAGAACAGATAGATGGATTCCTGCCAAACTTCAGTCATGTATGTATCTTGCAGAGCTGATGAACTGATTAGATTTTGGGGTCACGAGGTCAAAGGTCAAAGGTCACAGGGCTCATTATGTATGCAAAAACAGCTCGTGATCGCGTTATCTCAAGAACCGATTGATGGATTCCTGCCAAACTTTGGTCATGTATGTATCTTGCAGAGCGGATGAACTGATTAGATCTTGGGGTCACGAGATGAAAGGTCAAAGGTCACAGGGCTCATTATGTATGCAAAAACAGCTTGCGATCGCGTTATCTCAAGAACCGATTGATGGATTCCTGCCAAACTTAGGTCATGTATGTTACTTGCAGATCCGATGAACTGATTAGATTTTGGGGTCATGAGGTCAAGGTCAAAGGTCATGGGTTCATTATGTAGGCAAAAATAGCTTGTGAACGCATTCTCATTAGAACTGACAGATGGATTACTATTTAACTCAGGACATCTTGCAGAGCCAATGAACTGAGTAGATTTTAGGGTCATGAGGTCAAAGATCAAAGGGTCATATATGTATATAATGGATTACAATTGAAATTGATTTGAAAAATTTCTTCTGTTTTGGTTTGTAAAATTGCTCCATGACGGAGGCATCATTTTCGACTGCGCGCAGTCGAAGTTCCATCTAGTTTTTTTTTCATTTCACGACAAGTTTGTATATCAAGAAGTTGAAAACTTTTTTTTTTTCTTCCTCTTTCTACATATATTCATGAAGAAACCACTTGATTCATTCCCTCTCTTGTGTATTGATTTGCATTTTAACAAGTAAGATATTTTACTGTATCTTGAATGCCTCTTCATGAATTATTTGTATGTACTATTACTTTTTTTTAGAGGGAACTTTCTGAGCTGACAGCAAATCATTACCCCGAGCTGCCATTCCTGTACCCAGTCATAGGCATCAGCAAGTTCTTGGTAAGTTGAATTCCTCATTTCTGTCTCAAAAGGTAAAGTGTAAGCACTATCTAAATGCTTGAAATGGGAAGTCATCTTTTGAAGGGGAGCATTGTTGTATGATGCTGTCCTATGATGCTGTTGTCATGACATCACAAAATACTGATTCTTTTCCTGTAAATGTACTTGTCTCTGTTTGATTTTGTTCAGCCCACATTCTAGTGATGGTGCCTTGCTGTATGCAAATTCCTGTCATAAATGTTATGAAATGATATATTTTCTTTTCATTGTGTATTTATTCCAAATCATTTATTGCTTTAGATGGTATTGGTGATATAATAGATTGGATAAAGGCACACTCTTCAAATCTCTTTGTATTTCAGACATGGGAAATGATATCTCATATGCATGAATGTACATTTGACATTTCATTATAATGGAGTCAATCTCCTCTTACTCATAGGAAACCAATGGACTAGTCAAAGATGGTCGTGACCTCACGCACTTTGACCTTTCACCTGTACCAGACTGTAAGAAGACGACCGTGAAGCTTGCCAAAGCTAATGGAAAGCCTGTCAGCGTCATCAAGGTACAGTCTTGTTTGCCGATATGTCCATTGTGAACTGTTAATACAGTTATCCAACATGTCCATGCAAGAATTGTTGGCTGTTTTCAGTATGTACCCCTGTTATTTTTGTTGATAATCATTATACAAGTTTAAAGATAAAGACCAGTTCTTGTCATGCGATTGCATTGTGAAAGAAACGTTGTGGAATCGATCAGAAAAGGTTGATCATCTAGCATATAAGTATTGGTGTGTACTGCAAGGTTATGGAATCATCAAAATGATAAGAAATTTGGCCCAGTCTAGTAAAATTACAAGCACTGTACACAGAAAGATGTATATGGGACTATGCGACACGTGCGCGATATCTATCCGGTCCAGATATAATAATTTACCAAATATATCAATTTAATAACTGATTTGATTGTAGGTGATCCACCTGCCTGACAAGCACACTCTAGATAAGATGATAGCCTACTCTGTGATTGAAGTCCCAGCCTGCATGAAACTCCATGCCGTCTATCCAGAGAGTGACGGCTCTCAGCTCTTCCTTCAGTTACCATACATGGGACTAGGAAACCTAGAGTCTGCTGTTAAAGAAGATGGACTGCTCAGCAGAACAGATGTGATCAATGTCTGCAGGTAACAGCTTCTTAGAGAATGATGATGACTACAAACGTTCTTATGTGGATGAGGGTCATGAGGATATCGATGATATTGTATTGAAGATGATAATAATAATATTAGTGGGTTACTTGTTACTTGTAGAGATAATCCCGATGGCAGCTATCATACAGCTAAACTGGGTTCTTGTATAGCGCTCATGTCTGTCAGACTTGACACTCCTGGCACTCCCGATCATTACCCTGGCTTTAGCACGGCTGCCATTACGGCGCTCTAGCATTTCAAGGAATTAATTCCTGCCAGGTACCCATTTACATCACCTGAGTTGAGTGTGGCAAATGTAGATCAATGTCTTGCCAAAGGACATTAGTGCCGCGACGGGACTCGAACCGCAAACATTGTGATCGACAGTCCGGGGTCATATCCACTCGACCATGACATCTGATGAAGAGAATGGTTTGGATGGTGATGATGATGATGGTGATGGTAATGATGATGATGTTGATGATGCTGCTAACGATGATGAAAAAGAAGATGGCTATAATAATCAACGTGTAAATTTACATTTGATTCTTACATCTTAGAATGTCAAACATTACATTGTGTTTGTTGCCCTATCCTACAAGAAAAATAAATATTTTCTTTTACCATACAAAATTCTGAGCTAACTCTTGAACCCTGCCGCCACTCCTGTTCTTTCTTATCATAGGAATGTCTTAATGGCATTAGAGGGACTTCACCGACTAGGTCTGGTTCATGGAGGAGTACATCCAAGGAACGTCCTCTTAGAGCAAAGAATGGAAGGCAAGGAGGAGGGGGAGGAGGAGTCTTGTATCATTGCCAACCTGGCTGAATTCGACTTCACTATGACAACTGTAAGTAGAATTTAAAGATAAAGACCAGTTATGGTCATGCGATTGCATTGTGAAAGAAACGTTGTGGAATCGATCAGAAAAGGTTGATTGTCTAGCATATAAGTATTGGTGTGTACTGCAAGGTTCTGGAATCATCAAAATGATAAGAAATTTGGAAAGTTTTCCAGCAAAATTTGTATCAACACATATTAGTCAAACCATATTCTTTAACATGAAAGGTAATAAGAGCTTCCATTCCATTTCATTTTTTGAGGGGGGGGGGGCATTTCCAAAACTGGTCTTTACCTTTAAGATATTCAGGTGCCAAATGATTGAGTAACTGGTGTTTTGTCTCTCTCTGTCTGGTCGCTCTTCCTCCTGCACCTGTAGAGTGAGACAGCTCTGAAAGGATTCACCTCTGAGACAGGAATGCGTTTCACTGCTCCAGAGGTTAACTGTGGACTTCAAGCGACATCACAAGCTGATATATTTGCTTGTGGACTCCTCCTTCTTTGGGTAAGAATTCATTTTTTAGTTTCCATGGTGATGCCTTTCATGTGTGAGGTTGAGGCTTTGATTTTTAATTGGGAAATGATTTTGTATTTCACGTCATTAATTATTGTTTGCCACTCCTCGCCCAGGGGTGACCGTGAACCATACTTTCCAATACCTGCATATGTTTCAAATATTTTAGTATTTCTATCAGTTATAATCAGCTCATTTGAAATCCAAAGTGGATTCTTTTCAGGCTGAAATCTCATTTTTAATATACACCGATTATTAGAGTGCATAAGATGTATGGATGTACTAATAACATATATGTCTTGTTTTTGTTTACAGGCCCTTTTCCCAACCAGAGTCTTCAAAGTTGAGCCAGACGGCACGCCAGACCTGGAAGGCTGCAATCTACCGCCCTCTCTGACGGAGGTTCTAGATTCCATGCTGAATTACAGCCCTTCCAAACGACCCTCTGCTGCCCGCGTCATGGAGTCTGCATTCTTCACCAATCCTCCAGAGTTTGCCGAAGAGACGGTGACGCCGATGGAGGTGGCAGCGGTTGATGGAGGAGATGTGTCTCTGAATGAGAGTTCTCTGTGTGATATCCCAGAAGGAGAGGAGAATAAGCTTGATGTTAGTGCACCAGGAGATCTTCAGATGGAGCATTCACAACAGGTAAAAATGGTTTTGCTTCAAGAATTCTTTTATATTGCACGACCTCTTATTAAAAAGAAGAAGAAAATATCAAGCATCTTTATGATATTCATATGTGAAATTATGTTGCTCTGCTGTAATCTGTATGTATACTATGTTCTAACAAATCATGTCGCAAATCTGAACAAGTTATTTATGGTAAAGATTGATACTAGTGTGCAATGTATGTCTTCAGACACATGCTCAATTTGAGAAATGTTTAGTCATCACTCTTGCATTAAATAAGGGCAAGGAAATCACCCATTCCATTTATTTGATTTCTATCTGACCTTTCATGAACAAAATCCACTTGTGGTGAAAGTGAAGACACATCCAGCCTTGCCTCAGAAAGAACCCTAACAAGCTGCAGTGGAGATATCAAGAAATGGGATTCATTTGAGACTCAGATTCATTACAGCCACACTGAATTTGAAATGAAGATGATAAATTCACTGTTCTGTCTATTTCTCTTTCCTGTTTTTTTGTCTTCTCTCTATTTCTGTATACCTGTTTTAGACAACACCTGTTGATGTTTCCCTGAAGACACCACCAGCGTCTCCTGTCAAGGAATCCATGACAGAAAAGAAAGGCCAGGACTCACCAGGACACATAGTCCAGGACTCACCAAGACAAGTCCAGGACTCGCCAGGACACGTAGTCCAAGACTCGCCTAGACACGTTCAGCAGTCACCAGGAGGTGTAGCTCAGAACTCACCAGGACGGGTAGTCCAAGGCTCACCAGGACACGAAGTCCACGACTCGCCGAGACAGGTAGTCCAGGACTCGCCGGGACTTGTGGTTCAGCATTCACCAGGATGTGAGCAGACCCACGATGAGACCCCTATGGATCAGGGAGAGGAGCAACGAGCAGAGAAACCTGAGGCGGTAGTCCAGGAAGTCAGTCAGTTCACCCTGGAACCTGCTCACAAAGGTATGACTGTAGTAATGAAATCATGATATGGACTTGGGGAAAGGGGTGTCAGAATGTATTATCTGAGCTTCAATGACAACTGTGAATAGAATTCCAAGTCTATGGGGTTTACGAGCCAGTCAATAAGAGAAACCTGATTTTGGCATGTCTGACTTGAGACCCAGTAGTTCTTGACAAAAAGGTATCGAGATGAATTTTTGATATATAATTTTCATAAAATTGTATCAAGTGGCCTGTAAGTATCAAGATAACTGACCGAATCTAGTCCTCGAGCCTTGTTAGTTATCAACCAATGCTTTCATGGCTGTAGTAATGGATGATTAAATCAAACGAGCTTCATATCAAACTGTACAGAATGAATTAGATCATTTAAGACTTTTAATTGAAATGTTCTTTACTGTATATTTTTCCCATCTGACAGTTGAAGAAGAAGCTGGTGAAGAGGCTTCAGACTGTGATAGTGGTAAGTTCTTGTCTCAAATCTTCTTCGTAAAGTGAGGAGTGTGATGTATTCTTTCAGAAGGGAATGTGATATCTCTATATACGTTACTGTCATGTCAGAGGTGTAGCATGCAATCTGTGTGGAGAAAAAAATTGGCAAATCACTTCAAATTTAGTTCATTCAGATAAGTACCCTCAAAGTTCTTTTAAGCCAATTCCCATTTTGGTCTTGTAACTCAAACACCTGTTTAGTATTACAGTAATCTTAATTCTCCTGGAGCTAGTCATCCGCAACATTTGTTTTAATTCTATCATTTGGTGCAGTTAGGATGAGGGTTATCTCTACTAAGCATTAATTCTAATTCCATGTTTGCCTTTTGTTTGAAGAGCCTCCTCCTCTTGAAGATGATGAGGTCATCAACCATGTACCAACACTGGTAGAGAGAAGCATGCCTTCAGAAGGTAAGTCTAGTGAAACTCCTTCTCCTTCGGGACAAACTCTACAGTAAAGAAACCGGTTTGATAGTGGATTTCTCCATGGTTCTAAAACACCTCTTGCTATCTGAAAGAGAAAGTGAAGTACAGGTCCAGGGGTGTTTTACTATGATCCTAAGTTGAACTTATCTGTAAGTTGGACTTACTAGTTATAGAAAGCCATTAGCATTTTAGAAAATATTTTGTAAAAGTTATTTTAAAAGGCATATAATGTTGATTCAAATCATTCATATTTTCTATTATCATGGAGATTTCATGTTCTTGATGTGGAATTTATGAATAGTCTAAAATACTTGGAATTTTTGTTTTTGAATATATTTTATTTTAAGGCTACAAATTGCTCTCCATAATGTCTAATTCCAACTTAGAGTTAAATTTGACTTATGTTCTTTGTGAAACACGCCCTTGTTTCTAAAGAGATATGTATTGACCACAAGTTCTCCCATTAAGTACAAACTTAAACTCCTATCTCTTTGGTACAGAGTTATGATTGATGTTCAGTTGCGATCTATTTGAATCAATTACAACTGTTTGATGGGACCCCAGGTACTTGATGAAAGAAATACTTCAGTTTGAGCAAAAAGTTTATTATGTTGTAAAGAGAAACAACTAAATATTTAGAGGTGTCTATGCTCTCGAACCATCCCAAACAAAACATGACACAAAATAATGTTACACTGTTAGTTAGTTCCAAATTGGTCATTGTATATCACTTGAGCCTTGTTCAGATATGAAAAGGCAAAACCATGGCAATTTTATAATAACTTTTGTTAATGACGTAAGTGTACCATGCATAATATTGCTGTATCTTACAACACAGAGCTCAGTGAATACACACTGGACCTTTGTTGCACACACTTACCATTCATTTACATGGAATAAAACCTGGCAGATTTTTTTGTGATGCTTTACCATGTCATTTATGAACGAGCCTTTATAATGATGAATCTAGCAGTTGCAGGGCTTGAATTCAATAAGCTAAATACAATTCTCTTTCCAACATATCAGTTAACATAGCAGTTGGAAAATGTACATGTGATTAAAGTTGACTGATTTCTTTATTTCCTATCTTTTGTTTGTTCCCACAGAACCAGTTGGAGTCACCAATGCTCGAGAAGAGGCTGATGATAATAGCTCTCCAGTGTGAGGGCTGATGCTATCTCCTTATCCCAAGTTTCAACTAAGCATCCAAAAATTGGTCAAAATCCTAGCAGGAATTGTTTTATATTACAGTTGTTTTACGTTCTAGAATTTTTCATAATAAGAGAAACACCTTGTTTTATCTAGAGTTCATTTTAGTATTGAACCAAAAAGTAAAGGTATAACCATTCGTTCAAAAGCCAAAAAGGGCTTGTGATCATGGAAAGTTACTTTATTTTTATCAGTAGATATATACTTTGTTTTTATACATTGACAGGCTGACTTGTTACGGACATGTATATTATGTAGAAACTCAAAACAGTTTATAGGTTAACAATGACTTCAGGAATTATGAAATGTGTGAAGCCAGTTGGTTATGTTACTCAAAGATATGTCACTAATGATTTATTATCGCTCGCTTTCTTTACCTCAAAACTCAACATTTTGATCAAGAGCAAATTTGCTTGAAAATGTTATGAATTAATCATGATAAGTTAGTTTTGATTTCAACTCAAAATGTTTGCCTTTAGTTTATAAGCAGCTGATTTGACAAAGTATTATTCAAGTTGTTGCGAACAGTATTCCTTGCCAACTAGTATTAGCTTTTCTCCCCATGATGATGTTGGGCAGAAATTCCATTTTTATGTTTGCCAAGGAGAGGGCCTTGTTTATACCTCTTTCAGATGTGCCAAAGATACAAAGCTGCAAGCTTATGATTCTGTATTCATTTGTTGTTTTTGATATGTGATATGAAGATGGGGAAACGTTTTCTTTCTCAGATGTTTATGTTTAGATTGCCAACAAGCGGCCATTCTCGTACCTCTTTCAAAATGTGCCAAAGGTTTTACACATACAGACATATGGTTCTGTAATGGAGTGTGTGATGTATTATATTGATGGATGATCAGGTAGAGTTGCTTCCATTCCATGAATTCTATAGAGAAGAGGTACCAATAAGTTTCTAGTTGTACATCTATGAATGACGCCTATACCGAATACCGAGTTTTAGCTATAGAATATTAAGAAGCTGATGACGGTGGCTCTTCTTTGCAAGTGATGGGGTCGCCTTGCCTCTTTCCATTTCTGTTAGAGGCAGATTGTATTGATTTATGTGACATTTGAGTCAACAGTAGTAGTTGTTGAGATACATCATGTGTAGTGAAGTTGTTTGATCTTAATGTCAGGGAGATAGCCCAAGGTTTCTGCATGTAGCAAACACTCTTGAACAGTTCTTCCAACAGTAAATCCAGACAGAGGCTACAAGTGAAGGTTTAGGATGAAAAGCAGAGGAAGAATTAACATGCTTAATTTACTTTTCTTTTTTGTTTCATAGTTAATTTTCTGATGTGTTCTTTAATCTTTACCTTACTTTATTTCATTAGAGATTTCCTGTAGTTTGAAGAATTGCTGTCTAGCACTGATTTAAGACTGAACGCTGTATTGTCTGTGATCTTTGGTAAGCAATGCCACCCTTATTCCCTACTGGCCTGTCTTCATGAGTCGAGTTAGCACTCTCTATCAAAAACAGTTTGGAGAGACCCTTTGGATCAGAGTGTACTTCCAGAGTAAAGCAAGTGTAGAAGTCTTTATTTGTACCAATACTGAATACCCTTTCCACAAAAGTAGAAAAGTTGTATGATAGATGGTGCCAGGATTAGAGATTAAAATATAATATGAACGTGTGGTCTCTTCACCAAATCCTTCTGAAAGGCCAAAGAACCATAAAATTTGAATTATCCAAACTTCCAAAATCTTCCAAACAGTAGTGGTGCGAATCATGGCTTTCCACATGTTCCTGACTACTGCTTGCAGTACGTGTCTGGTGTATGCTGGCTTTCCCTCCAATCAGAATTGATGAACAAGCTTGACCAATCTTGGCCTACTTGGTATTGCTTATCAGTATTACTGGTATAGATGATTGTACACATGATTTCAATACAAAAGAAACGTCAGAATTTCAGCCTCTATTTCAGAAGCCAAACCATGGCTGCTTCTTAGCCCCAGTCTGTTCCAGTGAGAGCATGTACTTGATACTATGGTGTGTGCATATTTAACTTTAGTCAAACTTCCCTAGATTCTTCTTTGGTGTAGTCTGCTTCCTTCAATCTTGAAGATTCTTGCAGAACTTTGGTGTAGTGTGTGTCACAAGGCTAGGGTGCATGTGCCAATAAATAACAAGGTGCAAGTAAAAGCAGCATTGGATCTAGCTGCTGCAGCCTCTCGTCAAGGCTGTCACAACATTGGCTGCGAGGGTGTTCCATGTCCTCACAGTTCTGGGGAAGAAGGAGTTCTGGTGTTGCTGAGTCCTGGATTGAGGTCGGAGATATCCTTGTGAGAGCTGGTTGTGAATCTTATAGAACATCAAAACGCTGTTGGAGTGATGTCCATCCAAGCTCCTGCAACATTGAAGATACGCTGGATGTGTTGCGGTATTGATTCAATTTGTATCAGGCTTTTAAGGATTATTTGCCTAGTCATTACAAAAGGGTAATTCTAATAGACTTTATATTAGCCTTTATTGCTAAGTTTGTGGTAAAATGGATGATTATGTCCAATCTGAGTGGTACTTTGTGTCAGAATTGAAGCACTTTTTTCACAACCGAATGTGGTCAAAGTGCATTCAGGAGAGCTTGCACTGAATTCTTCCCCGAGAGAGGACCTGTGTTCCAAGGTCAAGGCTCTTGTATTCTGTCCTTGATATCTTGTGTGTGTGCATCAATCAGCCATGATCTCGGGTTGTTGAGTTCATCTCATCCACTTCCTTGGCATCAGGGTATGTAGTTGTGCTTTCTGGTTTGCAGGTAATCACTAGAAGCACTCATCTTGAAGGGTGGTATGTCCTTGGTGTTCCATCTGATGGTAAAGTTAGCAGGAATGTAGATAGAAAACAAAAGGAATTGTTATTGAGAAATTTGCGTTGTTGGGGTGTCTTCCAAGCAAGTTTGTATCCCTCAGAGAATTACAAGGTGAATGTAGTAGATGTACTTGCCTCCTTTGTTTAGGAGCTTGTTCTTCCTGTAGGTATTAGGAATGCATTATGGGGTGAGATTTGAATTGATTTGAATCTTTTTCCGTATAAAAAGAAGTACAATAATCGAAACATTACACAATATGTAGACATACTATTAGAGATAAATGGCTGGATGGATGGCCGGCCAGCCCTACTCGGCATCCAAAAACATGGTGGCCCTGTTCAAACGAGGGGTAGGAAGGACTTTGGATTGGTTGGTATGTGTGCTATATCCTCTTTGGCATGGGTTACGGTCTTTGATCCATAACGACCTGTAGCTTGAATCTTGATGCCCCTTTGGTGGCGTGGCTTTTTCGAAAAATGAACCCTCGACGGGATCTTCAGTAGGGTTGAGAAGGCACTTGCCGCTACCTCGTAGATATTTTCGTTTGGTCTGGATAGTGCTTCAGACTTTGGGTAACTACATGTGCAATCCTGGAAGACTCCTTGTTTTGGGATAGCCTTGTAGCTGATGTGATGTACTGTGGGAGGCAGGTAGGATAGTATTGGAACAATTCATCATTGTGACCTCATTGTGTGAGGTCATGGAATCCCTGAATGGGCAAAGAGAGTCAGCATAACAAGGTAAACAGTAACATACATGCAGATGATTTTACAGACCCCTTTTCAATTTGACCACCCATATTGTTTCTTTAGAAATTCCCTAAAGTATCTTGAAATCATGTTCGCTCTTCCTTTTGGGAGAATTTGTATCTTGATACCCATTATAAACAGACGGCTATACCTATTGTACATGACTCTAAATGGGGACAACTTGGTAGAATCCTGTCTGGTAGTGCGATATGCAAAAAGGATGGTGTTAATCCTCTCATCCCAATCAACACAGTCCCCTCTCACCGAATTTTCCAGACATTTGATCAAGGTTTGATTAAACCTTTCACACAGGCCATTTGTTTGTGGGTGATATGCTGATGAGACATGGTGTTTGGTACCCGTCAGCTTCAGCATCTCTGCCACTAAGTCGTCGTTGAATTTTCTCCCCTGGTCGGTGACAATTGATGCAGGAAAGCCTAACCTATGCACAGAGAAAAAGATTATTATAGGACAACAAAACAAAAGGAAAGATTTGACAATTAGTTCACTTTGGTAGCCAAATTTTAAAAGTTGTGAACGAATCAGGTTCCCTAGTCCAACACCTGGTCATTTCTAGACGCGTGTATCCTCTCTTCAAACAAGAGACTGGGAAGTTCTTTCTAATCTTCCTCAAGCTTCAAAATATTTTGCATATTATCACAACCAGATGATTCTACAGTATTTTGATCAAACCCTCATGCACCTCACAACACACATATCATTAAAGCAGCAACAGTTTTCAAAACACGCCCCAAGTTTTGCCTGTAGGTATGACTGGTGGTTTGAATGAATAATGCCTCACCTACTCGCTCTGCTCATGCACATAAATTAACATAAATCAACATAAACATGAATATGTATGAGGTTGGTATCAATATATACATTTATATACTGGAAGAGAAAGCCACACCAGGACATATGAATTACAGAAGTCGATATGAAAAGCCTCTGCTTGGAAGTAAATGTATCAAGTATACTGGCCTTAGAGAAATGCACTTTGATGAAGCTCCATAGGCCGAGATATTCCTGCATATGAAGGATCCTCATGTAAAGAAGATACTTGGTATTTAGAGTTATGTAGTAAGCAAGACATCCCTTAATGGATTAGACAGAGGTTGAAAAAGTATGTAGAGAGTTCTAAGAGTGCGTTTGTGGTATTGACTCTGGCCGGGTATACCGCATCATTTCTTGAGTTGATGTTACTTGAGTTTGAAATGTTAGAGAGTGTCTTGAGTAAAATTTACTCGCTGGATGCAACGTTTGGATGCGGGCTTGAAATTCAAACTCCGCGCCAGTATATCAGAATGTTTTTCAAAGATGTGTAAGAACGACTGGAAGAAATGAAAGTGATAACTTTTTTGAAGATGTGGTCAACGTTGTTCATCTTAGCCTAGGTGAAAGAAAAGATACACACAGCAGAACAGGTCTTTGCTTCGAGATGATATCAGATATGTGTTGTATGGTAGTCGAAAGCGACTAGTGGTAGTTTCGTCTTTCCCATTCTTTACTTCTGTTATTCCTCCAATATATTTGTTTTCTTATCATTTCTGGTTTACATACAAGTAGATCTGTAGCAAAGTTGTTGATGTACTAGGCATCCAAATGTACTAGTGTTGATTTTAATCTTAGTTTTCTATTAAGAAACAAGTCAAAGTGGTTTGTTGTGGTTACGGAGGAGTATGTATCAAAACTCCTTTTATCAATGATGTTCAAATTAAGGAACATTAGTCTGAGGTATTATGTGATTCAATGGGCTTTGAAATACAGTTGCCGATATGAGGTCAGATCTGTAAGAAGTTTGTCAAGTTTTGTATTCATTCTGAAGTAAATTGATCTACAGGGATTGTAGATGACTTCTACAAAATATGAAAAACTGCGAGAGTTTTGTGTTAAAGGTGGAATTTCCACAAAAATGCTTCTGGTGCATTATTTAGTTCTCCAGCCGGATTTCCAAAGATTAATCATTCCAAAACTTTTAGTTTAAAAAGTAGATAAACAAGAAGTTTTAGATATATGTGCAAGTTGAAGGCTGATATAAGATCTACTTTGCTGATGACTTTTTTTTGTCAAATGTTTTGTACTTTTGTATATGCATGCGTTTAGTATGTTCTGTTCGTGTTTGATTGCCAGATGGCTGGCAAGTCCAAGATCTAAATAAAAGATCATTTATTGAACAACAAAGTATACCATTGTTATTGTGAATTTATTTTGCATACAACTCTTATACTTGTGTAAATTATGTTGTATAATAGCTAGGATCTAGATATATGTCATAGCTTATAATTCCATGTACCGGTAGTCTTTTGAATGAACAAAAATGTGATTAAAGAGGAGGTTGAGTTCTGGGAAGAGGTGAACAATTATTTGTGAGCGCTATCATTGTAATTATGCAAGTGTGGACACATTTTCCTGTAGTCCCATATACATCTTTCTTTGTACAGTGCTTGTAACTTGGACCAAATTATGATGATTCCAGAACCTTGCAGTACACACTTATAGTTATATGCTAGGTGATCAGCATTTTCTGATCGTTTCCACAATGCAATCGCATGACCAGAACTCAACTTTATCTTTAAATGCATCTTTACTCTCCACCAATCAGAATCACAGATCTTATATTTTAATTGATTTTAGTGGTGTACCGTGGCAACGATTTTATGCAACATTCTCTTGGTTTAATAAGTAATACACCGGCAGAATTTGGAAAAGTTGAAGGGTCCAATATATTTTCTTGATTTTCTCAGGATAAGTTGTGGCTTTTTTTTTTTAACACAAAAATGTTGAGAAGTCAAGGGTTTTGAAGGAAATGTGAGATACTGATCAATATCTTTTGCTGCAACTGATTCCCTTGATACATGACCATGATTCAAATGTTGATGAAATTGTTTCAAGTCTTACAACTCACAGGTAATGAAGTAAAGTTTCCAATTAAAGGAATAATTGGGAATTCTAAAGTGAGAACTATATTTAAATGGAAAAGCAGATCTATCCAGCCAAATAAATCATTCCTGTCCTAACACTTTTTGGAAGGCTATTTGATGAAATCAAACATCAAATCAATCTTTGAAAAACTAAATTAACTAATAATAATTAAAAAGTTCACCAAATAGACGTCTTTAGCTAACGATGAGTATTACCTTCAAGTTGGAGAGACATTTGGATTTCATGAACAACGGGGCAATTAAATCACAAACCACAAGAATACAGATCAAAACATTTTATTTACAATATGGACAAACATGTACACACATAAAATGTAATTAATTTGAATACATTAACTTTGTAAACATTTAAGATACCCACAAGGATATAAATGGATAGCTGAATTTGAGCTCTGCTACCAAGTATTTCTAAGCAAATCTGCCTAAAATTATATTAATGGAGGCATGGGCATCGAACAAAAAGTATACAACAACTACAACTCTGCTATTGGCCTATCATAAGGTTATACTGTGTAGCTGCTTGTAATGTAGATCCTATAAGGTGCTCCCATTCTCATATACCCCTTGTTAATCATAACATTTAATAGTTCGATATTATAATTTAGTGAAGACATTACGTTGATGATTTCACAGAAAGGTGTATTTTCTTCTTTTAGGGTCACATTCCTTTGATTACTCAAAAACCTATCAAATATCACAGATCACACAGGGTACTGACAATCTATTACTAGTATATGAATCACTGATCATATAAAAAATTCTCATTATTAAACTGAAAACTTGGTTTGAGAATACATCAACTGGGCAGCTATATGGAAGAGGAATGATGGAAACATTCAACTTTGAAATCCACAAAGAAACCAGACGGAATACATTCATAAGTGTCCCACAAACATTTTCTCCTTCTAATAGACATAACAATTTCATATATTGTAGTGACTTTAGCACTCTACTCACTCATATTTTATAGGCATGTGGAATTTTAAGAAAATTATTAAACTTTTCATTAAAATTGTGTTCATTGTAATTAAATCTTGTGTCTTCTGTAGTAGGAAAGGTAAACATGTACCTGGCTGTACCTGAATAGGAACAAGTTGGAGAAGAGCTGTGACAATATTTATCGCCCAAGAATTGATGCAGACCACTTTTACTTTATTTCAAAGATTTTTTTTTTTTAAAGTGTCTTCATCAATCATGGTACGAAAAATATAAACCAAAACACCTTTTCCTATTGTTGTTCATATTCAGCCGATGTCCTTGTCCATTCAGATTTACAGACTAAATCTGGTTGTATGACAGATATCAAAGTGCTGTGGCTCTCCAGAAAAAGTGTCTCGTAGTGAAGCGAAAGAATCTGCAGGTATTCCAGATAGAATTCATTGACATCTCCTTGGTCATTGTTCAGAGTCTCAATTAATTGTAAGATAAGAAAGATTTATTCAGCAGCTTGTTCCTGGCCTCCCCCATCACCACCCTCGGCTGGTTCACCCTCGGCCGGTGCATCAGCATCAGCAGCAGCAGCCGGTTCTTCTCCTCCTTCTTCCATCGGTGTTTCTCCTTCTTGTTGACCCTCCGCTGGCTCTGCTGCTGGTGTCTCCTAGGTACGAATATGAGAAAAGAAAAGGTGTTTTATCATCATAATACATTCAATTTCATCAACATGTTAGGGATTATAGCTACTGGAAACTACTACTAAAAATGCATGTTTGAAAATGTAAATAAATTAACATGATAATGAAGCCCTGAAAACTGAAGGGGTTTCCTGAACTTGCCGTTATTTTTTATAAAAAGCAGTGAAAAGTTGTATAAATAGCTGACTAGTGCTAACATGCTCAAGAGCATATAGTTCTATAGACCTTCCAAATATGTGTTACGATGAGATAATTGATTTTTTTTTCTTCTTCAAAATGCTAAAGGAAAATACTCAGATGAATTTTAATGCAAGACATGCAAATTTAAGCAACCTAATAAGCATTCTTTTCTTCTGTTGGAGCTGAATAGGTTTCTACCTAATAAGTGGATTAATCTAAATTGAAATCTAACCTCCTGTGTTTCTTGAGTTTCCTGGTTTGCTTGCTTGGCTTCATCATCCCCAGCCTCCTCACCCTCCATCACTGTCTCTAGGTTAGGTGCTCCAGGCAGATTGGAGCGATCCTTAGGAGCTGCATTCTTCTCTGCTGTCTCAGCTTCCTCTCTAGCTCTCTCTTCAGCCTGCTTGGTTGAGAGAATGGAGAAAAAAATATGGGTGAGAAAATATGATGCAAGTTGTATAAATATCTAAGCAAATATTCTAAGCTTGCTTCTTTAAAGCCCCTCTGCACTAGTTTGGCCAGGAGGGATTAGTCCTCCCTGCATGGTTACTGACATGTGATTATCTCATCAAATCAGCTCTCAATTAACATAAGAAAAAGGGGATCATGGGCGACCAATGGTCACCGCTTAGGCATTATTTGCTATATAGAGGGCGAAAGTAGCTATAAGTAGTGCAGTGGGGCTTTAAAGCAGTTCATATGATGAAATATATTTGTTTGGTATATCTGAGGAATTGTTCTGATCCATTCAAAGATTGCACTTTACAAATCATGGTATACAACTCACAACTTTGAGAGTATGTTTTGTCAAAAAATTGCATTTTCTATTAATCTACAATATGTGATTTATAATTATGCCTATTTACGGAACATAAAGTACACATACACTGTACATGTATGCATCGATAATATACTTCAGTTCTATTTGTCCACTTTCTCTAAACTTGTTTCATTACATAAGACTTTGTCATTTCAATAAGAATGACTTTCATTAAGTTTACTTGAATTAGTTTCATGTAAATGGATGTTTACTCAATCTGACAAATCAGAATTTACAAGAGTAGCATATTTAATTTAAACAGAAATGTTTACCAGTAGGGGAACAAAAAATCATGTATTGTCTTTTTTTTTATCAATCAGTCTTTAACATGTATTATGGGTAAGTCTGTTATGGACTTTATTTGATCTACAAATGAGACATAAAATGGGGATGGGGATTACTCACCTCTCTTGCTTCTTTCTCCTCTTGTGCTAACCTCTCTGCTTCTGCTCTCATCTTTTCTTGTCTCTCCTTCTCTTTCTCCGCCTCTATCCTCTCCCCGTCCAGTCTGACAGCTAGCTCTGCTTGCTGAGAATCAAGAAGGCACAATCAAGTTAGATAATAATAATAATAATAATAACAATATTTATAAAGCGCAACATATCCATCTCTAGAGATGCTCAAGGCGCATACAAATTATTTAAATTAATATTCAACATACTTAAGATTAAAGAAATATTAAATGTTAACTTACATTACATCACATAACTTCATGGTGCCATGGTACGTACAATGTGGCACAGTGTGATGGTTCGTTTTGCATGGGTTGTATAACAAGAACATTGAAATTTAACAATATGCATTGAGCATCAGGTGAGTTTTAAGCCCAGTTTTGAAAGTAGAAAGAGTGTTGGCTGTCTGAATAGAGAAAGATACCTTGTTAGGTTGGGTTGAGTATTAAGGGAATAATTGATTCCTTAAATCTTTGCTCAATAATAACAATAACAGTAGTATTGGACATTTCCACAGCCCGTGCCTGTATATTCACCACGCAAGGTGCTTGAGGTGTTCCTATATTTACCTCGGCTCTCGGCTAGGCTACCAATTTCGGTGCTCACAGCATTCAAGTAATTTCTTTCTTACTGAAACCCATATAACCTCTGGGTGGAGTACCTGGAGCATGAATACCTTAATCTGATAATTACAGTCTACTCTGGGAATAGCAGAAATAGACAATGCGGTACATTTTCCACACACCCTCATGTAACATTAATATAAGTGCATTGGATCACTGAGTAATGTGCTCAGGTATACGAGACAACACCCTTCTGGCTCTCAGCAGATGTCGTGTAAATCATGTAGTTTAGAGCCAACAAAACAACACATAATGCATTTTGGGCATTTTCATCTACATCTACACACAATATTCACATTACTTGTAAATGTTTCTGATCAAATGCATGATTTATAAGCAAACCTCATTTGCGCAGACTTCATTCTCCTTGTATTTATTGAGCCATTGTGCGATGTATTCAATTGGATCAAGAGGTCTCTTCTCTGCTACCTCTGCCAAAGCTCTAGTCAGGCAGTCTCCAAGATGTTTCTTTAGATATTCTGTGTCCATGTTGGATTATGAAACTGGTATAGGATGAAATAATCTGTAGCAATAGAAACAAAAAGAAACAGACTAAATACAGATATTTTTCACCCACATACCGATATTGCAAATGAAAACTTTATACCAGAGGTACAACTATTCTACAGCAACCACTGACTTACTCATTATGTAACTTGCCTGTAAAATCATCTGCCACTCACTAAGTATTCAAAATGTTTCCACTTGAAAACAGATTTAATTAATTTAGACTCGAGGCATTCAAATTCAAATTCAAATGATTTTATTTCTCATGCAAATTATAATACAAGAATAATTATATCACAACAAATATGCAATAAAACGACACAACATCTATAAGGTCTATGGAGATGTTATGAAGCTGACAGACTATTTCAGCAAGAGCTGACAAACATCAACATCTGTGGCATCCTGTGATGTTGATTATAGTTCTTCTGAAAGAATATTCCTAAGAGTCTGGAGGTTTTGAAGTTAAAACAATTTAAGGCTCAAGCTGTTTTAAAATGTAAAAAAATAGATAGGGTCAATAGACATTACTTTGAATGAATAACAAGCTACATGTACATCACTTCCATGTGAAAATGTGTGTTTATAAAACGTAAAGTATTGAAAATTCATCTAGTAATGCGCAAATTTGCAAGAAAGAAGATTGACGGCCTATGGAGATCTTGTAATGGATGTCACTTCTAAAGGAGGGCAGTGTTGCACATTGCAGTAACTTGTTTTCTTGTTAGATTAATTCAATTATTGATGGTAAATAAAACAAAGAAGAAAAATATGTGTAGTAGTAGGCTGGGCTCTTACTCCCATCTTGAGACCCTAAGTTTCTTTATGATTGGAAGTCCCAAGTCTGCACACTCAAGTCATAAGACCTGACTAAATTTGAACAAGAATTTCTCTCAAAATCTAATGCTAAATTTCATATAGATCTACATGTAATTCATGATAGATGTAATCTAAAGTAAAGGGCAACTTACTAGTCAAAATCTCATCAAACATTGAGCAAGAATAATGTAGAGTCTACATGTAATTTTCATTAGAAAAAGTCAGTGTCATTTTAATATTGCAAAAATAAACATGCCCATGCCTGAGCACTCAAATATTTAAAATCGATCTATGTTTAGTGAGTGATTTTTTAAACAATCGTTTTACTTCTGAAAAAACACAATGAAATTCGAAAATTTAGACTTTTCACAATATTTTTATTTATTTTTGTTACAAATTTGTATTCCTCTTAGTACAGTAATAAAACTTTGTGTTCACTGCACATTTTGTTTCATCAGAATCACGCAGTTACATTTAGATCTATGCAAAAACATGTTAATAATATTGAGTTTACGAGAATGGTCGTTGAGAGAAAAATACAGCCAAAGCAAAGCAAAGGCAAAGCAAAAGCAAAAGCAGGCTGGGCTTGGCTTGATTTGGCTTTGAATGTTTGGCTTTGGCTTGTAAAACTATTAATAGAACATGTGAGCAACAGCATCAAGATATTGGTGATTCTTGTCTCAAGACGGCTACGTGTTAAACACCACTCCGATCAAAGTTCAAATGTCGCAGATGCACCGTCGCCGATTTATAAGCTCGGTAACAAATTTTACAGGATAGACACTACACAAGAGTGGGCATATGGGACCGTTACACACTTTTATCTTGATGTTCACAGTCAAAGTTCAACTTAAATACAAAGATATGTCTACAATATTATTTGATCCAACAGTTAAGATTACTACGATATATCTCACCGTTTTCTGATCTCTCCTTCTTTTATTTACTCACTTCCTAGGCTGGATTAAGGTTCGGTTTATGGTACGGTTGCCAAGACAGATTTTGTTGCTGTATTCAAAACAAGCTCGTTCAATATTGTTTGAGAATTCGTCACTAAATTGCATATCAGGGTTTTTTTTTTAAACATAAAAAATATTTTAAAATATACATAAATTAATAAATATATTTTTTTTAAATTTATTTTAAATACAATTATATCATAACATGATAATGTCAACTTGATTTTATGAATATTTTTGACTTATCGCTGAGCCGAGAGTTCCAACCAGTACATAATAGAACTGTCATCGGCATCCCCAATCCACAGATGAGTATGAATTTACAAATAGTACCAAAATATAGAAGAAAAAAAAAGAAGAAATAAAGTGAAAGGCGTAAATATTCTAAAAAAGAATGAAACGCCGATAATACCAAACAACAACAACAACAACCCCAATCCACACATAATGACCCCACGGCCATCATCTCTCACTGGTGACAAACTTGTTACCGGTCTTCCACGTCGATTGATTGATTGATTGATTTTTATTCGACAAGCTTCCAACATACAACAATATACAATATAACAGATCAAAAAATAAGTCAGCTTGAACAGGATAACCCACGAAAGCTCGAGAGCTTATTTCCAGTGGAGGGGGGGGGGGGGGGGGGGGAGGCCGGGGCACAAAATGGCATGGGGTGAATTTCAGTAGCGTACGCAGGATTTTTACAAGGGGGGTTTTAACATTTATAAGCGGGGGGGGGGGGGGGGGGGGTAAGAGCACATTTTTTTTTTTGCTCCCGAAAATTTGCAAATCGCGCCGGCCACAAATTCGCTCGATGGGGGGGGGGGGCCTTATTTTTTGGGGGGGGGGTGGGGGCACGTGCGCCCTGTGCCCCCTGGATCCGTTCCTGTCCGTTACAGACATGTATACAATTAATAAGTTAAAATGGTAATATTTACAGACAGATAAGAAAATAAAAGAATTACTTATGTGAAAGATAATAATATTAAAAACAACCTTGTATGGCCGAGCTTACTTTTTTTTAAAGTTCATTATTCGTTTATGTATTCTTTATACAAAATACACAATATGAAATGTATTTGCACAACATGATGAAGATCAATTGATCATTGGGAAGGGGAGATTAAAGTATGTAAATTATTCCAATAGCTATAGCTTGCTGAGTGAGCTGCTAAAAGAGATTAGTTCATCAAGTATCTGGGAATTTATATAGACGAGAATTTACTTTCGAATGATCATGTGCAACATTTAATTTCCTTTAAAACAAAAGGTTCAACGTATAGGCCCCCTACAGCCTTTTTATTCTACAAAACTGTAATCCGATCTCAGTTTTACTAATGTAGTGTGGTGTAGGGAAGGGGCGGCGCCAGGTTATTTTGTTAGGGGGCGACTAAGGCGCGCCACGCAGAGGGAGGGGGCGGGGGGGGGGTGTCGTCTTTGTGCATACTTTTTGCCAAATTAAAGAGAAAACAGTCTTAAGTTCAACTAACAGGAACAAGAACGCAGGGGGTGTCTGAGGGGGGATGTGCCCCCCACAGATTTGAAGATTTTTTTTTTTTAATTGATGCATGAATGGCTCGATTTGGTGCATACTTTTTGCAAAATTAAAAAGAAAACAGTCTTAAGTTAAAGTAACAGGAACAAGAACGCAGGGGGTGTCTGAGGGGGGATGCCCCCCCCCCCCACAGATTTGAAGATTTGTTTGAAAGTGATGCATAAATAGCTCGATTTGGTGCATGATTTCGCCAAATTAAAAAGTTCCACTAACAGGAACAAGAAGGCAGGGGGGGGGGGGGGGGGGGGGGGGAGTGTCACCATATTTTTCAGAAGGATTGTTATAAATGAATTTTTCGTTTCCATTGAACAATCAACAATAAGGTTTAGGATATACAAGGGATTAATTTGATTTCTTTCAGTTGGCGAAGGTTTTTCATCGTATTAAACCAATGTTTGAACTTCCGGTAATGTGAATGTAATAATGTCGCGTCTAAATCTGATCGCCTGATTTGGCTTGCTTTTTCTGTCTTTTCTTCTTTTTCTCTATCTTTATTTTTTCCCTCTCCCCCTCCCTTACGTCATATTTTACATTTTATAGTTCTCTTTCTCCTGGCCTTTCTCCTTCTCGTCCCCTTCCTTTTCTTTTATTCTGTTTTTTTTCCTTTCTTCTCCTTCTTTTCCTTTCCTTTTCATTCTCCTTTTCCTCTTTCTCCTTCCTTTCCTCTTCCCTTTTTCAAAATGATAGGGGGCGGTTGCCCCCTGCCCCCCTGTGTCGCCTCCCCTGGTGTAGCGTAATATGAAGAGGTGGTGGAGCGACATCCAAAATGGGGGGGGGGGCACCAACAAAAAAGGGCACTTTCTGGAGAGAAAAAAGGGCACCTACAACGGGAAATCTCAAACCGAAAATATACATTTTTTTAAACATTTGTATATACCCCTATAATGTGATTACATTACCAGGGATGATTTATTTGTTTATCTTCATACATCATATAAGATATTGTTTAAGCATCATACCTTGCAGTTGGGTGTGATGGTCCGAAAAGTCATTTGCGAGCGAGGAAATTATTATGAAATTAGGGGCACGTTTAATGATGAGAGGAAAAGGGGACACTTATTGAAAGGGATAAGACACTTATTAGAACAGAACAGGAGCACGTGTCAAAGTACAAAGGGTAATTATCAGGAGTCAAAATTGGGGCACTTCTTACACCTAAAATAGAGGCACTCACCAGGGATAAATAAAAGGCACTTATGAGAATGGGAAATGGGCATTTGTCGATGGAAAAGAGGCAACCATCAGATTTTGATAGGGGCATTTATGAAAAAGGGATAGATTCCTTGTAAGAAAGGAAAAGGGGCACGTATCTATGTTTAAAGGGAAATTATCAGAGGTGAAAAGGGGCACTTATCGCATCTGAAAAGGGGCACTGACCATAAATGAAAAGAGGCACTTATGAGAATGAAAAAGGGGCACTAATAATAAAAGGAAATGCGCATTTGTTGAAAGAAAAGGGGCACCGATCAGATTTTAATAAGGGCATTTAATGGAGGTGAAAGGGGGCTTTTATGAAAAGGGGAAGGGGCACTTATAAAAAGGAAAAGAACATTTATTAGGAAGGAAAGGGGGCACGTGTCAAAATAAAGGGGGTTGTTTAGAGATGAAAAGAGCACTTTTCAGGAGGAAAAGGGGCACTTGTCAAAATAAAACGAGTATCTCTCAGAATTCAATAGGGTTTTACCAGAGATGACTTGAAAGGGGTACTAGCATGATAAAGAAAAGGGACTATTTTTTAGGTGAAAAGGGGCATTTATGAGAAGGGGAAGGGGTTCTTTTTTAAATGGGGGCACTTATCATAAGGAAAAGGAGCACTTATTAGAAAGGAAAGGAGGCACATATGAAAATATAAGGTGCGCTTATCCGAGATAAAAAGGTGTAGTTATTAAAAGAGGAAGGAAAAGGGGGCACTTGTCAAAGTAAAAGGGACACCTCTAAGATTTGAATAGAGCAATTATCAGATGTGAAGGGGTGCTTATCAAAAATGAAAAGGGGCGCTTCTCGTATCTGAAAAGGTGCACTTACTAGAAATTAAAAAGGGCACTTATGAGAATGGAAAATGGACACTTATTGCAAAGGAAAATGGGAACTTGTCGAAGGAAAAGGGGTACATGCCAAAATAAAAGGGGCACTTATTAGAGGTGAAAAGGGGGAGGGGGCACTTTAAAAAAATAATAATAATAATAATAATAATATTGGATTCCTATATAGCGCACGTATCGACCTTGCAAGGTCCTCAAGGCGCTCCAACATTACCCGGCTATGCTAGGCTGCCGATTTCGACTCTCACAGCATTTTAAGGAATTTCTTCCTACCGGTACCCATTTAACACCTGGGTGGAGAGTGGCAAATGTAGATCAATGTCTTGCCAAAGGACATTAGTGCCGCGGCGGGACTCGAACCGCGGACCTTGTGATCAACAGTCCGGCGACGTATCCATTCATCCACGACACCTCTAGGGGCACTTGTCAAAGTAAAAGGGGCATTTTTTTATGTAAAAAGGGGCACTTTTCTATGTAAAAAGGGGCACTTTTGGGGTACTTGAAAAAGTGGGGGTATTTTTAAATGAATAAGTTACAATTTATTGTTCCCCCTGTTACATATTTTTTCACAAATTATATTTTACATTTTCTCAGCTATGATTTTCATCAGTAAAGGTTAAGTCATTGATTTAAAAAGTCTTTCCAACTAAAGCTTGGTGCATGATCAGTGGCGGATTCCCCCCCCCCCGGTAAAAAAAAGGGGGGAGGAAAGGGGGAAGGGGGGAAAAGAAAAAGGGAGAACAATAGAAAAAGGAGAGGGAAAAGAAAGAAAAGGGAAGAGAGAAAGAAGAAGAAAAGAGGGAAGAGAGAGGAGAGAAAAAAAAGGGGGGGGGGGAGGAGAATAATGAGAAGGGAAAAGAAAGAAAGGGGGATGATATTATAAGAAGGTAATTTTTACCGGGAAAGGGACGGGGGCACGCAATTTGTTTGGTAGTTGGAACGTAAGTTTTATATTATGTTTTTAAGAAACAGACCAGAGGGGGCACAGTGCCCCCACTTTTTCACGCACACGAAAAGTGCCCCTTTTTACACAGGAAAAGTGCCCCCTTTTTTAAACATAGGAATAGTGCCCCTTTTACTTTGACAAGTGCTCCTATTAATTAGTAAAAGTGCCCCTTCAACTTTTCTTTTATTTGGTAGTGTGCCCCTTTTCCTTCGACAAGTTCCCATTTTTCTTTGCAATAAGTGTCCATTTTCCATTCTCATAAGTGCCCTTTCTCTGGTAAATGACCCCTTTCAGGTACGAGAAGTTACTCCTTTTCACTTCAGATAAGTGCCCCCTCCACCTCCTATAAATGCCCCTTTAAAATCATTTTCTTTCAACTAGTGAAAACTTTCCTTTCTTATAAGTGCCCTTTTTTCATTCACATAAGTGCCCCTTTTCATATTTGGTCATTGCCCCTTTTCAGGTGCGATAAGTGCCTCTTTACACCTCTGTTAATTTTCCTTTTAACAATGATACGTGCCCCTTTTCGTTTCTAATAAGGGACCTATCCCCTTTTCATTAATGCCCTTTTTCACCTTTTATAAATGCCCCCATCAAAATCTGATGGGAGCCCATTTTCCGTCGACAAATGCCATTCCCTATTCTCATGACGGACCTTTTCCCCTGGTGAGTGCCTCTTTTTGAGGGTGTAAGAAGTGCCCTATTTTCACCTCTGACAATAATTACTCTTTGTAATTTTCGCACTGCGACCTCACAAATCTTAGAATTTTTCCTCGCTCGCTCACTAATAATTTTTCAGACCATCACACCCAACTGCAAAGCATGATGTTTTTAGCAATATCTTATTATGGTGTATAAAGTGAAGCAAGTATTGTAATCACAATGTAAGGGTTTATACCAATGTCTAAACAAAATGCATATTTTCGCTTTGAGATTTCCCTTTATAGGTGCCCTTTTTTCTTGGTCCCCCCCCCCACTTTGGAAGTCACTCGGCCGCCCCTGAAACAGATAGTTTGTATGAGTTCAGGAGTGGAAATTTTCTGTCAATTTGAGAACCAAAATTTAATTTTGCATCGGTGATATTCTGTTTCATTGAATTGAGTTTCCCGCAGAGAGGATTCAGTTGGTTTAATTAAAGAAGGAAGAGAGTCAAAATAAGAACCAAAAGCAATATGTTTTTTCATTTACTAATGACAACTATGTTTTTTTTTAGATCTCCTTACACAGAATATTGGAATGGGTTTTTCACTATGAATGTTGGTTGGAGACATCATTATTCATATTAATGTATGTTTCTATCACCAGGAAATAAAGAATTTTCTGTCTACATGAACCTTTCCTGGTTGCTTATCAATGCATTTGCCCGCTGGTAAATAATAATTTCACAAGTTGATATCCCTCACCATTGAATTTGTTTTTGGTAATGTCTAAATTTCGTTTAAAAATAGATGATATCAGTCTGGTAGGCCTACACAGCAGGCAAGAGTCAGGACTAACATTTAGCATGTTATTAATTTTATTACCACTCTTATATTCTCTGAAATGTTATCTTTATTGAGGGTGACTTGAAAAAGTTAATAACTTGGAAGGGAGGGGGTGCAACCTGCTACACGCTTTTACCTCTTTGTTGCTTTGATCCATTGCCGAAAATATTTTGGCACCTATCATCCCCCCTCCCCCCCCCCCCCAACAACGGATACAAATCGACACCCTTGCCTGCATGGTATATCGGTTGTAACATAAACCATTTTTTTTTTTTTTTAAATGTGTTTGTGACATAAACAAGTTAGTTAGATCAAAAGAAGTTGAAAAGTATACAGATCAAAATGGTGAGATTCTTCAACTGTTCTGGTCCAAGAACTCACGTTGGCTACAGCGAACCGGTTCTAAAGCTGGTTTTCTTGAAGTCAACCAAAGATCAAAACGTGCATAAAACATATCATACCAGACAGTATAGTCTGTAGGTCGAATCATTTATATTCGATCAAACTCATTATGGCGATCTAATTGTTATTGACTAACATGATTATAATACAGGAAATAGCCGATTCAGCTGAAAAAATAGGTAGTATTGGAAATTCGTTTTATTACATTGCCATAAAATATTGGAATTTCCCTCCTAATGATAATAAAGGAAATAGACAACTTTGCTCATTTTAAGAGGAAATTAAATGAATACCTATCACAGTCTGAGAAGAGAAGCGAATGACATGTTATATGAATCATGCAGAACACTTTTCTTTTCTCTACCAGGTTCATACTTTTTAATTTTTTATGATAGTTTTGTTTATTTACGTTTTAGAAATTAAAAATATTCCTCACTATTTTCCTCTTCCTCTGCCTCTTCCTCCTCCTCCTCCTCCTCCTCCTCCTCCTCCTCCTCTTCTCCTCTTCTCCTCTTCTCCTCTCCTCCTCCTCCTCCTCCTCCTCCTCCTCCTCCTCCTCCTCCTACGTCCTCCTCCTCCTCCTCCTTCCGTCCTCCTGTTCTTCTTCTTCTTCTTTTTCTTCTTCTTTATTTTCTTTGTCTTCTTATTCTCCTTGTACTTATTATCATTACTATCATTATTATTTTAATGTGGTTATTATTATTATCATCATTATTATCTTTAATAAGTTTTTTCTTATCTGTCTGTCATTGAAGTGTAAATTATAAATTATACGAAACTAACTGATTAATTTTGTACATGTATATGTCGGGGACCCCACTGGAAATAAGCTGGCGAGCTTTCGTGGGTTATCCTGTTCAAGCTGACTTTATTTTGATCTGTTATTCTTGTATAAATTGTTGTAATAAATAAATTGTTGAGGCTCGGCGAATAAAAGATCCTTTTTTTCTTCGCAATTTGCACCTTTAAAATGTGCATTTTACCCGTCACCATACCTGCTTGAGCGCGCGGGAAGCGTTATTTTTTTATGCGGCACAGATTGGGGCATGGCGCGTGTTAAACCTATGGGAAGTACGTTCTTTCCCTTCTGAATAGTGTCTGCACGTACGTGAGACTAGTCATGTTCGCTAGCGCATTAGCGCTGCGAAGAAGTTTGTATATCCATCGCGAACTATGTGTTTAGATAACATTCCTCTTCGTTTAAGTTAGTTAAGTTTTATTGACTAATTATTGTGATGTTCTCCTTATTGACGTGCTGCCTCCTCTTCAGATTTCCAATTTGATTTTAATTGTTGATGTAATGATTTTCCATGCGGTAGTGGATTACATGTAACACTATTAAAAACAGACCTCTACTACTTATACTGTCTAGTACGCACACGACCAGTATTAGTCTGTAAATCAAGACCCCTTTTTAAAAAAAGCCCCAATCTGTGCCGCATAAAAAAATAACGCGCGCGGGAATATGAAACTCCGTTTTGCCTTTTGAAAAACAAAGTTTTTGACAATCACAAGGGACATTTTCGCAAATAAAGTTGCTCTTCATTTCGAGTGCAAACTGTATCATGTCAAGGAAGAAGGTGAGTCAGATTAATATTTCACATGTCGTCAGTCCTATGAAGAAAACCGAGATATACCAATCGTTTGTCGTTCATGAATGTTGGTGAGAGGAACCAGCAGTGTTGATAACTTTTTGCGGGAGAGCGCTGGCCTGGTAAGACTTATGCAGGAAGTAGATACAATACAAAGTAGGCGGTGATCATTTGAATGGAGCTGCTAGCTGCTAGCTGAGCTGTGTCCAAATGGTGTCAGTGACAGTCTTTCTTCTTCTTCTTCTTTTGTGTAGTCTGCTTCCTTCAACCTTGAAGATTCTTGCAGAATTGTAAAAGATAGTGAATCTGTAGGCCTACCGACACGGTAGAGTGCATGAGACAAGGTGCTAGACCGAATTTTCCGTCTCTTTCGTTCGTTAGCCTCTTAATTTATTGGGGTAGGGTCGGCCTGCTCTCTCTTTAGAGACGGAAACCGTCTATACACATTCCCTTGATAACGCCACGGCCATTTCAGGTCGTAGCGTTTTGCCCCCAAAATCCCCCAAAATGTCGTTTTACCTCGTCTAGATCTAGATCTATATCCCAATGTAAATTAGGCCTAGGCTATAATACATCGGTTCCACTTACTAACTTGATTGAAATAATCCGTTTAATGGTCCCTTTTAAGGAAATTATGGGTCAAAATTGACATCCATGTTGAATCTACTAGTCTACGCCGAAGGCAAAATGATTATGAAGGAAAAACTGTGCGCCATCTACACGTTCGTAATGGCGTTATCACAGTTTTTTCCTTCATAATCATTTTTGCCTTCGGCGTAGACTAGAAGGGATGAGATTGATTTAGATGACTCCGGCAGCGAGAGTTTAACACGGCTTGCAAGATTTTCAACATGGATGTCGATTTTGACCCATAATTTCCTTAAAAGGGACCATTAAACGGATTATTTCAATCAAGTTAAGCAAGCAAAAAAGAAGAAAAATAAGGTTATCGTGCCTGAGTTGAGACTGCACTGAGAGTGAGAGCACACTCAAACTTCGCTTGATTCCAGTGAAAATCGCCAGTTAATCCCCCAATAAGGTGTGTGCAACAATGGTCTGTGTATTGAGAAGCTTGACAAATGTCAGTTTTATTGAAGTATTCCCCATACCATTACCAGATTGGTATTCATGTCTGGTGTCTACAGTAGTACAGTACATGTAGTAATGTAGGAGTGGTGTGGTCTTGCATATCAAGCCCATTTTTCTCTGACGAAGGATTTTCTCCTTTTAGAATTTGATAATTACTTTTTTGTGAAATATTGATGTGCTGATTGAACTACATGTAAAGCTTGAAGTTAAAGGCTTAACTTTGGAATCCTAATCAAAATCGTAGGCCTAGGCCTATGTCTGTTGGACGTCCAACGTTGGTGCGTTGGCATGTTGGTAATGTACATTTATGTTCTCTTCACTTAAGTTGGCACGTTTGTGTGTTGGGTTGGTCCAAAAACCCTAAATTCGCATGGTGGGGTTATTCTAAAGTTAAAAAAGTGTATCAATCACCTAAAAACACATTTGTGAATTGTGTACAGCCGAAATCTAATAGATATCAACTTTATAACAAACAGAATCAACCAAAAAAACAGAACCCAGGCCAACATTCTATGGGTTAATGGGTAAGAAAAAACATCAAATGACATTCACAGAACCCCAGTCTTTCTATAGATCAGTTAAATCTATCTAAGGCCAGGAACAGCTCCAAAATGTTGAAAGAACAAATGAGGGGGGGGGGGGGGGGGGGGGGGGGGGGGGGGGGGGGGGGGGGGGGGGGGGGGGGGGGGGGGGGGTCTGGCTCAGTCGTAATCCAAATAATTTCTGACAAGCAAGCAAGCATACCTAAAACAAAATCTATCCCCCCACCTCCCCCCCCCCCCCCCCCCCAAAAAAAAAAAAAAAATAATAATAATAAAAAAGAGTTATCAAGATTAGGAAGAGATGGGAGAAGGGGGTAGGGACCGATGGGTTCCAGATGCCCCTTGTTTATGACCCTCTTGAAACCGTATTTTGAGAGCTACTGTAGGCTAGGGCTTGACACTAACATACTAAAATACATGGGGGCTCGGGGCGAATTAGCCCCCGAAATGCCCAAAAGAGCCCCCGAAAGTAAAAAATTTGCATCGAGTTAAATGCAAAACAAATTAAAGAGTGTTATTTTCATGGAAGCAAGCTTGATAATTACCCCCCCCCCCCCCAAATTTTTTAATTAATTTTTTCCCTGATTGGATGGTGCTTTGCAGCATCTAATTGCTGGCAATTTGGCCATACAGTGCAAGACTACTTGTACATGTAGGATGTTAGTGTTAATGTCTTTTTGCGCAGAGTTACAAATTTTCACATTTTGGGGGTCCAGATTTCAAAAGTTTATTGTTGTCTTACTCCATCAATGTTTGCGCCAGTAAAAAGATCGATGATTTATATGTCGGATAGTACATGTAGCTCAGCATGCATGGATACCAGTAGCTGGATAGCATGAAAATGTCCATTCTGAATGTGTGAGCAATGGTATCCGCATGACTACCATGGTTTCCTCTACTGAAACCTAACTTGTAATTGTATTGATCTTTAAGCCACGTTAGCCCCGTCCCACACGTACCTACTGATGAAGCTAAGTGAAGCTGTCATGCAACTAGTCTCATCATTCTAGACTCTGAGTTGATTGTATTTATGATATTTGATTTGTATTTACCTGTACATGTAGAGAAAGAGAGAGAGAGAGAGAGAGAGAGAGAGAGAGAGAGAAAGAGAGAGAGAGAAAGAAAAGAGGGAGATAGAGAGAGAAGGTATGATTTGTAATTTTGTATTCAGAGAAAGAGAGAGAGAGAGAGCTCTAGATAAAGAGAGGGGTATTATACGATTGTTATTCAGAGAAAAGAGAGAGAGAGAGGGGGGGGGGGGGGAGGGAGGTATTATGTGAATTTCATTCAGATAAAGAGAGAGAGAGACAGAGAAAGAGAGGGGGGGGGGGTTGCCTCCGAAGGAGCTAGGCATTCCATCAATGTTAGATATTGCATCCGTTGTGGTGTGAAGTATCACATATTCATTTCCAATTTCAGAAATGCCCTCATTTCAGTACATGCACACTGTACACTGTATTTCGAACTCACTTCTGAGAAATATAATATAACTCAGAAAATTCTGTATTTTTCAGTTTGTACATTTTGTTATGCAGAGCACCAGAGCATCCAAAATTTGTAAAATATTATTTGGAAATATATATGATGTCTGCTTTCATTCTCTTCAAACCTAAATTATACTGTACATGCTTGAGAGAGACTGAGAGTAGATATGATTATATCAAATGGTTTCTGTCAAGTCATAGTTTCAATATTACTTTTGAAGTGTAACTGGATGTGATGGAAAATGCTTTTGTCATTGACATCAACAGTTTCATAAATGAAGGTCTGAAAGTTACTTTCAATTGAATAAAGAAATATATACTGTACACCACAACATGACTAATCATTATTCCATACTAAAAATAAGTACTGAGCCTTAGCTCTTTCTCATGTACATGTATCTCCAGCTTTCAATTCTGAGAAGTTATGTGAATAAAACATGTACATATACTGTACATCATTTTTCCTTACCATGATGCTGTTTTTAAAAAATCCAAAAAGCTTCTGATATGCTGCTCTTGGGGTCACTAAAAAGGGTAGTTAGATAGATAATAATGATAATATTCTGCTTTTACACACGTAAATGGCGCTCAATACGTCTATGATGTCTCTACCCGCTTTACAGATCATGTCCTATTAGGACTACATTTACATGTCCTATTAGGACTACATTTACATGTCCTATTAGGACTACATTTACATGTCCTATTAGGACTACATTTACATGTCCTATTAGGACTACATTTACATGTCCTATTAGGACTACATTTACATTTAGATACTAGATAGTGGACAAATGTTGTCACGTCAGAAATTTAGAGCAAAAACAGAGCGATAGATGAGATGATATAATGATCAGCGTGGGTGGGTGTGACAGAAAGACAGTGAAAGAGAGAGGGGGAGGAGGGGAGAAAATAATTGGGTTTTGGATCGACTTGTTTCCTTCACATTGTATGATTGTAAAGCATACCACAAAAGTAAGTTGATTATTCATGTACATGTATCTGTGTCTACAAACGACAGACAGGAGCTGCATTTACAACTGCAAGCAAAAATCTTCCTTTTTTCTCTCACATTCTGATGTTTCATCGGTAGTTGCCCTGGCAAACACGATGAGAAACCGAAATCAACAAATCCACCTCTGGAGTGTTTTTTTTAAATGCCAGCAGAAATTTCACAGATTCTTGCATTGTAAATATCTGCTCTTGAAACATTGGTCCTTGTGATCACGTGTAGAGCAGAGACAAGTCCGCATGCTGCCGTGCTCTCTACAAGTTTACCCAAAAATTGAAATGAGCAAACACCAACATTGGTTTAATGGCTTTTTCCAGTACTTGCAGTAAAAAATCAATGATTTTTCAAAATGGTGTAACTGGGTCTAGTATCTGAGAATCATAATTTTCCTTTTTTATTTATCATACCGGTATGTAATCTCCAATCCTCTCAAGTATGACGTCATAGAGGTCTGATAAATGAGATTATCTTATTTTTGACCTGCATCTAACCAATTGTCATGAATTGTCCTGCTCATGTTATCTCTATTCCTGTTGATAACATGAATCCATTCAGGTCTGATAACTGAGACTAGATATAGAGCGCATCAGATAGTCAACCTTTTCGTTGTATCTCTGGTCTGCTAAACACCTCAACTATATTCATGTCTGATAACTGAGACTACGTGTAGCTCTTTCTCATTTTCTGTTTAGCCCTTTGAGCTTTTATGTCAATTCAGGTCTGATAATTGCGGCTACAAGCACTTATAGAATTTCCTTGTATCCGAGTATCATCTTTCTCTCATATTTTTGGTATTTTTATTATCTAGTCTTCATTTGTGTCTGATGATTGAGACTACATGTCCATCTCTCTCCTACAATACATGTTTACCTCCAGCCCGCTCATTGTCTGGATTTCATTTGTGTCTGATGCTTGAGACTAGATGTCCAGTTCATCCCTGAGTATCACCATCTCTCTCACATTGTATCTCCATCCCTCTCAGAGACTGAACTTCATTCAAGAGCTTGATTCTTGACTTGCATCTCGCCCGTGGCACTGACGACTGAAAGCCTCATTTACTTGTTATCATCGACCGACCGCCGTCTACCTGGCCATCGCTTCTGATCGCGTTACGCCGATAATCGCTCTCTCCTCATCGCCAGGAGAGCCGGATACCTCGTCAGGTAAGAGAAACTGAAACGCATTTCTGATAGCTGCTTAGAGGGTAATTACCAATAATTGCATTTTCATTTCTGTTATTAGCTCTCGGATGTTTCTCTCCTCCCTTTGAGGATACATGAGTGCTCGAGGGCTGGGGGTTGAGATAATAGCTGAGTAGTATTTTGTAAGAGAGTTGATTAAAAGCCCAGGGGATAGCTTGATAGGATGGTATTGCCATGGAGTCAATAGCACGGTCAATTAGTGGATATGCCAGGCTATTCAAGCTCCATCCCACTCACTGCATCATTGATGTAACTTGATGCAGTGGGATGTCTAGGTACCTGATACTGATGCTGTTATCTTAATTTACTTTGCTGGATGACAGGGTCTGTCCCTCCCTCATGTAAAGGACTTTATTTCCATTTGTTTATTTTCTCTAAGTGTACACTGTATGCATAATGACAAAAAGCAAATATTAATTTTGATTACAAGGGATACATAACAAGGACTGAATGAAATACTCCCTCCATGCTTTGAAAACATCATTTATGAAAAACTAAATCTGCAATTACCAAACATTTCAAAATGAATAAATACATTTATAAAGAGTGAGATGAAACGAAATAAAAAATTAAATACTTTACCAATCACTCTATTTATATTGATTTTTTGATAATTTGCCAGGAAATTTTTTCGGATGATAGAAAGAGAGCAAGATTCCTGGTTGTCTGAGTGAGGCCCTGTATATGTAGGAATGCACAGTTTTTGTTTAAACCTTACCTACATGTAACATGAATGTTAGTGAAACATTGCAGGGAGAGAATATGGAGTTGATAAAACAGCCTTTTTACAAATAACATTAAACACTGACAAATAAAAGTATTGTAAGCATTAATTTCTCAGTCAGCAAGCAAGTAGAAAAATATTTTTGTTATTGAACTAAAAAAGCCTTGTATTGTAAGTCTTACTTGATAAGCTATAATTATCGCGTGATGCTAACAGGATGATATACAAGGAAAGGAGTTGTGGTCACATGGATTTAAGTCTCCTGACTGTAAACCACAAGGTACAGGGATCAAATCCCTGCTGCAGCAGTCCTTTGCCAAGACATTAATCCACATTTGCCACTCTCAACCCATGTGTAGGATGTGGGTACCTGGTAGGATTTATTCCTTGAATGAACTTAGCACTAAAGCTAAAGCTAAAGCCAGAGGTCCAGAGTAATACTATGAAAAAGGCCTTTCTTCTTCCAGTGTAAGTGCTGCTTCAAGATGATGAAGATAAACATACTGGAAGTGATAGAGATGTTACATTGTGTAATGTGTATATCATTATTTTGTACATAAGAATGGTGGAATATTATTACAATTAGGGCCAAAGTTCACATGCATACAAGACTGTAGACGTATACTACATGTAGTGCGCAATCTTCAAGTCCTTGAAGCAGCACTTTTCTTGGAAGAAGAAGAAGAAGAAGAAGATGTAAAACTTTTTTTATGGAGAGAAAATGAAGGCTGTGTGGGAGGAGGAGGAGGGATGAAACTACACTTATTTTTCTGAAGTAAAAAGCAGAGCTGTCAAGTTGAAATAGCAAATGAGAACAACAAAAGAGAAGAAAAGGAGTGAGAGAGAGAGAAAGAGAGAGAGAGAGATAGAGAGAGAGAGAGACAGAGAGAGAGTGCTTTTCCAGTGAGTGAATGCATGCATGATAATGCATCTTTGTGCCAATCCCCTAGCAAGCTTGATTTGTTCTACGCCTCACAATATTGATCCACTAATTGATGCGCTGCTCAAATGCAAGGTGTCAACAAGGGTTTCCATGGATACCAGGTGAACTGCATACTTTCCATTGGAAGCATATTAATTTTGCTCTCTGAAAAAAATTGCAATTTCCCTGGCAAATTGCCACCATTTTTTTAGAGAGCAAAATTGTGTGCAATTTTAAAAGTACAAAACCTGAACATCATTTATCCATAGTTTAATACCTGCATGAAAATTATTGTTTCACTGTTTCAAACCATTAATTCATCTGTGTTTTAATATTGACTTGAACGAATTTAAGAAATACCTGTTTCTTTAGTTTAAAAATGTTATAACCTGTATGGTAGGGAAGCTGTAATTGATTTTGAAAAGAAAAATACAAGGAACAACCAAGAAAAGTACATTGATAACATTGATACACTGTAAATGGTCAGAATTACATGTATCATTCATGAACACAAATTATTGTTGACAAGTGCTGGTAGTTTGTGAAGAATACATTGTATCTGAGCATGGAAATGAAATGAAATCTTCATCTTATAATTTTAACTTAAAGACAAAATTATACAATTGATACATGTACAATGTACATGTATACCAGATTACCAGTACATTTGTAGTAAAGCTACATGTACATGCAGATATAATTAAACTTGTCATGCTGATTGTCAAGATTTATTTGATTTTACACCATTAATACATATCCGGATAACTGGCTTAGGGATTTCTATTTCTTCAATTCTTGTTTGTTGCTCTGCGGCTTGTCCTACCAATCTCCCATATCAACCAAAGATCTTGTACCCATTGGTTACCATGGCAATAGAAACATCCCATCATTGCTTGTCCCTTCGATGTCCCTTCAGCCCACTGGTTCATGAGAAAGGGACGCGGGCGGCTAGCAGTAATTGAAATCGTGTTCATCATGCCTCCCTAACGCTTGCTCAAGTCTTATGCCTGAACTTTTCAACTTGCAGATCAAGTTGTTTAAAAATAACTTTACTTAAAGATTACTTTACAACAATGTTCTTTGTGTTTGTGTGGGTGTGGGTGTGTGTAAGATAGGGTGGGTGGATGAATGAATGATGTCACATTTCTCTTATTTTCTGTTGATAGAGTCAGTCTACTGTTATCTGGGTGTCTCTTTTTAAAAGCTCTGCATTCCTATTAACCATGCTATTAGTATTAGATAATTTCACCAAATGTTGACTGTAATGCAAGAATATGCTTTGTCTCTAAGTCATCCTAAGCCTGGAAAGGATAATTCATTTTTACTTTACACCTACCGGTAGTCAACTTTGCCTGAAAACAAGTCTATCAAAAAGTCTTTCAAAAAGAATTGAAAAAGATCTAAAAAGAGTCTTTAAAACAACATGCAAAAGACTTGATAATCTACATGTATTTACATTCATGTTTATTGCATTATACTGTAGTATGTGCAGGTATTACTATTATTCTCTTATGAGTTGATACAGCCCTGCCTTCAGAGAAAAATAAAGAGATGGCAATTCTTTCAAAAAGAATTGAAAAAGATCTAAAAAGAGTCTTTAAAACAACGTGCAAAAGACTTGGTAATCTACATGTATTTACATTCATGTTTATTGCATTATACTGTAGTATGTGCAGGTATTATTCTCTTATGAGTTGATACAGCCCTGCCGTCAGAGAAAAATAGCGAGATGACAAGGAGGACCGGGGGCGGGAGGATGATGTTTATGTTTCTTTTCTCTCCTCCCGGTGGCAACCTGTAAGATTGCGTAGATTACGTGAGGCGTGCAGTAGGTTGAGGTTGATGCAAACTTGCTAGCGGTAATCTGATTTGAGGTCATGTAATCAGCTGCGGCTTTGTATCAGTAATAAGGTTTCATTCCCTGTAGAGATGTCATGAAGCCTTTGGTGAGCAGATGTACAACCACATCATCTGTTCAGAGCAAGAAGGGCATTAACTCTGTGTTAAAGTATATGAGTTAGGGCCCTTCTGGTTCCAAAAAGATGACAAACAATGTAGGATTTAATAGAAATGATAATATACCATACTTACATAGCGCTGCTAGCGCATATCACAATATGTCTCTATGCGCTGTAAGAAAGAGTAAGAAGGAAAGGTGGATACTGGATAGAGTAACATAAGAAGAGTGAGGAATGCTCAACACATTTCCTCTCGTTAAAGCTACGGTCACAAAGGTTCGTACGAACCATTATTTCGTATGAATCTCCGTTTTTCCATTGTCTGAAAATCGTTCGTACGGCGTTCTTAGCAGTTCGTTATGGCATTTGTGACCGAGGCTTTACATTGGAAAGTAGTTTTTGAAAAGAAATGTTTTCAAGCGAGGCTTAAAGTTCATTCAATGCAATATTTGCCTACTAAAATACAGGTAAAAACAACTACCCTACTTGTAGTAGTACAGTACATTGTAGTTCAGAAATTGCACAACATTTCCCTGGTTCTCATCTCGTTCTGATCTATTCATTTCTACAAATCATATCCAGCCATTTCTGCCAATCGGTATTTGCTTTTCATTCACTCCACTTGATTTGACCTGTTGATTCCAATCCTGTACATTTGCCTCCTTGCATTAGTTACCATGACAACAACTACGAAGGTTACTAATTGGGAGCAACTGATTTTAGGATGTGCAAATTATCATCTGAGGTTAATAAATAGAGGGGATACTGTACTTCTGCTTGAACTGTACATGTACATACCTGCCAACCCTTCAGAATAATCCAGAATATTCTGATTTTTAGGATTTTAAGGACCTAAAAATTTGGAATATTCTGATTTTTCAAAATTTTGATTGTGTGTGTATTGCTAAAGCCAATTTAAGCTTGTTTTATCATGTGCCACGATTTGAGAGTTTACGTATTGCGTGCCTTGAATGGCTGCATGATCGAGCAGGGTATTTGTATCCGCTCTTTTGTACAGAAACCCTGTATTGACACTTTCACTGCCATTGCATGTGCAAACGCCTGTTAAGGGTACAGATTTCTTATTTTCAAAGGCATACCGTGCTAGAAATTGCTTATTCTTGTTTTCAAATGTTGGCAGGTATGCATATTTGTATGGTTGTGCAATGAATGATTCAAAAGTCTCCATGATATAATTCTGTTTTTCTTTTTAAAATTGTTAATACATCATAAAATCTTTGAGGGTGGTGATGTACTGATGTATACCTATACATATATATATATATATATATATATATATATATATATATATATATATAATTTTAATGGGTGGTATTCTCATAAGTTAAGCCGGGAC